TTTTTTTTTAAATTATTTAAGGAACCTTTGCTATTCCCGTTGCTATTTTTAGTAGTAGTAGTAGTGGTCTTTAGCAAAAAAAAAAATAAATTTTAAACCTTATTATAGGCGCTATAAGATTAGATAACTAGTAAAAAAATAAAAAAATAAAATATTAAACTTTAAAAAATAAAATAAAAAAACTAAAAAAATAAAATAAAAAAATTAAAAAAGTTAAAAAAAAAAAAGACCGGGAAGTAAATAAAAATTTATTTTTTTATATTTAGCTACTTATATAATACTAATAACATAATACTATAATAATTATATTAACCTTTTTATTATTTATAAAATACTACCTATTTATAATCTATTAATGCTTAAATTAATAAAAAGTAACTTAAAACTTTTATTATTTACTAAAATAGCTACCTTAGCTACTAAAAGCAAAGCTATTTAAAAGCAAAATACTAATAAAAAAACACTATTTTAAGCCTTAAGACAACCCCATATTTAATAATAAATTATTTTAAATAAAAAAACTAAATAATTAAACGCGAAACCAAAGCAAAACAATAGTAAAATATATTTATTATAAAAATTAAAGCTATTTAAAAATTAAAATAATCTTAATTAAAAAAGGGCTAAATTATTACACCCACGGGTACTAAGCCTTAATAAAATAAAAAAATTAATAAAATAAAAGTTATAGTAATATTAACCTAACACGTAGTAATAATATTACCACTATTTTAATAATATATTTAAGGCTAACGCCCTAGCAAAAAATAGTTAGCTAAAAGTTAGTTTTTATATATTTTAGGCCTTAAGATTTAATATTAATCCCTTATTAAATAACCCTCTTAGTACTTTGTTTTGTACCTGGTTAGCCTACTCAAGGTTTTCACAGGCGCTCCGCGTGAAATTATATACTTTTTTATTTAGGCCTAAGTAAACTTAATAACATTAAAATTTAATAAATTACCAGGCTAATTTATAATTTTTTAAACCTTTATAATATTATATACACGCTTTTAAATTTAGTATTAATAAGCGGGGGCCCTATTTTTAAGAATAATAGTATTTAGCTAATTAATTATGTATTCTTAAGTAAAAAGAATAAAAAAAGGCTTTAAAATTTTTTTAAAAAAAAAGGTATTAGTATTTAACCCTGTAGTTAGAAATAGCTTTAAAAACTAATTATTTAATATTAATATTAATTAATTCTTTTACTAGTGCTTTTTTTTAGCTTGCTATTAGCCTTATTTTATTTTTACTAAGGCTTTTAGCCACCTTTTCTTAGGCGTAAATTAAGTTAATTTATGGCTATATTAACTTTTTACTTTGCTTTTAGTATAGGCTCTAGCTTATAATTTAATTTATTAATTTTATAAGCTGCTTAATACTTTTACTAGGCTAATTTTATTTTAAAAATATATAAAGGCCCCTTTTTATTATAAGTAAAGTAATTTTATACTATAAAGTTAAAATACTTTTTTTAATACCTTTAAATACAAGTTTAATTATATTTATTTTTTATTATTTTTTATACTTAAATTAAGCCACGGCGTTAGCCTAAAATAACTAAGGTTTTATTAATAAAAATAACGTATTTCTAGTTTTTAAGGGTCTAGTTTTAATAAGCTATATAAAACTTTAAGCATTTAATTTAAGTAGCTTTAGTTAGACTAGGTTTATAAAAGGGCTTAATAAAAAAAAGTTTATATTTATAAAAAATTTATAAAATAAAAAAATAAGAAATACTAGCTTTAAATATAAGGATTTTTAAAAACTTCTCACGCCCTAAGTAATTTATTATAACTAAAGTTATTATAGCTTTTTAAATATTTTTATTAATTTTAATAGGCCTCCTAGAGCGCTTACTATTTTTAATAAATTTAATATATACTTAAAAAACTTTAGTTTTTTTTGGCTAATAGCCCCGGTGTTTACCTTTTTTAATAGTATTATAAATAATATATATAAAAAGTTTTAAAAGCCTAAAAATCTTTATTACATGCTTGTTAATAGCCTAAAAAGTTAAAACTTGCACCTAAACCTTATTAGAATAAAACCTGTTTTTAGGCATGTTATATAAGGGAAACCGGCGTTAAAAATTAAAAAAACTATAAAAGGGGATTAAGTAGTTAATTTAAGCTAAAAATTAAGTTAAAATACTAAAAATTTATTAAAATAGGCTAAGTTATAATATAAAAATAGTATTATAAAATTTGCTAAATTATAGGATACAAAGCTATTAAAAAGGTATAAAAAAATAATTATAAAAAAGTATTAAATATTACTATTTTTATGGTAATTATTATACATTTCTAAACATGTAATACCAGCCCTTGGCATTCTTGGCGTGCGGAAACTTTTGGTGCATGTCTTTATATATGAAGTCAGAATTATTGCTTTGCTGGCCGTGCTCTGCTTGTTGATTTTACCGCGGCGCTAACCCGATTAGGAAGCAGTAAATCACGTGATCTTTTTCTTTTGTCAGGAATCATTCCTTACCAAAAAAATCCTTAAATTTCGACTTTCCGTAATTACCGTCAACTATTTTGTACATCCCTATTACAGGGTTTGATTCAGGGACTAAGGATGGAGGACCCCGGTTTAAGCGACCCGCAGCGACCCACCAGCACAGCGAACAAAGCCTGAAAGGGAATCATCTTCATTCCAATTTGCCGGGTTCGCACAATCTGATTGGTTTGTCCAAGAGCACTGCCTCTTGATGGCTGGATTCCAAAAATGTGAGCCACTCGTCAGGCCATTTTCGGTGGTGCCTCCCCTGGCGATCCGCCTATCGCTGCCCGCCCCGGTAGGGGATCTACTGCAGCGCATCTTGAAACTGTCAGAGATGACGAATGCTCCATCCGGGGTGCGGATTGGCTGCGACTCACATTTGGAACGGTATTTTGGTATCCCGATTAGGTACTGAATTGACTCGGCGGCCGGAGTGTCTCTCAGAAGGCAGTATGGGCGTAGCCATGGGGGACCGACATGCCAATGAAAGCAACCACTGGGAAGAAGTGGATGCCTGAGAATCGGCGTTTGATCTTGCTGGAGAAACGGACAAGGAAGGCATCAATGACGAGGTAGATGGTGGAGCGCGGGTCGAGAGTGTTGTGGGAGTGGAGTGGTCAAACAGGGACGCTGTTGTCTCGGCTGAGTCTGTGCAGCCGCCAGTGGCCACCCCTATGCAAGCGGCCAGCCTCTCCTTCTCCCTTCTTCCTTCTTCCTTCTTCTTTCCTCCATCCCTTCGATCGCTTTGTGACTCCCTTCTTTCTTGTTCTATCCTGCATCAAGTCAGTCCGTCGCTCTTTTGGACTCGCCTTTATAATTCTCACACTCGCTTTTCTGCGCCTTTGCGATAATTACTACTGAACCCGACATTATCCACGTTTAATCGACCATTTCCGCTTGCCAATTCTCCAAATCACCACAAACTCACAATGAAGGGCTCCAGCATTGCGACTGCCCTCGCCCTGAGCGCCTCCAGCGTTCTCGCTGCGCCCAAGTTGGCTGCCCGCGCCGATGTCACTCCCATCACCGTCAAGGGTAACGCTTTCTTCAAAGGAGACGACCGTTTCTACATCCGTGGTGTCGACTACCAGCCCGGTGGCTCGTCAGATCTGGCTGACCCCATCGCTGATGCCGACACCTGCAAGCGCGACATCGCGAAGTTCAAGGCGCTTGGCCTGAACACCATCCGTGTCTACTCAGTCGACAACTCCAAGGACCACGACGAGTGCATGAACGCCTTGGCTGATGCTGGCATCTACCTTGTGCTTGACGTGAACACTCCTCTCTACTCCATCAACCGTGAATCTCCCGCCATCTCTTACAACGAGGTGTATCTTCAGTACATCTTCGCGACCGTCGACAAGTTCGCTACCTACAAGAACACCCTGGCTTTCTTCTCCGGAAACGAAGTCATCAACGACGGCCCGTCGTCTATCACTGCTCCTTATGTCAAGGCTGTGACCCGTGATCTGCGCAACTACCTGAGCGCTCGCAACTACCGCCAGGTTCCTGTCGGATACTCTGCTGTGAGTCATAACGTAACGTAATTTGTAAGCAATGTACTCATGCATGTTTTCTAGGCCGACGTTGACACCAACCGTCGTGAGATGGCTGAATACATGAACTGCGGTACTGATGAGGAGCGAAGTGACTTCTTCGCTTTCAACGACTACTCCTGGTGCAGTCCCTCTTCCTTCCAGAAGTCCGGCTGGGACCAGAAGGTCAAGAACTTCACTGGCTACGGCCTTCCTCTCTTCCTTTCCGAGTACGGATGCAACACCAACACTCGTGACTTCGGTGAGGTCGAGGCTCTCTACTCCACTAAGATGACCGGCGTCTACTCTGGTGGTCTTGTCTACGAGTACTCCCAGGAGCCCAGCGACTACGGACTTGTTGAAATCAAGAACGGCAAGGTTACCGAGCTTGATGATTTTGACACCCTGAAGAACGCCTTCTCCAAGACCTCTAACCCTGAGGGTGATGGTGGCTACAACAAGACCGGTGGTTCCAACCCCTGCCCTGCTAAGAACGCCCCCAACTGGGACGTCGACTCCGAGGACACTCTCCCCGCCATGCCCGAAAAGGCCCAGAAGTACTTCGAGGACGGTGCTGGTGATGGCCCTGGCTTCGACGGCGCTGGTAGCCAGACTGCCGGCACCCCCTCTTCCAGCAACACCACCGATGGCGAAGGCAACACCGTCTCCGGCTCCTCCAACAGCTCTTCCTCCGGTTCCTCCGACCCCACTGACGGCGCTGCTGCTGGCCTCCACATCCCCAGCATGACTATGGCCCCCGTCCTCGTCGGCCTGGTGACCGTCCTGTCGACCATGGTCGGTGCTGGTGTTGTCCTCTTCTAAATTGGTTGATGGAGTTAGATTGTCTTGTCGTATTTATTTCGGAGTTTTTCTTGACTGGCCGGACGGTATTTGTATTGATTTTTCCCGGGCCTAGGCATCCACTTTTGTACAGTTGGATGGTATATTTGTTAGCCACGCTAGTGTCTTGAGTATAGACTCATAATCAATGTCTCATGTTCTTGAAAAACAAAATTAGCTGTGATCATACTTTACCCCCCGCAATAGTATAGCAGCCCTGAAGGAACTAGGATTATTCCGTAACTTGAAAAGGTGACCTCGAAGAAGTGCTTTTGATACTGCAGTTCATGTATTGGGGCTTCTCGCGGCCGACGGAGGTGCTTCCAGCCATGCTAGGGTCTTGAATGTATATCTATAGTGTAGGACCCAGAACGTTTGGCCTATTTTGAGTTGATCTTCCAGTACAAATTCCCCATCACTAATATTGGAAGTCTGAGTTCCGAAATATCTATGTGGTTTGTGAATTTATATATTTCTATTGCTAACCACTAACCAGACCCTCGTCCTCTCGTTGATGGCTTCTAAGTACAACGCAGGAAGGATCGCATGTCACTCATGAAGCTGGGTCTGTACCGTTTCTCCAGAACCAGCCCCGAGATTTCATGACCATTTTAATGAACATGGTCATCATACCGCCCGCTCGGAGCTATCCCACCTCGCCTTCAGCAAGAAAAGAAAAAGAAAGAAGAGACCCGAAATAGCACCAACCCCGGAGTAATCGTCCGAACGAAGATTGTAGGTTCAATTCCGGGTCGTCAACTATCTCAGACTATGTTCATGATCTTCCGCGAACCACCTCCACTCCCCTTGCATAAGGTCATCCTGGAATCCAGCTGTATCCAGATCGAAGTCCTCCAAAGAAGGGAAGGCAGCGGCTCCTAACCCGTCACTCGCGTCTAGGAACGAAGTATCCAGACTCCCGTACGGATGCTCATACGGGCTGAATAGCGACATTGAGCCGGGGATGTCGGAGATAGAGCACAGCGGCGGAGAGAAAGACCCGAGGGGCATAGCTAGAGGGGATAGGGATCCGTGGTGGTTTAGATCGGGCTGCAGAGCATACTGCTGGTGCTCAGGCGAGCGCATAGAGGAGGAACTAGTGCTCGATCTTGATCCCGGAGTAGAATGGGAACCGATGCGGTGGTGCGGCGCTCCTTGTGGTGTGCCTCGGCCCCCTGTAGCTGCTACCGCTGCTCTAGCTCGAGAGGTGGAGGCAGCGGTACGGGCAGCAACGTCGGGGGGTTGAGAACCACGGCCATCACGGTATCCCGAGCGTGAGGAAGGTTGGATAGCAGTGGACGCCGGAGGGGACGAAGGTGGGCGTGGTGCGATGGGAAGAAGCGTTGGGGCTGAGCGAGCATGATGTCTACCAGAGGCTCTCTGTATAGCAAAGGAGAGGAAAAAGTGCAATCAGTAAGGACATCTCGAAATCGTGATTGATATGGTTTGGCTTATTGTATGTAGGTAGTAAGCTTGGGTTGATCTCGCTGATGGTGATGCTCTAACATTTTGGTCTTGAGATCTCATTCTCAGCTCGGCTTCACGTTTCAGCCTGGTGTGCTCCTCCGGCGACTTGCAGGGCGTGCAGTTGCATATTGAGCAGGTCGAGAAGGGGCGACCCTTCCGATTGATGTGGATTAGCGGTCGATCTGTGGCGTGGTCAGCTCATGAGGATGCGTCCTAGGATGTAAGAGATGGAATGGCATACCATGGTGCTTGCAGGTGGAGGTGCGGTGACCGCGGACGCAAGCTTCACAAGCCCACTTTTCACCGTCTATGAGCATCCCTTGGAGGCGCGAAGGTGAGAGAGACGGAGGAAGCCATGACGAGAGGAATGCAATTTATATGTGTGGATTGTGGGGAGAGCTTGGAAAAGAAAAGCAACCAATCTGCATAAATACTAGGAGGAGCTGGGTAGCCTCGGTCGAGAGCACAGCCACCGGGACAAGAGCTCATTCTCTGGTCCCAGCTGCAGAACGGAGCCAGCTTTCATCTCTTGCGGGCTGTCTTGCTCTTGGAATTGCAATGTTGTGTGACTCGACGTGGGAGACTGGCCTGTGTGGGTGTCAGTGTCTAGAAAGGAAGGACCGAAGCACAGCGAGCTGCATCCAGGAAGCGAAAGAGCGAGAGCGGCGGTGCTGGGAGAGTCATTCTGTGGTAATTCCAACCAGATTGAGGACTCCTCAGCCGCTTCATTTTCCTACGAAGCAGGAGCTTCCTCATCAGTGCTAGCTGCGGGCTGGCGATTTGGCGAACAATTCCCTCATACAAACAGTCGGAGTCTAGGACATTCGGTCGAGGATCCTCCCTGTGCGATCCCGCTTCCCCCAATTGTCAGTGTGTCACACCTCACCAGCGGTCTGACTGGCTGAACAAGGCCAATCCGTTCAAAGCCGCCCTGAAGTACAACCTTCACGTCCAATAAAGGCTGCAAATCATCCTTCCCCTGATTTTCTTTGTTGACACCGAAGTAGAAAAACAAAAGGGATGGAGCTCGGGGCAGCATGGGGCTGGTGATGCAACGACGCACGGACAAAAAGCTGAATGGAGGTGGCTGAGCAGACGCTGGCTCTGAAGCTTATCGCGAGAGCCAATCTGCTGCTGTGGCGCTGGCGATCGTCATCATTCTTTGCAGGAAGCGGTCTGACGGTCATGACGGGGCCTAGGAACTAGGCCAGAAAAGAGGATCGTAACCACGCAGTTCGGACTGGAATCCCTTGTGACTCAGTTGGCATCGGTTGAATTGGCAATCTCCAACTCCGCGGTGGTAACAGTAACAACCGTAGTGTCCTTGGCAGCTGGCTAAACTCAGGGTAAACTGGACCCTGGTGGCTCTCTCATCTAGGCAGCAGCGAAACAAGCCACACTGCTCTGTGTAGTGGCTTGGTTGGAGTAGTTATGCGCTCAAAAAGGCATGAAAATTGGCTCTACGTGCTATACAGATGTAATCAGATCAGCTGTGCAGCGACCTCGAGAGTCCACCGACAATGAAAATGAAACAGATAGAACAACAAGACACAAGGAAGCAACCGCTAGTCTCCAAACTCCATAATGCAGATGAGATCAGAAACCGAAAAACACAGACCAGCAGCTGCGAGAAAAGGAGCTAACCCTATACAATCAAAACAAATCTATACCTCTTGAATATAATTCGCAGGAACGCTCTTTGTGACGCCCCCGCGCTCGACATCGGCCCACCCATCGCCGCTGTCACGGTTGACAAGGACAAACCGCTCCCCTTCAGCCATGCTCCATTCCATGTCGCTTCGCGCTTCGTACTCGTAGAGCGCTTCCACGTACTGCACTTTCTTCGCTCCGCGGCGAGGCGCTACAGCAGGTCCAACTCTCTTCGCTCCGGCTGCTGCTGTGCTGCCTGCCAGTGACGCAGAAGAGTTTGAGTACGTAGATCCAGGACGACCAGCAGGACTGGAGGAGGCAGCGGCGGCGGGTAGTAATTCCACGTAGGAGGCGGGGACGAGGCCTTCGGCCGAAGATTCTGATCTAACGCGCATCCAGCCCGACCCATCTGGTTTCATTAGCTAATTGATATATCATGCAAGGTTAGGGAGCGTACCATCTGGCTCGAGGACAGTTATCTCCTCGCCATCTTGGACGGTGACCTCGTCTGCTCCTGTGGCTTGGTAGGGATATAGCATCTTTCCGCGTGGCTCTTTCTGAGATGCAGTGGGTGCAGGTAGTTCTGCCGGTGGCGGACTGCTGACATATTGAGCAGGAGGGGGGGCAAGAATGCGGTTTCGTTTCACCGCTGGCTTGGTCGCAGCAGGAGCAGTAGGTGCGGGGCTGGCAGGGCTATCAGGAAGTTCTGAGACGGATTCTTGGGTGCCAACATTTGATAAAGACCGGTTGGCACTGACTGCATAACCGGAACTCAAAGAATTCATTGTATCCCGTCTCGCTAAGGACGGAGCTGCGGAAGCTGAGCTGGTCGGTCCAAGATCAACAGCTGGGGCTGCGCTGGCCTGTTCTTGACGTTCCGCTTTGAGCTTCTTCTTCTCTTCCTTGGTCTGCTCTCCTGGACACTCTGCTGGTACCTTCATTTCACATTTGCTATGGCAGGTGTACCCGCAGTCCCGGCAGTCATAGCCTTTAGCAGACAGACCCCAGATGCGTTCTCCGCAGAGGTCGCAGTTAGTGGGTATCTTGAATGTTTGCGACTTGAAGTTATGGTTTTTTGCGCCAAGTGATAGGTCGCCAACCACCGATATAATGGTCGATGTCTCGACTTCGGCAGTGAGCCTTTTGCGCTCGATTTCATGGAGAGATTCTTGGGTGAAGAAGATCGACCTCACGACATCCACTTCGTTCCGGTTATCGCGACCTTCCTGGATGCTCTGCCGTATACGTTTTGCCGCCTCCACGTCTCGGCGCTTCTGGTCACATTCCACTCTCAATTCACGAACCTGTGTCTTGCTCTTGCTGAGAAGGTTACGCAAGAATACCTTGGCCGCCTCATCGGTGATAAGCGCTTCATCATCGTGCCACACCGGACTCGGCTCGAAGCCGACGTTGGCGGGCTCCTGAAGCTGTGTAACGTTGTGCCGCAGGAACATGAGGGAGTCGAGATGAGGCTGGTTCCGAGGAATCTCGTTGGTGAGCTTCGCCATGTGGTCTGCGCTCTTGGTAAGAGAGGACTTCTCGAGCTGCGCTGCGAGGGACCATAGCGCGTTCAGCCGTGCTACCCTTGTCTCATTCAGATCTTGTAGACCCTAGAGCCTGTCAGCCAAGGTGTTTGCCAACCAACTTTCGCAACTTACATCAAGCAGCTCCGGAACATATTCATGGAAGAATCTCTCCTTGAGTTTATTCGTCACGTTGATGCTTATGAGGTATGTGTTCTGTCCTGTCAGTAGTTGGCCAGTGGAGGGACCGACCAATTTACCTTGACGTTGTTCATCTCCAATATCTGCTGTTGATACACTGTCTGCGCTTTCGTCTTGCCGTGATCAAAGGCGCTCTCCATCTTTTTTCTCCGGGTTTCGACTTCTTGGCAGGCACCGTCGTATTTGCCCTTGACCTTCTTCAGTTCACTGTAGCTGGCCTCGCGCTCCTTCTCAAGCTTCCCGTGGAAATCGACATGGCACTTCCTCAGCTCTTCATATTGGGCCGCAGAGTGCTTCAGTGGTTCTGCGACCTGGGCTATCAGGTCAGTTGCGAACTTATCCCGCTCCGCGGCGTGCGATTCCACAGCCGACAATTGCGTCGTCCACGTCGTGAGAGAAGCGCTCTCGAGGGATCCAGGGGTCATCGTAGGATTATCTCCAACACTCAACGGACTGATCTTCTTGGCCTTGCGATCATAGTACTTTTTGCAGAGAGCCGTAAGCTTCGCCGCATATTCCTTCTCAATCACGCTCCGTTCCCGGTAGAACTGTTGTATCTCCTCCATCCAAGCAATGCCATTGGAAACCTAAATATCGCATTTAGCACCGGCGCCAGTGTACTGCATCGCGTTTGCTGTATCTTGCCGTAGGCATCGTACATGCGGGGAAATGACATCGAGGACCGTACCCAATTGTTGACTGGCTTGAAGGCATCCTACTCCGGCGGAATATTAGCTTAGGCGGCATGGTTGGCTTTCTACCAGGAGCTCTCACCTTCAACTCTGCCCCAAAATGGGGAGCGGCCTCAGCGGCTGCCATTCTCCAAACAAATGTACCAGAGACTTTGGCACATGCGACTTGTGGATCCCAGGCAGCAGCGGAAAGAGGCAGACAAACAACCTCGCGCGGTAGAAGCTTTGGCGCTGACGGGCAATTGCCGATAATATGTGTTTGCTGCGAGCCCCCAACCAACAGACTGACAGCGCGCCAGTGCCTGAGGACAGTTATTGCTTCTTCGATCTGAACGGGCAATGCGGGAGAGCGGGGAAGACTCAAGGCACCGGCGAGTAGATAGGATGAGCTGGTGACAATACCGGAACACGCTTGTCAGGCCACGTTGGTGCCTTATGGTGGATTAATTACAGTCTACGTCATAACTTTACCCGTGTATCATTCACCGCCTGCCGCTTCTGAAGCTGCGCTGTCGCGCCCAATCAGGACTGGTGTCTTGGCATATTGAGGTCAAGGCCTGGTCTGTTTTTTGTCACTGCTTGCAACATCTCATTGTCACGATTCCTTTTCACTGCGCTAGTTGTGAGCTGGACCAATTACTCGCTTATTCTTACAGCTTGCACTCTGTTCTTTACTGAGGCGGTGTACTCTCCTTTATCTCGCTGTCCACCGTGTTAATCCGCCTTCAACCCCGCCAAAGCGCCCTCCTCATCCCCGCCGATACCTTTGACTCCTCTGTCTTTCTTCCTCATTTACATCTCACAACCATGGCCTCTGATGCTCCAACCGGCGGCTCTCTGGCCGACCGCATCTCGAACCCGGCAGGTACGCGTGCCGACTCGATCCCGCTCGATTTGATCACTCCGTTTCTAGTCCCTCCGCATTCAACACTTGCTAATAATCACTACCAATAGAGACCACAGAACCTGTCACGGACAATGGCCAGACCGACGGTGCTACACCTCACCAGCGTGGCTCAGACCTTGCGGAGCCGGAGTACAACGTCGAGGTTAAGCTCAGCGATCTTCAAGCCGACCCCAACAACCCCCTCTACTCAGTGAAGAAATTCGAGGACCTTGGACTGTAAGTCGTGTTGCGCCGTACTCATATCGCCTGGGTCTGATCTAACGCATGCTTTCTTACATAGAGACCCGCGCATCCTTCAGGGATTGTCCGCTATGAACTTCCGCAAGCCCTCCAAGATCCAAGAACGTGCTCTACCTCTACTGATGGGCAACCCTCCTAAGAACTTAATCGGTCAATCCCAGTCCGGAACTGGAAAAACTGCTGCTTTCGTCCTGAACATCCTCAGCCGTTTGGACTTGACTACCGAGCAAGCCCAGAACACGCCCCAGGCGTTGATTCTGGCGCCAACGCGAGAATTGGCCCGTCAGATCGTCGGTGTTGTTCAAGTTATGGGACAGTTCCTGGACGGGCTCAAGATTGGTACCGCTATTCCGGCTGAACTTAACGCGCGACCGACTCGTCTGGAGGCCTCGGTTGTCGTGGGTACACCTGGAACTGTCATGGAGATGATCAGGAAGCGCATTTTGGTGGCCTTAAGACTCAAGGTCATTGTCTTGGATGAGGCAGATAACATGCTCGACCAGCAAGGATTGGGTGACCAGTGTATGCGAGTAAAAGGGTGAGTTTCTAACTTTTCGTCCTTAGGGCCCTACTAATTATGCACAGCTTTTTACCCAAAGACATCCAAGTCGTTCTTTTCTCGGCCACTTTCCCTGCCCACGTGCACCAATATGCTTCAAAATTTGCGCCTTCGGCCAACGAACTCACCCTGCAGCATGAGGAATTGACCGTGGAAGGCATCAAGCAAATGTACCTCGACTGCTCTAGCGATGAAGATAAGTATAGGACGCTTGTGCAACTCTATGGGTTGCTTACCGTCGGATCCTCTATTATTTTCGTTAGGGTCAGTTATTACCTGTCAGTCATACGAGCGCCGCTAACCGCCGCAGACACGTCAATCTGCCGCTGAGATCGAGAGCCGAATGGTCGCTGAGGGCCACACTGTTGCCTCTTTGACCGGTGGTATCCAGGGCTCCCAGCGTGACGAGATTATTGACCAGTTCCGTGCCGGTCACGCCAAGGTCCTCATCACAACCAACGTCCTCGCTCGTGGTATTGATGTCTCCACAGTGTCCATGGTCATCAACTACGTACGTCTCTATCTATCACCATATTCCGTGGTCTGGTCGCTAATTTCTTCCTAGGACGTCCCCGAGATTCACCAGGAAGGCCCCAACCGCGGCCCCCGCCAGGCCGACTTTCAGACTTATCTCCACCGTATCGGTCGTACCGGACGATTCGGCCGCGTCGGTGTCTCGATCTCCTTCGTCGCAAACCGAGAGGAGTGGGAATTGCTTAACCAGATCCAGAGATACTTCAACACGGATATCCAGCGTATCGACACGAAGGACTGGGACGAGGTCGAGGACATCATCAAAAAGACGATCAAGAACTCCCGCGCTCAGGCTGGTTTCCGATGAGCGAGTTGCGTTGCGTTGCGTTGCGTCTGCGGGATGAGTCTCTCGTCCAATCTGTCGAATCCAATTGAGCTACGCTCAGCGCTTCGTGTTTCTTGTTTTTGCTTGCTAGGCTTGGGGCAGGAAGACCTTTGAACTTATGGAGGCGGTCGTCCGAGGCTTAATGCGTGGTTTTCGAGGCTTATGTGTGAAGATTAATGACTCTTTTCTTGACGTTATCGAGGTAAAGGAAAATCTAGAGATACCAGTTCACTTACACATCATGCTTTCTCTCGCTGTAGTTGTATAGTTTTTACACCTAAGTAGCGTGCTTAATGGTGGGTCCCTTATGGGCACATCAGCCCTAACTTTTGATCACTTTGACAAATTGAGACAAAGACGACTCGATCCCTAAATGTCTCGGGATACATGAACCACCTAATCAATAAGCCTTGTTACATCCCGCATAAATTACACGGAGTGTCGGTTGGGGGAAAGCCAGGAATATAAAAAGTCGAGCATTATTTTAGGTCCACATTGCTGTCCAACGTGGAAGACAGACGGTCTATCTACAACCAAACATATATGTAACCAGCAAACCCGAAATGCAGCTCCTCCTATAGAAAACCTAATAAAGCAAATAAACAGCATCGCCCTAATCAGCAACTTATATCAATCGTCCATCCCAGGTCCCGAAAGCCGCCGCGGACGCGCATGCTCGATTTCCAAACTACTCGTGCGGACGTGGTCGTATCGGCCCCTACTGTGGGAGAGGTCTAGCGACCGCATGCCCACCTCGCGCACTGAACCTTTGGGCGATACACATGAGGAAGCGGTCTTGGATAGGGTCAACAGCGAGATCCCGGTGAAGTTTAGGAGGAACCCGCACATCATCGAGGTGATGCTGGTCCAGTCGCTGGTGTTGAGGCCTTGGTAGAAAATGATCGAGGCGGAGAGCGTGCATGTCGTGAAGCCGACGTAGTACATTGCGTTTACACTGGAACAGTGTGAGCATGGGAGATCATGTCTTGGGGGCTCGGAAGGCCGATGCAAGCAAGAAGAAAAACTTACAGCGACGCGGGGAACTCGCTCATTGCTTTGTTCAGGTAGTTCATCTGCGTCAGCGTGGTGACGACCAAGGCCAAGGCGAAGACATATGTCGATGCATGGGTGAATTGGTTGTCTCCGCCTGCGGTGAGCTTTACTGCAATTCCGAAGGCCTTGACGGACATGACAGAGACGGAGCCAACGGAGGAGCAGATCGAGATGTAGACTAATGGATTTGTCCGGCCTTGTACCGGGGCGACTTTGAGTATCATATAGCCGGCGAAGACTGCGACGCAAATGCAGTAGATAATGAAGACTACATAGTTGTTAGTATGCTCTGCAGAAAGAGGGCGAAGAATGGGTTGCCGACATGGTTGAATAGCTAAGTGCAGGATTTCGTCGATGGTTTGAATATCCTTGTCGCCTGGTGCATGGAGGACCAGTAATACTGATCCCAATAAACAGGTGGCGCATCCGAGTTTTCCCAGGACTTTAATATCCTCCTTGAGAAAGTATGCGCCCATTAAGGAGCTCGAAGATGTTATCAGCGTGGCGCAAGTGATCAAAGGTTCTCTGGCGACTCACCCGATGAGTACGCTCAAAGCCCCTAGCGGCGTAACCAGCACTGCCGGGGCGAATGCGTAGGCTGCGGTATTCATCAGTTCCCCAGAGACCACTGCGCAATATCCTGTCAGTCTGTCGATGCTGGCTAGGTTAGATGTATCAACCGTACACATGATTGTCCCGCACCACCACACCGGGCTCCATATGTATTCAAATCCATCTCCGGTAAAGCCATGTTTCTCTGCTGCTTGCATAAGGCCCTTGTTTACTCATGTCAGATTTAGCTCCCGCAAACCTGAAGAATACGAGGTCTGATCAAAGGCGTACCTTTTTTGTGACGACATAGCTCGAACCTACCACAATTATTAGGGCACGGTTCAGAGTATAAATTGTGCACGGGAGGAGACCAACCAATAGCTATGGAGGACAACAGGGCCAAAGAAAGCCCAATAAACCTGGTGGAGCGAACAAAGGTAGTTAGTAGATAAGCGATTAAGGACAGATTGGAGGTATCCGGCAGCCATCGCAAGACATACTTATCGTCTACCTTGCCCGCCATGGTCAAAGCATGCGATCGGAGATTGTTGATCTGAGATGATACTAGGTGAGAGTCAAGTTCATGGAGAAGCGACTTCGAAGGAAACTTTGAATCTGGTCGCTGATCGCCAATGGCGGAAGGCTTGGTGTTTGTTTCGGGCGCTTGCATGCCATTCTTGCTGGGCACAGCCCGAATGCGTCAGCACTAGTACTTTTGTTAGCACAGATCGCTGGACCCGGGGAAGCCCTGCAAATTATAAATCTATACATACTCGAGAAGCTAATAATGCATATACAGGACATGTTCATCCTTACATCTCAGTCATCGGTGCCTGAGTGTGCTGTTAACTCGGGCTTCTTCGCTCTGCGATTGTATCTTATCGGCTCCCATCTTATCGATACGGAGGGAAGACCGAACTGTAGTACAAGGACTCGAGAGCAAAATGGCGAGAGCCGAACACGCTACGGTAGATCATCCTGTGGCTTCGCGGGATACCAGGTACCAGAGCGCTAAGCCTACTCTGTAGTCAGGCCAGAGGCGTTATCTTCGGCGCTGATAGTAGACTATCGACACTGATAGCGCTGATCGGGGGCGGCCGATGAGGGGAAGCTCTGATAAGCAACTGATAGCAACTGGTGGGAATCATGGACATTTCCTAGACTGATCATTACTAACGTGAATTGAACGAGGAGTTAGATCAAGCTAGAACGGGGTTTGAGTCTCCAACGTAGCATTTGGACTGTATAGCGCAAAGGAGGAAAGTATGTACGACGTAGGTAAGGCAGCTTAGCAGATAAGGTGCGGAGAACCCAAGCCAAGTCACATGCAGGGTGCCCCGGGCCTTCCCAGCTTTCTCACTCCTTGTCTTTCTCTCTTCTCTCTCTTGTCTTTTCCAACTCCTTTGTCCCTTCAAGATCAATACCAGAGATTCAGCTGTTAAGTCTCGTCAGCATGGCTCAAGAAGAGACAACCGTCCAACCCAAGGATGCGGAAACAACTGCCGTTCAGTCCCCTTCGGCCTCGAGGTACAGTAAGCACATCATTGTAAGTGAATCCGCACTCCTAGGAGGGAACCGAAGTCACTGCTAACTATATAGTTAACAACGTATCCTGGCCAAAGTGGTATCGATCCTGTTCCTCTCGAATGGGGCGCTCCAGACGCGAAGTCCCGCGGCCCTGTCGTCGTCTCCCGTAGCGGAGCCTTCCTCAAGCGTCGCAATGCAATGGGTGCCCATGGTGGAAGCTATAGTATCTACAATGCGCTGGCTATTGCAGCGGGAGACCTGGATCCCGAGTTCCGCCCCAATTTCGTCAATACGGAACCCACCTTCGATTTCCCCTGGCAAAAGTCCTGGGCTGACAAGACAAAGATCGTGTCCATGGACCCCTACGGTCACGATGTGGTCAAGTACTTTGGGGATAAGATTAGCGCTGGCTGGGATATTCGGCCTACGATGGCTATAACTCGTGCTAATATGAAGCTGGCGGAGATCGCGGAGGCGGTTCGTGATGGACACCTGGACGTCGATGGTTCTATCGTGGTAGATTCCACTGGTGAGGTTCGTGTGACGAAGGTCGCCGTTGAGCCGGTATGGTATCTCCCCGGGGTTGCTGAACGGTTTGGAGTCGACGAGCCTACTCTCCGTCGGACACTCTTCGAGCACACAGGCGGTAGTTACCCAGAACTCATAACGAGGCCGGACTTGAAGATCTTCCTTCCTCCAATTGGCGGGCTGACCGTCTATATTTTCGGGCCCCCGGAGCGGGTAGCTGATGAGAATGTCAAGCTTGCTTTACGGATCCACGACGAGTGTAACGGTAGTGATGTGTTCCAATCGGACATCTGCACGTGTCGGCCCTACCTGGCGTTCGGAATTCGCGAGGCCATCCGCGAGGCACAGAACGGTGGCAGCGGGGTGGTGATTTATTTCCGAAAGGAGGGTCGCGCTTTGGGAGAAGTGACCAAGTACTTGGTCTACAACGCCCGCAAACGTGGCGGCGATACTGCCGACAAATACTTCACCCGGACAGAGAACATCGCAGGAGTACGAGATGTAAGTGCCAACAGGGCGATTGTATACAGGAGGACCTACATGCTGAACAATATATAGATGCGTTTCCAAGCTCTCATGCCCGACATTCTGCATTGGCTGGGAATCAAGAAGATCGACCGAATGCTATCAATGTCCAACATGAAACACGATGCCATCGTTGAGTCAGGCATCAAGATCATCGAGCGCATACCCATTCCCGAAGACATGATTCCCGACGACTCGCGAGTCGAAATCGACGCAAAGATCAACGCCGGGTATTTCACGACCGGCAAGCAATATACCATGGAAGAACTGGCCCAAGTGCGCGGACGAGGGTGGGAGAAGTGGGAAGATATCACGGTACGCCGCTTGTGTTTGGTGAAGGCCACGCTGCTAACATTACAAACAGCATTGATAAATCTTGTGAGGAATTACATACCACTGATGTTAGCTTTCAACAAACTTTCTTTCGGTTCATCGCCCCGCATGTCCCTAGTTTACACTTTCTGCATAAATACCAGAACAGATGGGAATAAAAGATCCACCTTAAGTAGATACAAGGCGTATATACAAGCGACCTCGGAAGTTCGCCGTGATTTCGGATATGTCCTCCGTAAAGTGATAAGCCGCGGGCAGCCTACCCCAACTTCACGGCCACAGGCCGAGTCGGATATTTATCCTTATGTACTACCCCACATTGCGATGTTTGTAGAAGTATAAAATCGATGGAGAGGCAATGGAGTGTGCCAACTAGACGATTTTGCTTCTCAGACGGCCCAGTCGTTGATTCCTTGATACCCCCAACTCACCTTGCAGCAGACATCAGCAACAATGGGTTCTCATTATCCCGCAGTCAACGCGCAGCCCCATGTCCCCAAAGCGGGGGTGTGGTGTCCGGCAGTGACATTCTTCGACCATGCAACAGATACAATCGATCTGGAAGCGCAGAAGAAGTACTACACCTACCTATCCAAGACCGGCCTTGCTGGCCTCGTCATTCTTGGAACAAACTCCGAGGCCTTCCTCCTCACACGAGAAGAGCGGGCGCAGCTGATCGCCGCAGCCCGCGAGGCCGTCGGCCCTGACTTCCCTCTAATGGCCGGTGTAGGCGCCCACTCGACAAAGCAAGTGCTAGAGCTAGCAGCAGATGCGGCCGCGGCCGGCGCAAACTACCTCCTTGTCCTACCACCCGCGTACTTCGGCAAAGCAACGACCACAAACGTTATCAAGCGCTTCTTCGCCGACGTCGCCCGTCAGAGCCCCCTCCCTGTCGTGATCTACAACTTCCCCGGCGTCTGCAACGGCGTCGACATCGATTCCGAGACGATAACGCATATCGTGCAGGAATCAGCGAAGTCGAGCTCCAACGGCGTCTCGAATGTTGTTGGCGTAAAGCTGACTTGCGCGTCTGTTGGAAAGATCACCCGTCTCGCGGCAACATTCCCTGCATCTGAATTCGCCGTGTACGGTGGACAATCGGATTTCTTGATTGGTGGGCTGAGTGTTGGCTCGGCAGGATGTATTGCGGCTTTCGCGAATGTCTTCCCGCGCACCGCATCGAAGGTTTATGAGCTTTATACATCCGGGAAAGTAGCTGAGGCAATGGAGTTGCACAAGAAGGCCGCTTTGGCGGAGAGCCCCTGTAAGAGCGGCATTGCGTCAACAAAATACGCGACTGCGATTTACTCGGCCAAGCTTGCAGGCATTGAGAATGCCGAAGAGAAGTTGAAGCCCCGGACGCCGTATGAAGAGCCCGCTGAGGGCGCGAAGAAGGTGGTGAGGGATGTGATGGCGGGAATCGCGGAGCTTGAAGTGACCCTTTGATTGAGTTATGCAAGCAGCATGAACTATACATAAAATACCAGTTTGTCATTTATGCATGAAATAATTCTGCCAGGCGGTAGCTGATAATCAGCCCGCTGTCAAGAGCCGGTGGCCGTGCCGGAAGCGCAGATTCCCGCGATCATACGACGCCCGCCGCAGCCCTTCCATTGGCTCCCAAGCACCAGTTTTCGATGGTGGTTGGCGATGCCACTGCCAGGCACCCTCCCGAGTCTGTGGCAACTGTCTCCCGAGCATGGACGAGATAACCAATTGTTGACACTCACGGACGCCTTTGGCAAGTCAAATCCATCATCCTGTGAGAAGTTTGGTAAGACCAAAGAGCGAAGCAAGCGCCAGGAACGCAGCCCTGTCAAGTGGAACGAGAGCCTCCTATAATATCCTTCCATGTGAAGGAGGAACCACGGTGCCTAGAACCACATTACCAGGCGGTGCTCAACCGAACTCCCAACGCTTTGATAAGATCTTCCCTCCCTAGGCAGGAACCTAGCCACCTTCTGCAACATCTCAGTCATCCTTGTCATCGACAGCCGCTTCAGTTAGTTGCGGTATTCATATCCTGCTCAACGTCACAAGTGACTCAATTCGACTCCCTCGCCTCCGTTGTCGGTCCGATTATCATTCTCCACACTGCAGCGCTTTAGGCCCCTTAGCGCGTCGGCTTGGGTGGCTGATCGACAATCAATCTTCGAACTTAAGGTGGCGACGTCGCGGCTCGACCCTGTTTTCACAACTTGCTTTTCATATCGTTGTATGTCTTGACGTCGATGCCATCACCTACTTTGTTGCTGATTTCAACCGACAACGCGAGAACCCCGCGCGGGTTTATGATACGAACCGATATACGACCACGATAACCGGGTCACGGTCCATGGTCACAACGTTCACGATATATGCAGATGGAAGCCCCTAGTATAGGCACCGACTTTCAGCTCTTCTCGCCCGCTCACTCGAGGGGTAGGAAGAGCTCACAGGGCGATTCCGGCTCCGATGATGCTGGTCAAGATTGGAATGAGTGGATGAGATGGGATGAGCAGGCTTTCCCGGACTCCAAGAACTTGCCGTTGTCGCCATCTCTCACATCGCCGCCGTTCTCCGATGGGAAGCAGGGTATCGACCTCTTTCCAACCGGGGACTTTTCTCCCGACGTTCCCCTCGACTGTACGAACATCTCTTTCGACGCTTTCCCAACGCAAGACAGTAGCGGTGTTCTTCCGACACCGAACTTTTTCCAGGATGGTATGGATACTTTTACCGCAAACTCCGTCGTATCCGGATCTCCTCTCTCGACAGTCGCTGGACAGAAGCGTAAATCTGGTAGTGACGACGACGGGTCCGCTGGCAGTGGCGTGGTGCAGGAAGTGAAGAAGGTGCCGTCCAAGAAACGAGCGCATAACGTCATCGAAAAGCGATATCGTGCGAATCTAAACGAAAAGATAGCCGAGTTACGGGATAGTGTTCCCAGTCTGCGAGCATCCAAGGGCAGCGGAGGTCTTGCTGACGATGAGGATGAAGGCGTCACACCAGCAAACAAACTTAACAAGGCTTCTATTCTCTCAAAGGCTACTGACTATATCAAGCATTTGGAAATCCGCAACAAGCGCCTTGAGGATGAAAATACGGCCTTGAAGATCAGACTTCGCGAGCTGGAAAAAGCGGCTGATCAATCCTTAACTTCGGCAGCCTCTGTATCATCGCCTAGCAATTACACCGTCTCCACAGAGTCCGGAGGAAGCTCGTCTCCCAGTATCTTTTCGAATCCGGAAGACAGCCCGATTGAACCCTCGCCCTCGTCTTCTCGTCCAGCGGCAGGCATGATTCAAATGCCGGACTCCTTCAAACGCATGCGCAGCGAGCAGCCGAAGGACAATCTCTGGTCACAGTCATATATGCAGTATCCCAGTTCAAGCAGCGGGTCTGCCCAATCTGGAAATGGTCGCCGGCGGTCATATTATCCGAACAAATACGTACTTGGCACTCTTGCCGGGCTTATGGTTTTTGAGGGCTTGGGTAAAGAGAAGGAGACTGACTCGACGGCCAAAGGCTTGCTGGCTCTGCCGTTCAACTACTTCAGGAATGTTGAGGTTCCACCCGTCCTATATGAGACAATGGGCCGGAGCTTCTGGTCGTCGTGGCACGCCAAAGCTATCCTACACTTCCTTTTCTTGGCCGTTCTAGTTGTTGGCTCTGCTTTCATTGTGTTCGTCTATCTCTTCAATTCCGGACCCGGACACCAAAGCTCTTCCAAGGTGTCCACGACGAATGTCATGCTGTCTTCGTCGAATTTCCGACGCCAAGCCTGGCTGACCAGTATTCAACGAGTCGGGGTGCCAAGGCATCGGTTTTTTCACGAATGGTATGTCGTGACTTCACGGTGTTTTGAATATGTTCTACGATGTCTTCTTGGATGGAAGCTTTATTCCTCGATTACTGGCATCACAGCAGAAGATGAGAAGGGCCGGGTCAAGACGTGGGACATTGCGATTGATGCGCAACTCTCTGGCGGCGATGCCGAGATCAGCAAGAGCAGACTCGTACTTACGATCTTCGCTGCTGGGACTTTACCGCGTAGCCCGATGAGAATGATGCTCAAGGCGCTTCACTGCCGCATCCTCCTATGGAGAGTTGGGGTTCCCGGTCAATGGAGCTATCAAGTCTCCAACGATGTTGCCCGCTCACTTGCCAAGTATCAATGGGACCTGGCACGGAAGAAGAATGCGGCATTACCCAAAGACCACGAGGATGCCCTTCCGTCGCATCTCAAGGCGCTGCTGAAATGCGAATGCGAAGATGTCATGATCGACAGCATAATTCAAAGGGCGGCCAATTTGACATGGAACGATCCTACGCAAGAAGGATCCGATGGTGATGACGCCTTCTTGGATGTAGTTGAAGAGGATCCAGCGATTCAATCCTCCCTGGATGCTCTTGCGGCGTGGTGGTCGTCTCACCTTTTACAGCGAGCACTTCTCAGGTATTTCGAGGCGAGTGCACGCGGTCCGGATGCAAAGAAGAGCCGTGACCTGTTTAAGGCGAAGATTCAGCTTGCTCTCGACGTGGCACCGCAGCCTTCCGCCGCTCATACTCGCGCGCTTGTAATGATGGCGGTGTTCTTCGAGCAAGACCGGGTCGAGAACATCGGAGCCGTCCTTGCCGCGCTGCCCAAGGAAAAGTCCAAGAGTACACAGAACTCGACGTTCAACTTCCTGGACTCCTCACTGCCGGTGTCTGTCCGCGAGGAGATTTCTATCGCAGTTCGCTGCGCTATGATCGCCGCTATCTTTACCGCGCGATCTCGCCACGAAACTTCGCTGCCCGAGTCGTTCACGATGGAGAAAGCCGTGACTTGGTTTGATCAGCTGCCGCTAGATCCGGTCGACCTGACACTTCTCGGCTTCTCTGCTGTGTACCATCTACTTCATGTTCTTGCTTCGGATACCGGCTATTTGTCGTCTTCGGATTCGTCGCGGCCGTCGTCGCCCATGCTCAAGGACTCGCTTGGAGACTCATCCGATGATGCCGAAGATGAGGCAGATGAACCGGCTACGTTCAAGAAAGGTGCCCCGGAGCCGGTACCGCTTATCGGACGTGTCGCGTCAGAACTCATGTACTGGGCTCGCAATGCGTACAACCCAACCTTCTACGGCTTCACCTCAGACCTTGTCCAGGTTATCGAAGAGGAATGTACTTCTTTATGCCGCGGGGCTGGGGTCGACGTTGCGGATTACGCCCGTCTTCATCAACAGAGATTGAAGGCGAGCCATCGCAAAGACAAGCAAAAGAACAAGTCTCGGTCATCGAGAGAACATATCACTCCACCTGCCGAAGCTCATCGTGACACCAAGTCAACGACTAGTATCAAGTCAAGCGAGTCTCGGCATGCTCAAAAAGACCAACCAACACGGGCAAAATCCACCGAGACAGGGATGGAGCGGACATAGTTTGTATATCCAATAATGTATTCTTGATGGAATTTATATTGGCTGTAGATATACCTGGTTATAGGAGCCTGGATGGGTAATCGGAAGGCGTTAGGGACGAAAAGCGATATCTTCGCTCATCAATACCAGTCTGTTTCTTTCGGCCAATACTACCTCAAGATTAGAATAAACAGTTTAGACATCGCCAAACAACATGGCGACGCGGTGATGTTATTCAAGCTGGTGACGTTTGCTCGCCAAACGGGCCTTGTATCAGAGCTTCTCCCGTTCTATCCTGACTTTTTCCCAGACCCAACCCAACCGCGTTCTATACACGCCATCGGCGATCATTAAAGGGAGCATCAATACGGAGCCATGTCTGGTGAGTGACGAAAGTAGCGCTCAGGGGTCAGGGCCTGCGACCTGAGGGCGAACTGGCCAACTTCCGCTTCCAGCGCTGGTGTTCCACCCACCATGCTTGCATCCAAGGCACCGCACCCCGATCTAGATCTAGCTTTTCTCTCAGCCTGAATGACTGGTTCAGCTTACTGACAGCGTCTAGGTACCACATTTTGGTTGTTTGTCACTCAATATACGTTCTAGTCATCGCTAAGATGTCCGTTCACCTGGCCCGATATCCACGCGCATTCTTCCACCGTCAATTATTTACGGTTGCAGGTCATGCTCAACCAAACATTGGTCAACAGCATTGCTTCGATGCCCCCCGAGCGCTCGTGACTTTTCCGGCAGACAATGGCCTTGAAACCAGCTTGGATGACGGCATAGTTGACTCGCTAGAGTGAGTCCAGTGCGGGCGATGGCGAGAGGCTTTGGGCCTTCAGCGCGCCGTCAGGTGTCCTCGTCGGCGTTGGTTTCGGACGGCCGTGCTTCGGAGCTGTCATCGGGCGCGAGATGGAGACGCAAATGGATGCTATGGCAGTGATGGCAGTGAGTTTATGCGGGAATGGGTGTGTCACGGACGACGTTTGGCAGGCCGTACGAGAAGCCCAGAAGGGGGGAAGACGGTAAGTCTACACGGCGAGGCTTTTTGCTGGTAGCCATGTTGGCGTATATATTATCTATTAGCCCCACGATCTGTCCCTTGACATGACTGTTCATATCCATGCAATATACCCTTCTTCCATCTACTACAGCACACTCCTACTCCTAACCAAATGCGCATTAACAGGCGTCAGCGCCCTCCCCTCCCTGAAAAACGCCAGGATATTCTCCATCGCCAGCCTCTCAAACCCAATGTGCGTATCCACCGTGCCCCCCGCATTATGGCTCATCATCATAACCCTCGGATGGCGCGCCAGCCGCGGATGCACATTTGGCTCGTCGGCGTGCACATCCATCCCCACGCCCACCAGCGTCCCATCCTCCAGAGCCCCCAGCACCGCCTCCTCATCAACCAGCGACCCCCTAGCAATATTCACGAACCGCGACCCCCTCTTAAACTTCCCGAAGACCTCGCGGGTTAGCAACGTCTCGCCCGCGAAGGGCGTCGCGACAACGACGCAGTCGGACTCAGCCAGCATGTCGTCGAGTGTCGCGTAGAACGTGCCATCAATGCTTCTCTCGACCTCGGTGGGTTTGCGCACGATGTCGTGGTATAGGATCTTCATTCCAAAGGCGGCGTGGACTTTCTTCGCGATTGTGAGCCCGATTTGTCCGAGGCCGATGATGCCGAGCGTGTGGCCGCGCGGGTTCCGTGCCGTGAGGGGACTATTCTGATGTGCGTCCAGGAACGCCCGTGGGTTCTGCGAGATCGCGGCGTTGTGGCTCCAGGCGAGGTTCCGGAAGCTGGCCAGGATCAGGAAGAGGGCCATGTCTGCTACGGATTCCGAGGATGCCGCGGCGCCGTTGCAGTATATTATCCCTGTCCATATCACATTAACCACATAGTCCTGTTCTGTTTGGAAGAAGGGCGAGGACGGAGCGGCGTACCCTTCTCAGCAAGATACCCCGTATCAACCCAGTCGAAGCCAGCCCCCGCAGAGGCAAAGATCCTCACTGATTTCGGGAGCAGGTCGATGAGCTCTTTGTCCCACTTGCCCATTTCGCCGCCGGTGTTCCAGAAGGGGCGGAGGATTGCGGTGAACGAGCCATAGCGGTTTTCGCGCAGGGCGGTCTTGAATGATTCGCGCGTGCGTTCGGGGGTTGGGGGGCGGAGGACGGTGAAGTGGGTGCTGAATGTGGTGTAGAGGTCTGGGTTGTATTTTATGGGGTCGCCGAGGTGGAGGATTGTGGGTTTTGTGGTGGACATTTTGGATGGGCTTTTAGAGAGAACGGGAGGAAGCTGTGAAGAGAAGGAGATGCAGCGCGATGGATGGGGATGAGTCTGTTAGGGCTTCCGTATATACTTCGGCGTTGCCCTCAATTGCCGTCAAAGACCGATTGCCGATCGTACGGGCTTTGACATTGCTGTTTTACCTACCAATGATCGGCGTAATAATGCCGGTACATGATCATTTTATGTTTCATTTATTATTGGTTCTCCAGGCCGATTCCAAACCGGTCTGTGGTGTTGAGTTCTACGGACAAGCTCCCGTCCCGAATAGCTTCATGGAAGCCGGAACCCGAATCGAGGAACTACAGACGGACACCTATGTTCTCTTTGGGTACTTCAGTACATTCCCGACCAACATTACTATTACCTATCCAAAATTAACTTAACCAACACATTACCAACCGCGCAGCCACAATTAATCAGCCGTACCAGTCCTCAGTCTCACGCCGTCTCTCCGCAGCCCTAACAGCCCACCTCACCAGATCCGCCATCGCCCCGCTAACCGCCTCAAAGCGCGGTATCTCATGCCCCCCGCCATGATTATACACCTTGCGACTGCTCTTCTCGCACACCTCGCTGAGCTGGATCCCCGCAATATAGCGCGGGTCACGCTCGCCGTAGATGTGCACGGTCGGGATGGTGATCTTCACATTCCCATTTCCATTCCCGTCGCTGGATCGGCGCGGAAGACCGGCGGTCAGGGCTTGGTTGGTATCGGCGGTAGGACTAGGACTCGGGTACGCATGCGGACCGGAGATCTCGCGGCGGATCTCGTCTTCCTTGTTGAATGTCAGCTGCAGCGTGTTGATGTTGTTGTCGTCCATGTCGCTGGTGGGTGAAGGGTAGGGGTTTAAGTTGAAGAGGCTGTGGCCGAGGCCGAGGCCTGGGTTCATGTCTAGGTTTGGCAAGTGTGAATTTGCGGACCACCGCGCGGAGCCCTTTGAGAGAATCGCCTCGGAACTAGCCATCTGCGCCAGCGTAGCGCGGCTCGCAAGGTCTCGTGCTTTCGTGATCTCGGGGATGGTGTACCCGATGTGGGACATTAGGGTGAGCGGTGCGCCGCCGCAGATGAAGATTGCTGCTTTGAAGGGCGGGCTGTTGCTTTCCCCATCTAAGGAGTCTTGCTGGGACTGGGCGTAGTCATACTCATGCATTAATAGCGTCTCTGCTACGACGCTGGCACCCTGCGAGAATGTCATGACGAGATCGTATGGTCCTCGTTCCGCAATAATACCCGCTAGCCATTTCTGCGTTGAGCGGATCGTCTCGATGGTTGTGGGCTGGGCGCTTTCTGGATAGAATGTGTAGTAGGGTGGTGTGTAGAAGAGGTCGATTCCTGGTGCTGGGGCGGCGGGGTACGGGCCGTCCACGAAGTCGAAGGAGAGGTTGAGGTCTGTGAGGCGGGAGCGGATGGAGGCTAGTTGTGCGGGCTGTTAGTTGGGTGTCTCAGTTAGATATTTGGTGGGCAGAAGAATGGCGGGGATAGCACAGACCGGTCTGAGACTTGAAGATGACACCGCTTGTTCCGCGGCCGTGGAGGCAGAGGACTTTGAGTTTCGGTTTCATCGCTGTGCTGGAGCCAAGATGATTGCGGTGCAAATGCGGGGATGGGGCGGGTGGATTTGTAGCGCATGCCAATTGGTATCAACGAGGTCAGGTGGACTCATGGCTGGTCTCCTTGCAGGGCTGACGGCTTGACGCGGCATGACTGGATGGAGGTCGTGCTTTATCGGAGAGTAAACAATGCTCGGGGGCCGGAACGTCTACTGCCTAGACTAGGTTTCTGATCACCTGCGCAGTACGAGGCCAATAGCATAAGGCACGGGCTCAATTTGGTAGGTACTAGCGCGATGTACATAAAGAGCGGACATGGTCGGTTTGAGAATCAACAAGGACAAAGACAGAACAAAGCCAAACAATAGCTGGAACTGCGTTGAAGCAGTCCGTCATAGCAATTTCAGACTGCATGGTTGAGCATGCCGGAAGTCACTTCCATCTCCGCTACTTCTCCGCTACTTCTTCTCCGTCACGCTGGCAATGAAGCTAGCATCGACACTGGCGTTCGCGCTCATCGAGATGGGTGTCAGGCTTCGCAGCCCGGCTCTCATTTCGGCGTCGTCCATAGTCAACGTCGCGTTCTTCCCTGTTCCAATTCCAAATCGGCGCTTGATTGCCTTCCAGCTCTCCACCAACGCCAGGTAAACCACCACGCAGCCAAAGACGATTCCCCAGTGCCAGCTGATGCCTTGATGCTTGAAAACGACGCGGTTCACCTCGGGGAGGTAGATGACGGGGAAGGCGATCACGAATCCTGCAACGACAGCCCAGAAGAGAAACTGGTTTCGCCAGATGGAGTGGAAGATCGAAAACTTGCCCGGATATCGGTCTGGGTCGAGGTTGAAAAGAGATCGTGAGAAGTGCTTCACCTCCCATGCTGTGACAAGTAGTAAGTAGGTAAGAGTGGCGTAGGTTGTGGCTCGGGCTTCAAACACGGTGCCGCAACTACTGTTCCACCCCTCGTTGCAGTCATCTCCCATGCTGGCAGTGCCTGAGCCGGCGCCGTAAATCACACTTACAAACGACACCAGACAGAGGCAACCCATGAAAGTACCGTACACCATCTTGTCGGTGATAAGCTCGCGCGTGAAGACGCCGATCTTCAGGTCGTGCGGCGGGCGATACATGATATCAGGCTGAGCTTCCTCCAGACCAAGTCCTAGAGCGAGGAATGAGGAAGTCACCAAGTTGGCCCAGAGAATCTCCAGCGGCGACAGAGGAAAGATGGAGTTCCCGGCCTCATCCTTGAAGGCGAGAGCAATTAGTAAAAGAATGACCTGCGCGATGTTGGATATCAACAAGTGCATCAGGAACTAGTCGAGTTAGCCGGATCCATATTTCCAGGAAGGAGCCAAGTACCTTTTGAATATTGTCAAAGAGCCGTCGCCCTTCTTCGACGGCTTTTACGATGGACGCAAAGTTGTCGTCGGTCAAAACCATATCAGCCGCCTCTTTCGCGACGTCGCTACCGTTCTTGCCCATGGCAATGCCCACATCAGCACGCTTCAACGCAGGCGAATCGTTGACGCCGTCACCAGTCATGACGCAAAAGGCACCCCGGCGATGCATCGCTTCGACCATGCGTACTTTGGTAGTGGGACTGCATCGCGCAATGACCAACGGCAGCTGTTCGATTGCGTCAATATCAGCATCGGACAATCGGTCGAATTCCTTTGCTGCCATGACCAGACGACTCGACTTTGCATCCACGATAGGGTCTAGAATACCCACTTCCGATGCAATCGCCGTGGCGGTTCGGATGTGGTCGCCTGTGAGCATATGGACTGTAATCCCGGCCATCTGGCACTTGCGGACGGCGGCTGCTGTTTCAAGGCGAGGGGGATCGTATAGCCCAATCAGACCGGCGAATCTCAGGTTAGATTCTGCCATATTGCGCTCTGATATATGTAATGTATCATTGACAGGAGTCTTTTTGTACGCGATACAAAGCACGCGGAGGCCTTCTCCGGCCATTCTATCGGCGGTCTCTTGAATCAGGTCTTTCTCCTCATCTATCACATCAAGGCTAGGGATGAGCGCCTCTGGAGCACCTTTCGAGTACACTTCATTGAGCCCGGCTTGTTGGTTGGTGTAGACAACCGTCATCTTCTTGACGGAGGAGTCAAAAGGATATTCCGTGTGGAGCTGAAGACCTCTGTTTCGGACAACGTCTGGCTTCTCATACCCGAACCGCATAGAGAACACCCGCAGAGCAACCTCGGTGGGCTCGCCAACAGCAACCCACCCACCCTCAGCCACCTGAGCGGGTACGTCTTCTGATGAAGCAGATTTGGCGTTGTGCACTGTCGATAGATTGCACAACGAGAGTGCTGTAGTAAAGGTATTCGCCGAATCGTCTTGGACGACTCTGGGGTGGATATCACGACCGTCAAGTTGGATCAACCCACTTGTCGGGTCAAACGGGTTAGTGGTCTGGTGCACGGTCAAGATGCCGGTCCCTGGGATCCAGGCAGTACGTGCGACCATCTTGCCCTGGGTCAGAGTACCTGTTTTGTCCGAGCAGATGTTGGTCACTCCACCCACCGCTTCGAGACATTGCAGTTTCCGAACAATCACATTGCCTCTGGCCATTGCCTTGGTGCCAACCGCGACTGTAATAGTGAGCACTGCGATCAGCGACTCGGGCACAACAGCGACCGCGACGCAGATCCCGTAGATGAGGACCTCGCCTTGGATGTCCCATTTGTTCACGGAGAAGACAATGATGGCTAGAAGGATGGCTAGTGCAAAGAGGAGCAAAGCGAACTTGCTCAGCTTTACCTGCAGGGGCGTCCCGACAAGACCGAGGATGCTCTTTACGGTAGCAACTAAACGGCGGAACATGCGGACATATAAGTTCGCGTCATCGTGTTCAGCTCTATCCTGAAGTAACTGAGCGATCTTCCCCACTTCCGTGTTCATTCCAATGGCAGTGACCACGCCAGTCGCTCGGCCCTGGGTTGTGCTACAACCAGAGTAGGCCATGTTGGTCCTATCGCCAATCGGCATATCACGCGAAGTTAGGGTCAGGTGTGGAGTCTTTGCTACGGGTAAAGATTCTCCTGTCAACAGCGCTTCGTCCATGGAGGCGTTCATGCCTTCGAACAACCTCAAATCTGCTGGAACAATGTCCCCGACTGCGAGTTGCACGATATCCCCGACCACAAGTGATTCCGCCTTTACAGAGGTAACCCTGCCATCCCGCAGTACCTTACATATTGGGGCAGACAATCGCTGTAGTGAGAGAATATCTTTTTCTGCACGGTAGTCTTGCACGAAGCTACCAAAGTTAGACCAAGCCGTAGTAGGAATAGAAATGCTTACCCTACGATGATATTGAGGAGGATGACGGCGGTAACCACGCCCCCTTCAATATAATCATGGATCCCAAAGGACACTCCCATGACGATGACGAGAATCTAGCCACAGTTAATGGTGGTTTCTGCACCGCAAGGCGGCTGACTTTGACATTGGCGAGATCATACTAAAGTTAAACTGTTGGAAACTTGCCTCAGGAGGATCTTCCATGCGGATAGTCCTTCCATCTCCCTAACTCTATTGGGACCATCTCGTGCAAGACGAGAAGAGGCCTCCTCGTTGGAGAGCCCATGTCTACATGGTCAGCGCATGCATATAGCCCAAGAAGGATAAACATACTGAAGATCGACATCGAGAATTGCCGAGAGGCTAGAGGGGGTGATGATGTGAGCATGGTCTGTTGGGTTCGGTAGATCATGTTCAGAGTGGTGGGCTGTAGGGGGAGTCTCGTCTGGTGGTCCTGCAGCCTTCTCGATGTCGTGCGCGTCTTTTACATCTCCGGGGCGATTATGGTCTGGTGAATTGTGCTCTTGGGAGTAAGCACATATAGGAGGCTCCGTCGATTCCTCGACATCAAGTGGAGCTGTTTCAATGCCCATTCAATTGGAGTTGGGGTAGACCGAAGGAGATGCGACGAGGGCGCCCGGAGATGGTCTCGAGGTGACTACAAGTAGGGCTGAGCGAACAAAGAGGGGGGATTAGCGACGGAGCCAGTCAGGACGGGGATACTCCGGACGCACCTTATATAGCTTGACAGGGGATTTGCCTAGGGCGGGGATGGATGCGACCAAGAATCATGGCATGAGGGGTAGCCACGGCTGCGCCATTCACGATACGTGCTTCAATATTTGTAGATTCTGGAACGTTATCTTGGCCGGTTGCATCACCGTCTGAATCACCATACATTTCGACCACAAGTCAAGCCGCTAAGGGCTTGGATATTGACGGCAGATTGGACGTGGGCCAGTCCGGGGGAACCGTTTAGCGGAGACTATGCCTTAGGGATCAGTCGTGGCCACAACAGAATCCCAAGAGGGCAACCAGTGAGGAGGCTTGGAGAGTGAGACGATGGAGCCGGCGTTGAAGGCACGAGGGGCACGTGAGCCTATGCTGCTCTCGCAGTCGCAACCACTCTTGGCTCTGCATTCTGCCACGGTTCGATGCTGTCATTGTTTCGGGTTATTTCTGAAGCATACTGAGGAGCCACAGTCGCATGTGCGTGGCTGAGAATCAGTCCCTCTCTCCTCTATCACTGTCTACTCCGTAGGTACCAATTCAACAGACAGACAGACAGACTCGAATACAAATTTGGCAGCCAAGACGCCCACGCTGCATTATTCTGGCTGCTTCGCCTCACCAGATCTCGGCATCTGGAAGATCTTTCAAAGTCGCCGATTCATTATTCAGATTCGCCTAGCGAATTGCATCACAAACTAACAGGTGCTGCAAATAACCCGGGCTGGGTTCCCTTTCTGCCTAGACCACGGTATTCGACAGGCATGGAGTCATAACCACCAACTTTCTTCCATCAGAGGGTCTCGTAACAATTACGCCCAGCTGTCCCATTGAAGGACAATGCAAACTTTAACCATTCGATTGGTCGCATAGTGCGGTCTCACCTCTTTACATCATGATTCGTCTTTAACGACCCCGTGTTGCCTATTGAACCCCGGCAATGCCGAACAGCATGGTTACAGAGTCAGTCGGTAAGAAAGCCGGATGGATGGACTGGTACTGTGGAGGTTGGTGAGAGTTTGAGCTTCTCAACTCATGCCATGTCTTGTCCGTGTTTTGGAGTTGTACGCGGCGAATTTGCTGGAAAGGAAAGCCGGCTCCTAGACTGTGCTGCCAAAGCAATCATCTATTTTCAGACATCCAAGATAAGGCATTGTGGTCATCTGATGTAGCACCGAGCATCTCCAAATCCTTCGGAGAGTAGAGAAAGTTGACGTTGTTCCGCAGCTCCAACTGGCCGTGAGATTTTCAGGCCACAGTTGTGCAGCCTCAGGCATGAAGTTTCAACCAATCAGCTGAAGCCCCGCACTCGCTGGGTTCAATCAAAATTTCAAGCTGCAGCTTCAACCCAGCACCGTTACTACACCGTGCCGTAGCTCTTTACTCGCCTTAGAGCGTAACTCCCGCAAACACGAACGAACCTACTACATACCCCGAATAAGCTACGCCATGGGTGGACCGATTGCTGTTCTTCACCCGCTCGACCGCGCCGATGGCTCAGCTTCATATAAGTGTCCCTCGACTGGATCAAACATCCTAGGATCGGTAAATGCCCCCATCGAGCTCCCTGGGCGTCGTGATGCCCTGAAGCCAGAAGAGGCCACCATTGAGGTCTTCGTGAAACCGGGCACCGCTCCTGGCGGAGTTGGCGAGCGATATGTGGAGGGCATTCTCAGAACCGCGTTGGGCCGAGTGATTCTGGGCCGCGAAAAAGGATACCCAAGACGAGGGGTTGTTATCACATTGGCTATAGTTGGCGGAGAGAGCGTTGGCAGAGGAGGATCGGTAGGACAACAAACATATCACAACAAGCGCAATGGCTAACTAATGCTTGGTAATAGTATCTACCGTTGCTCCCTGCCCTCCTCCACACTGCGACCCTAGCGCTCCTTTCGGCTTCCGTTCCATTGTCCGTCACACTGTCTGCTACCGTTCTTGCCGTCAACTCCGCCGGCGAAATCACTCGCGAGCCATCCGCCAAGGAGGTGACGACTGCCACCTCTCTCCACGTGCTAGCATTTACATCGAAAGGGCACTTGTTGCTCAACGAAAGCGAAGGCACATTTACTTTTGATACCTGGGACGATGTTTATGAGCGCGCTCTGGCTATTTGCCATGGAAGTTCCACTTTTGGTTCTGACGGCGACGTGGCCATGGCCGAGACCACAGAGGGCCAACCACTCGATGGCATAGTACGCGATACCGTTGAAGATCATATCCATCGCGACTACGCCTGGAAAATCGACGCGGCTTGATTGATGCACAACCTACGACGGCAAGCAACCCCCGCAATGGCACCATGATAGCGGCTGCCAGGTTGTATGCCAGATCCATACTAGCCTACGTGCGATATCCTTGTACGATCTAACTTCACATGCCTGAGGGGCAGGTACAACCACGAGGGTCTCCCATCCTTATGATTGGAGCTCGCGCAGCCTATCAGCAGGCAACTCGTCACTCTAAACGCAGATTGGTGGCACAATCGAGTTGGGGACATGAATTACCTGGTTGGAATGCGGGGGACAATAGCGTCGCTATCAAAGCGCGATAGTGGCTGACGTGGGATGTATCTTGGATGCGCATATCTTAAGCACCCGAAGAGGCCGAGCCTATCATTCGGGCCACCTGGTGCTGGAAACATATCTGATCAGAAATGAGAGCGACTGCATTCCAAGGGATTTGATACTGGAATGTTCAACCTGGAAAACGCATGTGGAAGGGGTATCATCTTGGATTAGGACAAATCATCGCCGCTAGTAGATCGGGCGGAGTAAAGAATCGCCTTTGAGTCCTCGAGAACAATACTACCGATTTCTCGAATCAATCCCTCGGAGTTATTGTCATATTCCTTCACTCGATCTGCGTTTAAATAATAGTTTACTTTGTACACATCATGTAGCGACCAAGCTGATGTCGTGGTCCTTCTCGCGGAGGCGCCGTGCTGGTACTTACGGGTAGGTAGCGCACCGTTCGGCCCTTTTCCATGTGGGGGACGGATTCTCAAGCTTCTTAAATCTTCCACCTCGCTCAATCCCTCTGGTTTCTTGTTTTATCGTCCACTAAGCTCTGGTCAGCTTATCCTTCGCACCACTGAACTCCGGCCTACATCCGTTACGTCCGAACTCGGCTTGCGTGCCGCTATTTTCTTCTTCGTGTCAGCCTCCGTCATCAGCCAGCCGTCTTACACCTCGACTATCTCGACCACGTCGACCCTTTTCGGGCTTATACAGCATTTACTCATCCTTCCATGGCTTCTCCGAGCTTTCGCAATGATTCTATAAATTCCCATGGCCTCTCCGAACCGCCGCGCTCACCTACACCAAGGGCCGACTCCGCAGCCCCACCATTATCAGACCCATCCCCCTCAACGTCGCAGACCATCGGAGATTCGCTGTTACGCGACTATGCCTTACACATAGACCCTTCACAACCCATGAACGAAGTCGGCCGCAGGGCCTCCTCTGTTGAGTTCACTAGCCCTACTCCAAGCGCCGCATTGACGAACCCTGTGCGCGGGCGAGAAGACCAGGTGCCCTCGTCCACGCAGTCTACTTTCCCATTCCGCGCTGCGTCCTCGGTGCCCCGGCATAGTCGGAAAGCTTTCTCTTGCGACCTGATACCCCGACAGACGATTATAAAAGCGCTCGCTTCGCGACCATCCTGCAATAACCCGAATTCCAACATGCCGCTGGCGGCGTCCTTTGGTCTTCAAAGTCCGACCTCTCCCTCCAGCTCGGAAGAGACAGAACGCCGTCCACACACATCGTCATCGCGGAAGCTTTCTGCCGCTCTCTCAAATTTGCAGCTCGCCGATAACATTCCTTCTACCCGTCTGATCATGCAATCGCCATGTTTCTTCCATAAGCGGTTCGACGATGCGGTGAATCTGCAGAAGGTGCTGGAGGAGATAACGGACGACGAGTGGCTGTCGCATTCTCGTCTTCTGCAGACGGCGACTGGAGTCCGGGAGGTTTCCAAGCAACTTCAGCGACGACCGATCAAGCGTGCGGTCAGAAATGTCATGATCGTTACCAAAGCGCGTGATAATAGCTTAGTGCACTTGACCCGGGAACTGACAGAGTGGCTTCTATCCACTCCGCGGTATGGAAGGGACCTCGGCGTGAATGTGTACGTGGATGCCAAGCTACGACATTCAAAGCGATTCGACGCCCAGGGTCTGATTCAAAAGAATTCGGCGTACGAGCACATGGTCCGCTACTGGACCCCGGACCTCTGTTGGACGTCTCCAGAGAAGTTCGACCTCGTACTTACATTGGGCGGAGACGGCACTGTGCTTTTCACATCCTGGCTGTTTCAACGTATCGTACCGCCTGTCCTCTGTTTCTCTCTGGGGAGCCTCGGATTTCTGACGAACTTTGAGTTCGAAAACTACAAATCTCACTTGAATGCAGTCATGGGGGATATCGGCATGAGAGTCAACCTTCGGATGCGATTTACCTGCACAGTGTTCCGGAAGGACCGGAGTAAGGGTGCGGACGTCGACGCGGTTGAAGAAGGCGAGCAGTTTGAAGTGCTCAATGAGCTAGTCATAGACCGAGGGCCGTCACCATACGTGTCGAACCTTGAGCTATACGCAGACAACGATCTACTCACCGTTGTGCAAGCGGACGGCTGCATTTTCTCCACTCCAACAGGTAAGCATTTCAGCCCATGCTGACATCAACGACTAACATTTGCAGGCTCCACCGCATACTCACTGTCCGCTGGCGGCTCTCTCATCCACCCCTCTATCCCTGGCATTCTCCTTACACCAATCTGTCCTCATACTCTATCCTTCCGTCCCATGGTTCTCTCCGATTCTCTCCTCCTTCGCATAGCTGTCCCGGCAGGGTCCCGGTCGACGGCTTACTGTTCATTTGACGGCAAAGGCCGCGTCGAACTCCGCCAGGGTGACTATGTCACCGTCGAGGCCAGTCAATACCCGTTCCCAACCGTTGTCGCCAACAACGGCGAGTGGTTCCAGAGCATTCAGCGGGCCCTCCGCTGGAACACCCGCGGCGCCGTCCAGAAGAGCTGGCATAGCGGCGATGGCTCTATGGACGCCGCGGATGAGGAAAACGAGGAAGAAGAATGGGACATTGACACCGATGCCGGGTACAATGGCACCGATAGCGGCCTCGGCCCGAGCGAAGACGGCGACACCGGATCAAGCAGTCCGATGAAGCGGCAGATGAGTCTGCTCGGAATGCAGCCGTGATGATTATTATTTCCTTTGTACATATTGCATCGCCCTGCGTGCTGGACTCGGGCTTGGACTTGGACTATCTTGGATGGATAAAGGTATCTGAGCGGTTGGTGCTCTTGGTTAGGATTTTGTTGGTCTGCTAGCGTGATAGAGTTGCATCTTACGAACCAGGAATGGAATTGGATTTCGGCCTGCTCGCGATTGGACACTCCTGTGCTAAATGACCTGGTGAGCATTGCTCAAACCACAAACAGGTTTTTACATCATTCTTACCCTCCTTGACTGCTTATATTCAAGCCACTGCGGAGGGCAACCAACTAGACACCAGCTCGGCCCTTGTCACCTCTACTCCAAGTCTCGCAGACTCGATAGATCAACTTCATCCTCGCTTATCTCAAATTTCCATACGGCCCAACCCCACCACAAACGAGGCGGGCGTACCAAACTTCCTCCCGCATTACCTCTCGCTATCCACTGGACCAAAACAAAACCACCCCTCTTTCCTCCCTCCGCTGCTTCCGCACGCACCCTCAACCATCCTCCTCCAACCTCTACAGAATCACACTCACGAACTACCAAGCTCAAACAACCACCCACGATGCCCGAAGGAAAAGGCTACTCCTACACCAGCTCTGGCACCAACAGCCAGGTAAGCTACCCCAACACAAGCTTCCCAGTGCACCAAGCTTCAAACCTAACACTCGCACTTATCAGGGCAACCACTACTGCTCTCGCGACTACGGCAATGGCTCGAACTCGTACCACTACTCGAACAGGTTTGTCATGTCTCCCTCCCACTAGCTTGAGTATCTCGGCTCTGCTCGCGAGACCATGTCCTAACAGGCTTGTGTTAGCAACGGCTCCTACTACTACTCCAACCCCAACGGAAGCACCTACTACAACAATGGAAGTGGTGGCTCGACTTACACTCCTCCTAGCGGTAACTCTGGCAAGAAATGAGCGTTGCCGATTTCATTATGTGCCTGCTTTCATCTCCAAGGACCTTGGTATGGTGTGGTCGTGACCATTTGAGTGGGCGAAGTGAGATTGAAAGAGCATGGCTTGGAAGTACAGGAAATGAACGAGACTGTTTTTCATGATAATACAGCTTATCTCCAATTGCATCCGAATATTGAACAAACGCAAGTGAGCCCCTCGTAACGAGGACCTGTCCAGCTATGCCAGTAGTCTTGTAACTCTCCCAATATGGTTCCCAGGAACTCCGAAATCAATAGGTTTCACGCTCTCAAAGCAACACTATGCAGACAATGACCTGGCTTCGACTTTCACTGACAACAAAGCACAAGGCTCACTACCGAGGACTTTCTCTTTGAAGATCCACTATGAGCACTCAATTGCTCAGCCTACATTGCGATTGGCGAAGCCTTCGGTATGCGAAGATGATGCGGAAATGGAGAAGAATTGGTATTCGCTGAGCGGCCCAGTCTTACGGCAGAGGTTTACTTTGCTGGTATAGCTCTTCTGCAAGTCTGTGACAGGCAGGCAATCAGCCATTTGCCCTTGCTGTGCCGTTAGTAAAATATTTGTCCTTCTGCCGAAGGACTTTAACTACAATCTTTGCATTTTCTTCACCGGATCACCTTGATATGTTGCAAGAGGAATGTCATTGATGATATACCGCAAGCAATCTGGGCGAAATGACTGTCATGTATACAAAAATCTAAATAAAAAAGCACGTAAACCTCTCAATGCATTTGGGCTATGCTACGATCTAATTATGACTTGTAGTTTATGGATTACAATAATTAGGCCCTTCCGTAAAACGGGTAGAGCTAATAGCATTCCCTCCTCCTCCCTCCTCCTCCTCCCTCCTCCTCCTCCTCCTTCCTCCTTCCACCTTCCTCTCTCTTCTTTCTTTCCTTGGCCACACCACACCTTCCTGTTTCCATGTCCTTCGTCCTTCGCTAGAGAAAGAAATATTCAACAGGAAGTGAAAGCCACTCGTTCTGAGACCGATTTATATTTCCCTACGCCCTGCGTTTTTATTTTACATATAACACTCCTTAGAGGTTCCATTTCAGGTTCTACCATTATGCCGCCTCTCGCAAAGCGACCACCTCCCTTTATAAATAGAAATACCATTCCAAAGAAGAGACCGAGGGGCAATCACCGCCTCGAAGACTTCTTCGGCCGCCCAGGTAAGTGCCTATCTGTGACCCTGTCCCTTAGTATCGTCTACGACGCAACACACTAACAGCTCCTATCATAACCACAAGTGCCAGTGAAGAGTCAATCAACCTCGGTGGCTCTTCGAACAACGTTGTTGAAATTGACTCCGACGTTGAATCCTTAGAGGAACGGAGTGTGGTTCATAGTAGGTCTTGAACCTGTCAACTATCTCGGACTACGACTGACAGAGAATTAGCTGAGCCTGCCGTCGAGATGAACGAGACTATTTCCCTGGATTCTGATAACAAGTTCGTCGAAGAGCCCGGTAGGCCTCGAACCTGTCAACTATCTCGGACTACGACTGACAGAATTAGCTGAGCGTGCCCCGACAAACAAGATTAGTTGCGTGGATTCTAATAACGAGTTCTTCGAAGAGCCGGGTAAGCCTTGAACCTGTCAACTATCTCGGACTACGACTGACAGAACTAGCTGAGCGTGCCTCGACAAACAAGATTAAGAAAGGACTTGGTTTATTCTTAAATCATGTCATAATCCCCGACTCATGCGAAGAAGAAGAACTGGACGATAGCCCTGGTAAGCGTTGAACCTGTCAACTATCTCGGACTACGACTGACAGAATTAGCCGATCGTGTCACGAGAAACGTTGAGACAACATTTCAGAGCTCGACTATTGGAAAGTCGACAGAACTCGTCCATGAGTCCGTAAAAGGCAAGGAAGTTCTCAGAAGCGGCAAGGGCGGACTGTCGGCCTCGAACTCCCACGGCTCGCCGTGGGAGATTCACGGGTCCGAGAACATGCCCGGTAAGTAGACTGGTTCTGTTCCAGGGTAACCGCTCATGAATATAGAACCACTTCGTAAAATGATATCGGAGTACTGGAAGAACGTAGACCAAGGTAAGCAGCTTTTATTCAGTTGCCTGTCACTTTGCTAAGTCTGACCCCCACAGGCTTTTCCTCCGGCAAGTCAATTGACTTCCGAGAATCGACCGTAGCAGATCCACGGAAGCTGGTGTTTAGTAAGTTGGCATACGCTTTCTCTTGGGACCTCATAGACCTGACATCCCATCTAGAAGAACTAGACGAAATCCCACGTCCTAAGTTCAGCTCGAACGACGACACTGGTAAGCCTGCCTTCCCTTTTAGCAGCGGACTTATACTAACAGATGCAATAGATGAAGCCCGTGAGCAGCGATTCGCATGGCGAATCAAGTGCTTGGTTCACGTTTTGGTCATGTTCATCGGCCATCCTCAAACTACCAGGATGCTACCAGAAGAGAAGTCTTTGTTCATGCAAAGTGATAGATCCAAGCTGGAAGCTGAATTCATCGGGTTTTACAACAAGCCAGCCCGAATCCTGTACGGCGGTATCAAAATGCCGACCTACGAGGACGTCAAAGCCGCCCTACCGGTATCTCGATGACAGACGATTCTGGCGTCTACCTGGTTTTCGCGAAGAATGGCAAGATCGAAGCCTGGTACATAGGCTATTCTTCGGTACTTCCCATGAGAGCATCAACGCACAAGCGGTACTTGAACGTGGCCAAATCGGCTGCTATGGACTGTCCTTCATCAAATGGACTCACGGGAGCGACCAGCATTATAAAGATTCCGTACATCACGTCCCCCACATCAACCTGTGGCGCTACACGCAACCCCATACCGGCCATGGCCCTTATCTAGTCAAGGAATCCTCCACCACTACAGCTGACTAGAGCTGCGGGGTATGTCTGGGGCCCAGAGCGCTCGGCAAATAGCCCTAACTCTCAGCCAGTATTGATGAATTACAATGCCCCAAAACTCAGAAAGTTCCTCGCCTTAACCCCCACGAAAGCCTCCTCTCCAACCCCCAACCCGGTTTAACCCTAAAACACATCCACATTATACGCCAGACTCGCATTGACCATTCCATACGTTATCACTGGCCCCGTCCGATGCGTCTTGTAGTGCATTGTTGCTTATGCTGGTACATATCCCGAAGCCGTTATCCACTTTTCCGCGGTCTATTGAAGTCTTGTTATGGATAGCGTCCAAACGTTTGTAGCGTTCTGGCCCGGAAACACTCCGGATACTCCAAAGATCTCTCCACGGGTTATCGGAATACCAGCAGGTCCATCCTGGCCGATGGGGAAAATGCTCGCGCGGAACTTTTCGGTTGAATTTCCAGCCGCACCTTGATGGTACAGACGTACCTCCCCTACCACATTATTATTGACCCGTTTGGACCACTTGAAAAGAAGAACCAGCTGGACGTTGGGTCGCCCTCCCTGAAGCCACATTTCCATCTCGGTAATTAGTTTTGGCCAACAGTCTGACCATCCTGATTCTGCGACTATAGAAGGTAGGGCATCTGCGTTTGGGATAAGGGCCCAGTCGGGGTGCTTCCTGGAACCGGCGTACGGGGCCACGAAGTCTTGAAAACCTGCTATTATCAGGTGAGGTCCTGTGTTATATGATTTTTGGATATAGAGAGGCTGTATTGTACTGCTCACTTGTTCCTACAAAACTGTCGAAATGATTACTCTCAGGGCCAGACAAGAAGTTTGCCATACACATTGCTCTGAGCTCCTTCGCTAGCCACGCCTGTGGCACATCAAGGACCCTAACAGGCATCACGCGGGCTGATGATGTGTTTGAAGAGGAGTTATATGTCATGCTGAAGAGTATTAGTAGATTAATCAAACCGGCTATGGCTGCACATGCTATTATACATACCGCGGCGCGAGATTCTCGATGTCAGGATCTTCCAGGAGAGCGTCATATACCGCAGACCCGACGGTTGGATGAATGTTCTCAAACGCCAACTCCGCACTTTCAGCTGAAGCGAGAATCGCAGCTCTAATATTGAGGAAGGTCCTGTAAACGGACAGAGGCTGGTCTCCAAGTGTTGGGCTGCTGCGAAGGCTGCAAAGTGCTTCGGGAATTGCTGGGTCCCCTTCGGCGATGACTGCTACTTTACTTTGATTCACCAGTAACACTTCAAGTGAGATGAGAAAGGACCCTTAGTCAAGTAAGGAAGTGTCAACCAGCGTTGGGAAAGTCGGCGAGCTGAACCAACACAACCACAACCGCCTCATTGGTGGCAACCACGAACCCAAAAGCAATCGTTCCAAGGTCTGCGAAGATTCTCAACGAAGCAAGGTCTCTTCAATATGAGAAGGTACTGGTACACTATCCGACGAATAACCCCGACCATGGCCAACACGAGGCCGGATTTGCAATGAAGCCAAATTCCTGCGCATCTTTAATATATCTCGCCCATTAAATCATTCACTCTTCCTTTCCTCCGCCCAGACAATAGCAGCCCTTCCCGCAAACATAGACCGACGGAGCAGGCCACGCAAATGGGGAGCTCTCTATCATTGCTGGACAGAAGCTGATCAATCACAGCAATGAAGATGTACGCGCCGATCCCAATACAAATATGCCACCTAGATATAGTTCAGGATAGGTCTCGAATAGAGAGAAGGAAACAAATGACATAGAATGAGAGAACGTACCACCCATGTAATTGCAAAAGAACGCCCAAGGCAGACCAACTGTCTCCCGCACCCGTCGCAAAAACCCACATGCCCAGTTGTCAATCAGCCAAACCTAGTATCCGACGTGGAATATAACTAGCCACGTATTAGCGACACAGTGCAAAGTGGAGGGGCATGACTCACGAGCTCCAAGTCTCACCATCCCCCAGATCTGCGCCCTCGCCGCTGAGCCCTCCGCAGTCCTCGTGCGAATCAGCTGCAATGTCCGGATCCCATTTACCGTCACCGAGACACCGAAGAACACCTGGTGCACGATGAGCTCATCCGTTATGATATGGTAAAGTGCTATGCCCGTAAGAATAATCCCTAGTATGAGCGCTGCTGCTGGCGACGAGATGAGACTGAGGTTGACTGTCAAGACGCGACGGAGGACCGATGTTGTCGTGGAGAGCATTGAGAGATCGTCGACCGTTGCAGTGAGCAACGCGAAGAGACTCGAGCAGCCTGGTAATACCCAGTGAACAGTGAACGGGGCATGCCATACGCATCTGGGTGTCGTACTTGAGGGTCGCGTGGAATGCGGCAGAGAAGACACCGACAGCCAGGAGGCCCAAGTAAGGTACGACACGGACAACATGAGGATTCTGTTGTTTATACAGCTGGCGAAGCCCGTAGACTGCGTAGATGACTGTTTGTGACGGTCGTCAGATTTTGTTCGTAGGTATGGGTAGCAGAGAAAGCTTGCGCGTTGGGGTACTTGCCGTAGACACTGCTGCTTAGACTGTTGATGAACTCGGCCATGTACCTCGTCATCAGATAGTCCTAGCCCAGCGGATAGACTGGTCAGCTGTTTGTATAAATGCCCTGGAATGAGACTCGATCACTACATACTTTTTCGCAGAAGCTTTTAAGATGTTAGCTAGCGAATCGGGCTACGGGATGTTGGGATAGGTTAGGGGGCATACTAACTTGGAGTTCGCGGTTGAAGGACCCCAGAATGGTTTGAGGGCATTGCTTGAGGTCATTCTGTAGTTGATACTTCACAGTGAAGACATATGTGGTAAGGAATATCTGGCAGCGAAGGATTTATGTATAGATTTCGAAGAACAAAGAACTTGCTCGGCGGCTGCCTACACATACCACGGTGCCTAAGCAACCCCCTGTCTGGTGTAAGAAACACGAAACCAGGGGCGATAGACCCTGCCAGAGTTAAACCAACTTGAGACCTGATCAAACTAGGGTCTGGAGGACCATGTGTTTTCAAAGGTTACAGTGGGATTTCCAGGGGACCGCGAACAGAGCAAGGTTGACGGCCCCGCCAATCTCCCAGCCAGGATAGCTGAAGTTCGATGACATCGTGAGATGTGTAGTCTGAAAGATAGCAGTGACCGGATTTTGACATTGAGTTCTCTTCTAGAAACTCGTCTCCTCAGCACCCAGGAAGATCCGGAAGACGGAAAGAAGATAGGAACCGTTCAGTCACGCTTCGTCGTCTCCCTAGGATACCTATATGGATGGATGCATTGCAATAGGCATTGCGCAGGAGGGCCAGAGCGATGTATACTCAATTTTGCATCGTGCTCTGAACGTTCCTCCAGCTGGGGACACCCTTCGGTTAAATGGAACCCAACGGATAAGACGCTCAGCCCAAGCAACAGCAAGACTCACCAAGCCAACTAGCTAGCGCGCTGGCGGATCACGCCACATCCGGCTTGCAGGGATGTTGCCGGCTCAGCTCGGGCGTACGCCGTACACCGACCTCCGAGCTGGGTATCAGCATCCTCACGACCGAGCTAACGCAGAGAGATTATGCGAAGCTTGTGATGTCACCAGAGTGAGGCGTGTTATTTTTCCGTCCACATCCCGGGGTAAGGGCTACTCCAAGTGTCTGACTAGGGCAGCGTAAGCGCAGGCGGAGTCCCCAGTCCCCATGGCACCGGCCCCCGGATCCAGTCCGACTCCAGATTGAAGGTGGATCGGCCCGCGGCTGGGGATGGCTATTGGTGGAGTATGTTTCTCCGTCGGCGGGTCGGCTTGTTGTATGCGATGCTGCATGGGGCACTTGCCGATAGTCGAGTACAAATACTCTTCTCACTATTGCCAGGATCTTTCTGTGCTTCCCTGGTCCCATTATCACCCTCTGGCATCGTTGTAGCTCTGTCCTGAGGAACAGACACCGGTGGCCAACATGTCTTTCTTCAAGAACTCCCGAGTGTATATGCTCAGTGCTGTGGCGTACACAGGCTCTTTTCTCTTCGGTGAGTCTTGCCATTGAAGCTCAAGGCGTGTTCACGGCTGTTGAGACTGATTGGTCATTGATAGGTTATGATACCGGAGTAATGGGCAGCGTGCTCGCCCTCGATAGCTTCAAAGACGACTTCCACTTGCCGACGGGCAGCACCGGGTTTGCCAGCAGCAGAGAAGCCGAGGTCTCCTCAAACGTCGTCGCCCTCCTGACAGCAGGCTGTTTCTTTGGCGCCATCGCAGCTGCCTTCGCCAACGACCGGTATGGCCGCAAGAACTCGCTTCTAGTCTTATCCGTCATTTTCATGATTGGAGCTGCCGTGCAGACCGGAGGGAAATCGACGATATCTTTCATCTACGGCGGTCGTGTTATTGCTGGTTTTGGAATCGGAGGCATGTCGGCCATCACGCCCATCTATGTCTCGGAGAACTGCCCTCCCGATGTACGAGGTCGTATTGCCGGGTTGTTCCAAGAGTTCCTGGTCATCGGTGTCACGGTCTCATACTGGCTCTGCTATGGTGTTGAGAAGAACATCGCACCAACGACCAAACAGTGGCGGATCCCAATCGGTTTCCAGCTTGTCCCGTCCGGGTTGATGTTCATTGGCCTGTGGTTTCTCAAGGAGTCACCCCGCTGGCTGATGAAGCAGGGTCGCTATGAGGAAGCTACTGTCTCACTTGCCTTTACACGGCACGCTGAGCCTGACAGCGACGAGGTGCAACAGGAACTGGCTGAGATCAAGGCATCTATCGAAGAGGAGCTCCGCTCGACCGAAGGTGTCACCTGGCGCGAGGTCCTGCTGCCCGGTAACAGGCTGCGCTTCCTCAATGCGTTCTTGATCATGTTCTGGCAACAGTTCTCTGGTACCAACAGTATTGGATACTATGCGCCGCAGCTGTTCCAGACCATCGGCGTTGCTTCCACCGATACCAGTCTGTTCACAACTGGCATCTATGGCGTCGTCAAAGTCGTTGCCACTGGCCTCTTCCTCCTCATCGGAATTGACAGGTTCGGCCGAAAGTGGTCTCTTGTTGCTGGAGGAGTGGCCATGGCCGTCTTCATGTTCATCCTGGGTGCCGTCCTGGTCTCATATCCTCCTGTCGATACAAGTACGATCAGCTCAGCAAGTATCGCGATGATTGTGATGATTTACCTTTATGTTATCAGGTATGTCCCTGTCTTTACCTTCCCCTGACGCACATTCAATTTTTTTTTGCAAGATGTCCGATAAAGGGAAGCTAACCCAACACAGCTATTCCGCCTCCTGGGGTCCTATTCCCTGGGTGTACATATCGGAGATCTTCCCGACGCGTCTGCGAGCCTACGGTGTCGGTATGGGCTCTGCCACGCAGTGGCTTTTCAACTTCGTCGTGACGAAGTTCACTCCCTCTGCTATCAGCAACATCGGCTGGCGCACGTTCATCATGTTCGGTGTCTTCTGCTTTGCCATGGGCACGTGGGTGCTTTTCTTCGTCAAGGAGACCAAGGGTAAGAGACTTGAAGATATGGATGACATCTTTGGTGGAAACACCGTCCAGCCGGCGCAGAAAGATGTCGAGCAGGCAGATGTTGGTGAGCAGGGTGAGGTGGACAAAACCCAGACCAGGCATGAAGAGCAGGTGGTTCGTTGAAGTCAAAATGGCTCAGAGCTCATGAATTTTCTTCGGAATATGGTTGATCCAACTGCCTTTATTCTGTGTTCCATGATAGATATAGACGATATAGCCTTCAGGAAGGGATATAGATTGGCCAACGGAATACAGAATGGCAGACATGCTCAATACTTCCTGGTAAAGAAAGCCACCTGACACAGTAAACTCGTCCATTTTACTTCCTTGTCTTAGTCAACGTCTTTCATGGCCGCCAAACAGGATGTCGCTGCTCGCGAAGAGGCTCCGGCTCCTCGATCTCCAGAGACCAGGGCCAAGGTTATCGAAAGGTATTTCTGCAGCGAGCATAAGAAAAAAACAGTAGCATGGCGGTGGGATTTCTTGATGGGGACCAGGTCTAGGATCTCCTGGTTGAATTGCAAAAGACTAGGAGACGTTGTGAGTTGGTGTTGACGGAAGGAAAGGCATGGAGAGTTTAGCGCACCCCAGAGGAAACTCCCAGTAGTCCGCAGCCCGAATAGGTGCCTACTACAGCAAATGCCTTTGAACCTCAACTTGCTGATCAGGCATTGCTTAACAGTTTTGATGTTTTAGCATGGATAAACGGTGAACTTCCTCGAATTAGGTAAGAAGGATCGTGGCACCTCGGACGAGGCACTGACCGGACGAATCAGCCCTCTATTCTTGTAACAAGCACTGCTAAGCAAGAGGTCGTGTTTCTCTGATTGCTCAATAGAATGCTTTGCTATGATCTAATCTAAGTACTGTTACCCTTTGAGTGCCCTACTCGATGCGCACGACAGAAAGAATAGTTGAAATGAGCGTCGGTGAAAGGAGGAAAATGCCAAGATAAAACCATTGAACGAGATGTATCATGTATAAAATAGGCCATGGCCAAAACCCGAGCAGGGGTTGCAATGCCGATGCGGGGTATAATGTGTCGAATGCAGAGTTGAAATTTAAGAGTCACGGCCGGATTTACCACCCTTTGGTGGCTTTCCGTACCTTTTGTCTAGTCCTCTCGTTCTCCCGAGCGATTAAGCGCTCCAACAATTCAGGCGCCGGCGCCTGGGCCGATCGCTGGAGTTCCCGAGACAGCTCGGACCTGCTGGAGGTGCCAGCGGTTAGGTAGCCACCGGCATCTTCCAAAGCCAACGGCGTGACGGGTCCTGGGCTATTGAGCGGGTTCAGGCGCGGAGCAGCCGGGCCAGGAGACAGTTGGCGTGACCCGGGTTTCTGAAGAACAACGCCCTCAACAAACTCACGGTATTGCGAGACGGGATCACGTGATGAAGAAGGACGATAAATGTTCTGTCGAGATTGACGAGGTGATGGCGGCCCGACCATGGATTGGGCATTGCCAGATGATTGGTAGACCGCAGGATGGAATCGTGGAAGATCACCGAGGTGGAATGTCGGCGCTGACTTGGCTGTGCTCTGCCGAGATGGCTGCGGGGAGGAGCCAGAACGTCCAGAGGCAGCCATGGTCGAAGAAGCAACGGAGTAGAAAGTCGAGCTATCAGAGCGCATTCTGTCACTGTAGTAACGACGGTGTCCGGGACGAGTGCGTGTGCGTCCGTCCGAATTCCGTTCCGGCGAAAGATCGCGATGGAAAAAGTCGCGATGAGGAAAGTAGTCTTTCTCGAACCGCCCAGTTAATGGAGTGACAGGGATGTCCTCTTCTTGAGCCGAGTAAGACCTTGGTATTGGTATCGGTCTTGACCGGGGTTGATAGCTCGAGGTTGAGAGCTTCTCAAAAGGATCGGATAACTCGGTGACAGGGGAACGGGAGCGGGGGAGGGGCGAAGGAGGGCTATATGTGGAGTATGTTGCGGTCAATTCTTCAAGGGATGAAAGGGAGAAGCGAGTCGGACGGCCGTGTCTGGCGATCAAACTTTCCAAGTGGTCACGAGTAGGAGGGGGTCGACGAGGAGACGCAGAATGGGATGATGAGAGGTTGGCTGAGCAAGACATGATTAGCAAGCCTACAGCGCTAGAGAGGATTGACGAAGCATTCCACACGTGTCAAGTGGAGATTGCAGTTTATGAAGGTGAAATGATCATCAGAGGACGGATAAAGAGTCCGAGACATAGGAGAGGAGGTTCATGTCCCAGTGGAGGGGCAGATCGCTATCTGAGGGGCAAAGACGGATCTTATACTTACAGGTGAGAGGAGGAGTAAACTCTGCTGAACTGCAGGACGACGGATAGAGCAAAGGAGAAGAATAACGAGAGGTGGTTGGAGTGGAAGGGTTAGAGGAGGAGGAAGTGCGTGCCATCTTTTTTAGCGAATCTGACAGTGACAGTAGTGGCGCCCGGGAGATCAGGAACAATTCTTCCAAGGTTGCTCAACGCTGACGGTTTTCTTTCTCTGCTTCCCCGAGCCCCTCAATGAGGACCAGAGATTCGACCGGACCCTTCGGAGTATTCCACTCTGTCTTTGTGTTCAATTCCTGTTTCCGTTGCTTTCTACATTCCAACTCGTCAGCCAATTCTGCAACAAAGGATCTCGCGACCTTTCCGTCAACAATCACTCGATTTTGCGGGGAAAGGAGAGCTCTTGGCCCAACGGCATGGCGTCATCAGTCCACGACCATTGGGTGTGTCAGGAACAAGTGGGGCAGCTCACCATACCGTATGGTTCCGACCAGAGCCAGATTCAGGCACAACCAAGATGGAGAGGAATGCAGATGAGATCAGAAAGAATGCAGAGATCAGATACCCGGCACTTACAGGTATCAGAGAGTGGAATGTAAGACGTCGCAATAGACTCTTGCTCAGGTCGCGGACATGCACCACTCAACGGAGCACAGAAGCGATTCTTGGCGACGGTCGGCTATCAGCGGGCTGCGGCTGCATGCAGTCTGCAGAAAGGGGTAATAGGAGGAATAAATAAGCACAGGAATGACAAGGGTCAGAGGTAACGAAGAGATGTCATTTACTCATGGGCTTCAGTTCGTTTTATATCAACGTGCGAACAGGCCTCCAGCTGATGAGGATTTCTCAGCAATCACTGAAGAGGTATTCGCATGCGAAGAACTCGGCTGACCAACCCCATCGCAAGGCAGTGATGGACGCAACAGAGACAGAATCAAGGCAGAAGCAGCCACAGGCTTGACTCAAATCAAACGCAGAAGGGTGGTCTGCAGGGGAGCTGTTTCACCCTCCATATCTGCAAGGCCGTATACTTCTTCATGCAATAGACTGGGGTACGGACGCGATCAGGAACGCAGCTACCAAGCGACATGGGCAGCTTGTCTAAATCCCGGTCAAATCCGCAGCGCTATGGTATAACTGAGCAGCTATTCCTTCCCTATCTTGAAGTACCATCGCGAGCGGAACCTTGATTACTATGAGCCTTCGGTACTGCACGTTCTCCGGGTGTTCAGGTGGACATCCTTCCAGCCACACTAGCCGGATCAGACGACCACGGGCACCCAGCCCTTCAGCTCAACGTCCACGCGTCTTCCACCAAATTCTCAAGGGACCTATATCCGTCGCTGAAGAACTGCGTTCGTATTTGCGCCGCTTAATGCCGGGATCTGCTTACGCCAAACAATATATCTGGCCTATATTGCAGCTCCTCCCATACTTAGGGCTAGATTACCGGTATATCTCTGCCTAGCGACCCAGCTACATGGAACCGATCACTGCACCAGGACCCGCCCGATCGCTTCTGACTCAAGATGGATCATCGATAAATATAGCTTGATCCAAAACAGGTTTCGTCTGTCATATGCGCACCCCGAGATCCATCCATCTCCAGATGAGTACCCCGTCTGCTTGCGCCTGGAACGATGAGACTTAGGAACCTTCCTAAGCCACAACCACACCCGCCGTCGTAGCCGACCCAAAGCCATCCACTCTCCGAAAAGACATCGGCAACCATATCCATCATTTCCACAAGTCGTCATTCGCCCTGGGCCCTAGTGATTGCTATATTCGTTGAATCAATATACCCCAGCCCTAGGCGTAGCTATCCCAATTGAGCATCACACGGGACGTGTACAGAGCTGCCATCGACCTTAAGAAGTCCAGTGTGCCATCTCTTCCCTGCTCCTGTGACAACCACAGTCAACGCGAGAGGCTCCCGGGTGCATGTACGTCAACGGGAAAGCGGCTGGAACCATGGCTACTCATGGCGCCGCCGGGTCAGCTGGAGACTGAGAGAAAGTAGATAGCAGGATAAATAATAGCATGCCCTCCATAATTACAGCAGTATTATTCTCTGAGATTACGCACGCTTCTTTTAGTGTCCTTATCCAGGCAAGCAAGCTTAGGGCTTGAGGTTGGAGCCTCAGGCATACAACTACGTATCCCCTGCAAGTAGCGCTTCTATTCGTCATCCGACCTACGTACGTAGCCTCCTTTCGTTCCAAGTCGGATCCTTTTGACATAAAGTACTTCTGCTACAGCTCTGGCAGCTGGACACAGCCCGGTGCGCCTCTTCGGCCGAGTGATTAAGTATACGAGCGCTGCTGAGGAGGGAGCACATGGCCAGATTGGACCGGAGCTGACTTGTGTAATAGACACAGAAGTGCTGGAGTGCCTATTTAGATTATTCTTGAGAGACCTAGCTAGCTACGGTATCTTGTGTCGAACTCAATCAACTATAGGAGTATCAATCATAAGGGCAAGCAACGAATGCGCTACCTCCGCCGCAGCCAGTGTAGTTGTTTCTGCTGCGCTGTCATAAATGGGAGCTACCTCAACGACGTCTGCACCAACAACCGGAAGGCCGTGCAAGGCATCAAGAATGGAAAAAAGCTCACGTGTCGTAAAGCCGCCAGGCTCAGCGGTGCCGGTTGCTTACAAGAATTAGCCATGTCCGCTTCCGGAGATAAGATTTTAGGAGAAATGGGTACCAGGTGCGAACGCGGGATCCAAGACATCAATATCAACAGAGATATAGACCCTGCTGTTACCGACGCGGGACTTGATCTCTTCCACTACGCCGGCCACTCCGAGACGATCTAGATCGCGGGCTTTGATTATGGAGAAGCCGCATCGAATGTCGTTCCTGATGTCGCCTTTGGGGCGGGTGACGGGAGCTCGGATTCCGACGTGGATAGAAGTGTTTCGGATGAGGCCCTATGTCTATAAGCCTCCAGTCTTGAAGTAGAGCAAATAGAGTGACTTACCTCTTCATGAGCTAAGTGAAGGAATGTTCCGTGGTTGACGCCGCTGTCAGAGTTAGTCATGACTGGCATAGCCCTTGACGATCATGATTGACTTACGCATAATGAGAAATACCGCCGCCTTCTTATATTTAGCCTTTCGCTCAATGCATTCCACGTACACTATAGGATGACTTACCCAGTACCTCAGGGTCCCAAGTATCTGTAGTAATCAGCAAGATGTTCCGAAAATCAAAGGCGAACATACCGATATGACTATCGAAGTGAATCACCGACACTGGTCCAAAGTGTCTATACGTCGACCTCAAAGCCGATAACGTAGTCGTATGATCCCCGCCTAGGGTAACAATTCGCGGCGTATTGCCGTGCTCCGTGCTGTTCGTCGTTCGAGAAGAGATAACCTGGCACATGCCCTTAGCCCCACGCACCTATCAAGATCCCTGGAAGATAAAGAAAACCTTATGCGCAAGGTCAAGCTGCTTCAATGCAACGGTGTTGTCTAACCAAGTCAACGGCGCATCCCCGCAGTCCACAAGCTTTGCCCAGCTCTTGAAGACGTTTTGGCCTGTATAGACGTTCCACCCTTCGATGCGGCGCGAGCCGAGTCGAATGCCTCCTGGGCCGTATCTTGCGCCTGGACGACCAGTGACTGCCTAGTATACAGTGTCAGCAGAGTTTCATCAGAGACAAGGTCATGGCGAACGTACCGTGTCGAACGGAGCTCCCAGGATGGCGATGTCGTACGATGTCGACTGCGCTTCGCTATCCACGAAGCAATTGACATAGGGGATATGAGCAAAGGTTGTTAAGCCGGAGAATTGGCTGCCGCTGACAATGTCAATGATCTCATGCTGCCCAAGTATAAACTGATCGGATTGTATGGCTGCGATGGGAGGGAAGGTGATTTCTCTTGCAAGAGCCGGAGCGAGGAAAAGGCCGAGCGCAAGCACGGTGGCATACATCTTCGGCCACAGGTAGAAAGCAGATTGTAGACAAAGAGGGTTCCATGACTGCGAGGGAGGCCTGGCTTCTTTAGTAAATCAAAGCTTCTCCAACAGCATAACCTTATCTTATCGACGATGCCCAAACAAGCAGTTCGTCCCGAGGACAAGCAACTAGTCGACTGGTTGCTGTTGGAGATCTCATTTGATTGAGATGACAGCATTGAAGACCAGAATGAGAAGAGCCATGAAGGCAATCATTCAAAAAGAAGACGTTCTCTAGACTGTGAGAAGTGTGTTCTTATCCATACTCTTATACCGCATTTGAGCTCCCCGCACCGACGGAGCACCCCACTTTCTTATCGCCATAATTTTCTCCCGCGGGCTGTTCTATCCAAGTTGCGACGTACCCCTCTTCAAGAGCAAAGATGGTATGTTAGCTCAGCATCGACCAGCATGACAACTAGAAGTCTAGAACTGACTGAACCAGCCTCACGCAGACTCCTCATACTTCGGCTCCGGCTCCAAAGCCGAAATCTACACAAATGTGCTCGAACAAGCCAAGGGCCTTGTGACAGGGCAGCGTAACTGGGTCAGGTACGTTGGCTGTATTTAGAATCGCTCTGCAGGATCTATTCCGTCCTAATAGCATTGTGTCTAGCAACTTCTCCAACGTCGCCTCCCTCCTCTGGCACGCCTACGCCGCGCTCCCCGCCCCCTCCTCGTCCGTAAACTGGGCCGGCTTCTATATTCGTCAGGACCAGTTTCCTTCTCCCAAGCAAAGCTCTGAGGAACGCGACGCGACGCGAGTGAAGAAAACACTCTGGCTTGGTCCCTTCCAAGGCCGCCCAGCTTGTCAGGAGATCCGGTTTGGGCGCGGCGTGTGCGGGGCTGCGGCGGCAAAGCGCGAGACGGTTCTTGTTCCTGACGTTCTAGAGTTCCCGGGGCACATTGCTTGCGATGCCAGCAGTCGAAGCGAAATTGTCGTGCCTATTCTGGCGGGCGGAGAGGTGAGTTCTTGGATGAGTTGCTGAGAGCAAAGTAAGGGAACTAACGAAGCACAGACTGTCGCAATTATCGATATAGATTGCGCGGAACCGTCGGGCTTTGACGAGGAGGATAAGAAGTACCTGGAGGAGCTGGCTGCACTTCTTTCCGAAAGCTGCGACTGGTCAGTGTAATTGTGGTACAGATGCGCGTAGTAGAAGTCTAGACAAATCGCATAGACAAGTCGCTCGAGCCTAGTAATTCCTTCCCAATCTAGTGCTCATCCGGCTCCAGTAGAGGGATCCTATGATATATCATCTCATCTCGGTATCTAACATCGCATCTGTGTACTTGCCAGGTCCAGTTCAGTCTCATTCCACCTAAAGTCGGGGAGATACTACTTGGTAAAGCTTCACCGTGTACAGCTCCAGCATGGGCCAGCATAACTTCTCTCTTCCCCGCACAATATCTGTTTCCAATTTTCTTGCTGATAATCTCGGGGTAAAGCATCTCATACTCCGAGCGATAGAAAAACGATCGCCGAGAAGAGGCCGGTTCGGGAGTGGGCGCCCCGGAGAGGCACACCAGCTCCCCGACGACTGGGGAGCTGTGGGGCATACAATTCAGAGTCCCCTCTTCAAGATCTGCATATTTCTCCATCTTCTCCTCTCTTTTAACTCTCAAACAGTTTGTTCTTCTCACTGCTGAAGGCCGCCGCAATCTTCCCTCCTCTCCTCCCGATATACCTCCAACCGCAGGCGGATTGTTCAATCGACGGAGCTACGGAGCAACTCACGCGCTGACCGATAACGGACCGACTCTGAACAGATTATCCTGAAAGCTTGAACGACTCCAAAACGAGAGAGCAACGAAATATATATACGAGGACGCGGCCGGGGATTGGTTTGGATATAGGTTGATCACATCAAAATGTCATCATCACCGGCACCGGTGCATGCCATGGACGCCGAATCGCAGTCGCGGAATCTTGCCAAAGCTCCGCCTACGACGAGCTCGAAACGGGACTACAAAGGCTTTGTTGCGGGTGTGTTCTCGGGAATTGCGAAGCTGAGTGGTGAGTTTATCTGCGCTGGACTCTATTCTGAAGTTATGGTCATTGAGCATGTAGCTAATGATTGCCGCGGTTGCTAGTTGGTCATCCGTATGTTTCCTTTGCCCTTACGCTTGCGCTTCTCTCCTCTGGCCCGTGGGCTGTGTATGATGGAGGATATGTGTTGACGCGATTCATTACAGATTCGACACGGTCAAAGTACGATTACAAACGAGTAAAGATGCGCATTTTAAGGGCCCCTTGGATTGTGTGATGCAGACAGTTAGGAAAGAGGGTGTTGCGGGCTTATACAAAGGCGCGACGCCGCCGTTAGTAGGGTGGATGGTGATGGACTCAGTGTGAGTGCGCCTGCAATTGCGATTTTTCTCGTAATGAAATGGACTAACAAGGCCCACGTAGTATGCTTGGTTCCCTAACGCTATACCGTCGACTACTTCTTGAGAACGTCTTCTCGAACCCTTCAATACGTGCTATGACCCCGTTCGCTAAATATCAGCCTGACCCTCATGCGCTGCCGAGTTTCGGACATGGAATTGCGGGTATCATGGCTGGTACGACTGTTAGCTTTATTGCTGCCCCGGTCGAGCATGTCAAGGCGCGCCTTCAGATTCAGTACGCGGCAGATAAGTCGAAACGGTTGTACAGCGGGCCAATAGATTGCACGCGCAGAATAGTACGAACCTTCCATATGCAGCTAACGACAATCATACTAATGCCTTTACAGCTGAGCACACATGGCATCAGCGGACTCTACCGCGGCCTCTGCGCGACGATATTCTTCCGCTCTTTCTTCTTCTTCTGGTGGGGCTCCTACGATGTCCTAACGCGTCTAATGAAGGAGCGCACATCCCTCTCGGCACCAGCAATAAACTTCTGGGCCGGCGGTATCTCAGCACAGATCTTCTGGCTCACGTCGTATCCGTCGGACGTGGTGAAGCAGCGCCTCATGACGGATCCGATGGGCGGGGCGCTGGGTGATGGGGAAAGGAAATTCCGGTGGTGGAAGGATGCAGCGAAGGCAGTTCATCAGGAGAGGGGGTGGAGAGGGTACTGGAGGGGCTTTGTGCCTTGTTTCTTAAGAGCATTCCCGGCGAATGCGATGGCGCTGGTTGCGTTCGAGGGGGTGATGAGGTGGTTACCTTGAACAGCTTCCGGTCTGGTTTGAGGCACTTACGACCATATGAACATACATATATACAGAATATAGATCTCTAGATTGCTAGAACGACTAATACAAATGATTAATGAAGCCTTTAGATCTGATTGAGCTTGGTCTTCAACTCATTCTATAGGAATCGTGACGGTGTTGGGGACGTGGCCGCATTGCCGCATCCGGCGACTAGGCTTCAACTCAGATAAAAACACAGCACAGCTTTCTAAGGAGTAGCAGAATAATTCCGTAGCAAGCAGCCTTATTCCGACCAGCTAAGACTCCGGCTAATCGATCGTGCAGAAGATCTACGGAGTAGGCCCGCGGCTCTGGCAGGCGTCCTAACAACCGGACGATTCCCCTTGCGGGTAGTTTCTCGGTGATCGTCGTCATCACCAATTTCTCTCAATCTCCGACTTTCATTCGCTTTCGCGACCCGCAACCACCTGGGCTCAAGACGAAGACGTTCACTCTCTCTTCTCAAGCTGGAGATGTCCTCCAGGCGCCTGACCTTGGACTTCCGCCCTTGACTACACAACCAAACCACTGGGGCAGACCACCGCCAATCCGCCGATTGACCACGTACTACCGAGACGAACTCCCCGACCTCACAGTCAGCAGTCTGCAGACTCTCGAATAGCCGAACAGACAAACGGCCAGCATGGCCGTCGCGCGCAACATGCGGCGTACGAGTCCAATAACCATAGTCTTAGCCTCGCTAATGGCATTCGGCTTCCTGTGCTTCCTGTTCTCCTCCCCGTCACCTCCGGTCTCGACCTCTTCCACAACATCAGATTCCCGGCTCGAAGATACAGCGGAACACCCTCTCTCGCCTCCAACGAAGCCATTCATACCCCAACCAGTCCAAAATGACGGCCGCCATGTCCAGGCTCCTCCCGTCGTTAAGTACGACCTAAACGCCCTCACGGCCAGCAGCGACGCATCTAACAAAGCCGAACGCATCCTCATCCTCACACCTCTCGCCCGCTTCTACCAAGGCTACTGGGACAACGTCGAAAAATTGAGCTACCCACACAAGCTCATCTCATTGGGGTTCATAATCCCACATACAAAAGACGGCGACGCCGCCCTCTCATCCCTTGAGAAGGCCATTGCAAGGACCCAGACCGGGACGGAACAGAACCGCTTCGCATCAATCACAATACTTCGTCAGGACTTCGACCCGCCATTAGCTTCACAGAGCGAGAAGGAGCGCCATAAACTTAAGAACCAAAAGGCCCGCCGCGAGAGCATGTCCCGCGCCCGCAACAGCCTCATGTTCACCACCCTCGGCCCCAGCACCTCCTGGGTTCTCTGGCTGGATTCGGACATCGTCGAAACACCTAATACTCTAATTCAGGACCTAACTAGTCACAATCGTCCCGTCATCGTCCCCAACTGCATGCAGCGCTACTACAACACCGACACTAAGCAAAACGACATCCGCCCCTACGACTTCAACTCATGGATCGACTCGTCCACTGCGCAAGCGCTCGGTGATACATTGAAGCCTGATGAGATTCTGTTGGAGGGGTACGCGGAACTCCCGACGTACCGCACCCTCATGGCATATCAGGCAGATACGAAGAACCCGCGCCCGAAGCGCGTTATTGATCTCGACGGTGTCGGGGGAACAGCGCTGATGGTTAAGGCGGATGTTCATCGTGACGGGGCCATGTTCCCCGCTTTTCCATTCTACCATCTCGTTGAGACGGAGGGTTTCGCAAAGATGGCGAAGAGGTTGGGGTATAGTGTGCATGGGTTGCCGGATTATTTTGTATGACCATCTCCTTTCTCTTCTCTCCTTCGATATCATATGCTGACTTTACTCTCTGATTCAGGTATACCATTATAACGAGTAATGTTTTGTCCCAAGTTTGTTTCTGGATCCCAAAATGCTGGTTCTTTTTGTCTGCTGGTTATTATTATGTATCATGTTTCATGCACTATAGAATCGGATGGGATGGTTAGGTCAAGTTAGGTTGCATCATGCATTCCGCGCGCTGTGCGCAGGTGTTTCTTGATTTCTATACATTATCTGGTTGTTGTACGGTAGGGACATAGGCGGGCGTTGGTACTGTAGTATAGCCTATCTAAATCCGTTTGGTAGTATGATCCTCGTGTTCATTTTCGTCTTCTTTATGTATTCATCATCAGGAGTAGCCTTTCTCGTCTGGGTGTTGTTATATCGTATACGGTAGGATAAGATGTATTAGGTAGTAATTTCTTGTCTTGAAAGGTGTTTTAGAGGCGAGGAAGTGGCGCATCGAGATATTCTTGACGAGGCCTAGGTTGAAAACAGGGTGTCCAAAGCTATCGGTGAAAGCTAAAAGGGGCCGATGGCAGGAGATTTTCATGGCTTCTTCAGGGGGTTTGCTCACTCCCCGTTCAGCGCTGGGCCGATCTAATCCCAAGAAATACTGCATCTAAGTTAGCACGTAAAAGGTCAAGCATACAAAGAGGGAAACAAAGCTCACGCAAGCATAATCCCAGCTCCTACAGCAACAGCCGCAAACTGGGTAAATGTCTTCTTGATCTCAACGCTCTTGTTCTTCCCCGTCTCCAGCAGCTCAGGAATGACTGAGACCGTGCCGACGTATAGGAACGTCCCAGCAGTGAACGGAAGAAGCATGTCACCCCACGTAAGGCTCGTTCCGAGAAGGCCGGAGACGGGCTCGCCTGTGAGAGTGTTCGCGGCAGTGGAAGAACCGGAACCGCCGAGCTCCTGCACAGCGATGCCAATCAGGGTGCCCAAAAAGGCGCCAATGGCTGTCACGAACTGGGCACCCATAGCCTTGCGCTTGGAGAAGCCAGATTGGATGAGAAGGGCGAAGTCCCCGACTTCATGGGGGATTTCGTGGAAGAAGACGGCTACGGTTGTTGTTGCACCGATGGTGGGCGAAGCGTAGAAGGACGAAGACATGGCGAGGCCGTCAGTGATGTTGTGGGTAAAGTCGGCGATAAGATTGAGGTAGCCACCTAGCTTGACGCTAGGGTTGACCTCATCTTTGGTGGTGTCCGTCGGTGCGTCTTGTTCGGACTTGGCGGATTTGCGCTGCTTGAGCTCGGTGTTGCCTGAGGTAGTGCTGGCGCCGGTTGTTACAGCGGTCTCAGGCGCGGTATGGCTGTGCGAATGCGAGTGATCATGTCCCTCACCTCCGGTTGCGATGCGGAGGGCTTTGTCCATGGCGACAAAGGTGAAGAAGCCAACCATGATACCGAGGCCAAGGAGAAGGTTGCGGTTTGGTTCAACCATGACGAAGCGCACATGGTCCGGAGAGTCTTCTCCGAGGAAGATTTCGGGGAGGAGATGGAAGAGGGTGTCACCAAGAAGGCCTCCGACGGCGAATGCGACCATGACGGACAGTGACGAGGGGTCGATGTTCGGAGGGCATAGGGCTAGAAGGAAGTCTATGCGGGGTTAGCCGCACGCGACCATAAGTAAACGAGGGCAAACATACTCGGAGGCCCGGAAATATATAAGGTAGCAAGGAGGGAGTTCACAGCGGGGCTGCCGGGGAAGAGAACCGAGAAGACCTTGGATGTCAAGCTTGTTGTTTGGGGGCTCGTGGCGCGCTTATGCTCATTAAGGGACTCAACAAGAGGACAGTTCTAAGGAACCCGAATTAGTTTAAGATAATGAGGCAGGCATATGCCCGTTGACATGTCTAAGCGATTGAAAGACGCACCTGCAATTCTTCTTCGATCTGGCTGACAGACAGCTCACCTACCGCGAGCTTCTCTTGAGCCGCAGCCAAAGCAGAGAAGAGCACGAGGCCGACGGCCAGCGCAAGACCGACCTTACGGGCGGGTGATAAACTGAAGGGCAACATTCTAGCAGTAGTCTAGAAGAAGCTAGACATGAAACTGAAGCTGCCGCAAGGTACTTCCCCGGTTTCCGAGAGGTGGTGTCAGAGAGAGGCCCGGGAGTAAATAGCCGATGTCGCTTATCACTATCAGGGTCCAGCCAAACACTCTAAACGCGCCAAGACAGGTGGTGCAAACAGCCAAAACACTTTTTTGACGATAAGATTAAGATTAACAATTTTTATCCTGCAGCTTTTGCTTCAAACTCCACCTCCAAACAGCTCATACCAGCTCATACGTTCAAAATGGGTAACATTCGCCAGGCCAAGAAGAACCGCTCGTCAGCGCCCAAGCAGACAATGAAACGCAAGGGCGTGCTTAAGAGCGGAAAGAAGAAAATCAACGTTCTGGGCAATGCCATTATCGCGGAAAACTGGTATGTCAACCTCCTACTTTGACGCTTACAGCAACTTGGAACTGAACTCTTCTTGATGTAGGGATCGCAAGGCAACTCTCACACAAAATTATCGCCGACTGGGTCTTCTGCACCGCCTGAACGCTCCATCTGGAGGATCCGAGAAGCGCAAAACCGACAATGGGTTAGAGGAGGTTTCGAGCTCGCTGCACATCAAGGGTAGTGTCGATGCTATGAAGGACTCCGCCGTCAGCGAGACGAAGGTTGAGCGTGACCCCGAAACCGGCAAGATCATTCGAGTTATCCGGAAGGAAGACGACCAGGTCGAGATCGCTGGGCGCAAAGTCCGTAGCTCGAACCCGCTCAACGACCCGCTGAATGACCTGTCCGATGATGATGCTGAAGTCCAGCCGCAAGGGAAGAAAGCTGCGAACAGCATTGTCCAGCAACTCGAGATTCAAGCCGACAATGTAGCGCCCAAGAAGCCCCGGCATCAGAGCTCGCGCGAGGGCGAATGGATTGAGAGATTGGTTGCGCGACACGGCGACAACTATGCGGCTATGGCGAGGGACATGAAGTTGAACCCCATGCAGCAAACCGCGGGCGATTTGCGACGAAGGATCAACAAGTGGAAGGCGAGTCAAGCTTGAGTTGTTTCTGGTTGAAAGCGCATGCGCGGCGAATATGGCGTTGGGTTGATTTCAGCAAAAGTATCTTTTCTTTATACGGGATTCTAGAGTTGGTTCCTTGGTGATGTTGGCCCTGTTTATCTTCAGCTGGAGATGCATATAGTGTCTGTACAGATTTACACTACAATACCCTCTAAATATGATCAGTGAGCTCACCTTCTGATACACTTAAAAATAAATTGCTCAAGAGGAACCCAAGATCTAGTTCTGGACCCGACGATAGACAAGCTTGGGACTGCGCTCATTTCCAACGCATCCACACATACGCTCACTTCCTCTGCGCGACGCGCTGTCAACAAACGGTCTCGCCTGCTCTCATCTTCCCATCTTCATTCTTCCTTGTTCTCCCTCTCTTACTCGACTTCTTCGTCTTCGTCCTCCATGCCACTTTTTCTCTTACCCAATACATTTCACGCAACCATGAAGGCTAACGCAATGACCTCTCTGCTCATCCTCATCCTCACCATCCTCCAACTCTCCCTCGTTCACGCGCAAATCAGCTAGTAAGTGCTTTCTTCATCCCCCTGCCCGTTTGCGGCGCAAAGACCTTCCCAGTTAACCAACTGAGCGCCTTCAGTGACTCGAAGACAAACCACCTCCTCTGCCCCGCGCCAAACACGCATTACTGTGCCGCGGCATCTCTTCAGGGCTCGTCTATCGTTTCATGTACGCCTGATGGAATGGCGGAAATCCGGTCTTGCAGCACTGAGTATGTCACTCCTCTTCTCCACTACTCTGAACTTCATCGGATGTATGTAGGAGTTCGTGTGGCAGCTTGGGCTAATGCAGACCGATCTACAGATTATCTGGTATCCTTCCAGTTGGATATGAAGAAGCCGCTGTTTGTGAGTTGTTATCTTCCTTGACTTGACAAGGTCTCGCTCTAATGAATGCTTCAGGCTACCAATCATCCTCTCACTCCGGCAACGCCGTCTGCGCCTTCAACGGAACGGGCTACACAACCGAGGGATTGGAGGTGAATGTACCGGAGACGGTGCTCTGTGATAATATAACCCTCATTCGTCCGTACGCCGAAAAGATCAATGGCGACGCGGAAACATACGACGCAGCAGCAACCGACTATCCATATGAACCCCAGCCTGCAGTTTCAATTGTGCGTGGGAGCTCCGAAGGGCATTCACCTTACTCTCCAATTTCGCCCTCTCAGCATACAGCTACACCTCTGGACCTCCCATCAGCAAGCACCTCTACCTCCCGAAACCCAGATGCAGGCGAGGGCATCATCTGCTCAAATCCATGGGCTAGACTGGGCGCCAAAACTGCAGATATCCTGACGCTGGTTATCGTCCTCGTGTTCCCTACACCCGCTCCTGAAATACAGTCCCAGCTATCGACTTGGTTTTCATCGACTTCTTCTATGCCAACCCCAATTACCCCATGTACGGAGATGCGCACTCTGGCTCCGTCTCGGACTACTGGGCTGAGTAGCCAGCGTATACCATCTTCGTCGAGTATAGAGGCAACGCTGACGCTCTATGGGAGTCCAACTACGGATCCTGGAGTGATTGAGTCGAATAAGTTCAATAGTGGGAACATCCTGCACATGGGAATACTGATATCTCCTACTGTTTGGGCACTGATGGCGTGTCTTGTCACCTTGATGTGTTGATTTGAACTGTTTAAGGCTAAGTTTGGGACCTTACTTCTCAATTCTGGACTCATTTCATTCACGTTTCTTTTGTTGTCTTGCATTGCATGAAGACTCTAGATGTTTAAGTCTGTCTAAGAATCTTCGTTTATTTGGCTGTTTGTATCCAAACGAATTCCTCGCTTATCTAGGTGTTCTTCTTCTATTTTGTCCATCTCGTTTTGTTCTCCTACCTAGTCATTAGAGACAGACCATTTTACTATCCTGTACAGCAGGGATGTATAAAAACTACATATCCCTAACAAACCCAGCCCTCTTAACCGCACCCGCCTCCAACTCCACAAAATAATCCGCATCCTTAATGGCCTCAAGCCGATGCGCTATCGTCACAACTGTCGACTCTCTCATCTCCTCCCGCAGCACCTGCTGGATCTCCAGTGAGCTCTCATGATCAATCGACGCCGTCGCCTCATCCAGTATCACAATCGAGCTGCGGCGCAGAACAGCCCTCGCCAGACCAATCAGCTGCCGCTCGCCCTGGCTGAGGTTGCGCCCGCCGGCATCGATGTGTGTGCTTAGAGTCCAGTTGCGCTTATTGTCGCTATCGCTGCCGCTGCCATTGCAGATCCTGTTAAGCACGGACTCGCACTCGGTGTCCGTATAGTCAGAGACAGGATCAAGGTTCTTGCGGATGCTGCCCGCGAAGAGGACGGGGTCTTGCGCGACGAAGGTGACGCGGGTGCGGAGGGCTTGTTTGTCGATTTGTGCGATGTCGATGCCGTCGATGAGGATGCGGCCCGATCCCGAGCTTGGGGATGGTGTGACGGCGGCAAGGAGGGAGACGGCGAGGGTTGACTTCCCGCTTCCAGTGCGGCCGATGAGGGCTGTTGTTGAGCCTCCTGGGATACGGAGGTTAATGTTCTTTAGGGATGGGTCTAGATGAGGCGCGTAGCGAATCTCGACATTTTCGAAGACGATGTCGGCGCCGAACTTCGGCCATGAGGCTGGTGGGGTTATTGTTCCTGTTGGTTCTTGCTCGACGTGGAGGAGCTCGTCGATGCGTTCGACTGAGACGAAGTCCATCTGGAGCTGACCGTACTGTCTGCAGAGCCCGTGTGTAGCGTTTATGAAGCTGTTTGCTGAGACGAGGGCGAAGGCCGCGAGGCCGGGAGTTACGTCGGTGTAGAGGGCTAGGGCTGTCAGCGCAAAGGTGGAGAGGGCGGACAAGCTCTCGAAGCGGTAGGAGAGCCAGCTCTGAAGGGACCAGTAGAAGTGGTCCATCCCTTGGAACTTGTCGACGACTGCTATCACTCTGTCCTGGAAACGAGGCTCGGCATGGAATGCGCGAACTGTGGTTAGGCCGTGGAGCAGCTCGCCGAAGTTGGATATCAGGGGGCTGAGAGATACCATCTCAAGGCGTCGCAGGCTTTGTGAGGTTGGGAGAAATTGCAGAAATGTGTACACAAACGCTCCTGTGAGGAAAACTGTGAAGGCGAGGAATATTGGTGTGACCGAGGCAATGACAAGGACGGAGGATATCCAGGTGATTATGAGGAACGCGATGAGCTGGAACTGCTGGCTGATATCGCCATCTACCACTCCGATATCTGATGTCAGTCGGTTCATCAACCGTCCAACAGGAGTCACGTCGAAGAATCGGAAAGTGGCATGACTGACTCTCACCATAACCTCCTGGAAGAGCTTCTGGCCCGCGCAGTAGACAATGATAAGCATAACGAGCTGAGCAAATAGCATCGTGACAGCCGTAAAAATCGTGATCCCGAGGAAGACCAGTAACCACGGCCGCACATTGTCAATGGGTGCAGGAAATTTGTCAAGCGGGTTTTGTGGTGTCCACATCAGGGGTCTTGGTAATGCTGAGAACGTTGTCCACTGTCCAAAGGCAGCCTTTTCCGAGACAGAGTGCCCAAACACGTTGGTGGCTTCGTTGTACGCTTCTCCCCATTCTTTGAGAAACCAGGACTGTGCGATCGCCGTCAAGCGGTAGACCGAGATGACAATAATTAGTGCCCACCACCATCTGTACTTTCCAGCTTTGATGTAGTTCCAGTAAACCGCGGCCTTTACGCCCCATTCAGCTCGGTGCTCTTCTTCAATGAACTTAGATGGCACGGCCGCCGAGTGGTCTTCAAGCTCCGTCTCATCGCTTGCATCTGTGTCCTTTGAGCGTTTCTGGCTATCATCTGTTTCATCCGCAGCATCTTCCAGGGACACTGATGACTCTACCGTTGCTCGACCATCATGAATGTGCACAACTTGATCAGCAAGGTGGCGAACGAGGTGGATGCGGTGTGTGACAAGAACAATAACTCGACCTTCCATGAGAGGGCCAGTCAGACATTTGCGGACGATCGTCTCCGCCGTATTGTGATCCAAGGCTGACAAAGGGTCATCAAGCAGCAATATCCTAGCCGTGCTATAGACGGCTCTCGCGAGAGCAACGCGAGCCTTCTGTCCTCCTGACAGGCCGATTCCGTTCTCTCCCACGAATGAGAGGTCACCATGCTTGAAATTCGATAGATCAGGGAGCAGTGCGCAGGCATCTAAGACTCGTTTGTACCGCTGCTCATCGTACGGGGAGGAGAACAGAATGTTGTCCCGGATACTCATACTCTGTAGCCATGGCGTCTGCGCACAGTAACCCATCATCTCACTAGAGATGTAGGAGGTTCCTTGAGTCTTGTCTAGCTCTCCCAAGAGCCCCTGGAGGAGAGCTGTCTTTCCAGCTCCAACCTTACCGTAGACAACAGTGAGGCCTGGGGATATGCTCAAGTGGACATCTGAAAGAACGGGGGTCGTTTTGCCGGGCCAGACAAAAGAGCAAGACTGTAGTCGCAGTGGAGCAGCGTCTTCAGGCGATGTGATGGCCCTGCTTTCTTTGTCCGGCTCGGTCATGAAGTCCTCTATTCGCTCCATGGCTATAGAAGCGTTGATCAAAACTGTTATCAACGTAGGTATCTCTCTTAGTCGAGCCTCCAGCATAGTGAAAAGCTGTAGTGCGGGAAAAATAATGTCGATACTCAGGGGATGACCAGCCAACAGAGTATAAGCATAAAGAGCCACAACGGGAAACAGGCCGCTGGCAAGGACATTGACAAAGGCTATAGCCAAGCCCCATAGCCTTGTAACTATGCGTAATCTCAACTCGGAATCTCGAGCTTCCATGACTTGCCTAAGCCAGTGGTTCTGCCAGCCGTACCAGCGCAGGTGCCGGAGTGCCTCCACGAACTGAGATGAGACTTGAAGCCTGGCATCAGTTGCTACTCTTCGCACCCGCTCCCAACGTAGAAGATTGCGTGTGATAAGTGCGTTGATTGATTGCGCAACCAGAACCACCAAGACTCCAAGAAAGCAGGAAGGCCCAAGCACTTTCCAGACAAGAACCACCGCTATCACCAATCCCAATGGCTTGTTGATCAAGGAGTCAACTTCCCAGAACCGTTGAGCGACTTCGTAAACATCGCCACGAAGCAAGTTGAAGATCTTACCCATTGACACGGGTGCTTTAGATTTCTCTTTACGAGGAGCTCGCCAGGAAGTCAATAAGCCCCATATCCAGGACTTCTTCGAAGCCTCGGGTTGCTCTTCCTCTTGTTGTTTATCTTCCTCCGACTTGTTATCAGGGCCTTGCTCGAACAAGTTTTTCCTAACAAGCGCCTTTTCGTATACCATCATCATCATTTCGCCACGGCTACGTTCGTAGCATCTTCGACCGTACCATAAATTGAACACCTGCGACTGTGCAGCTACTAGCCTAAGCGCAAGTGACAACAGGGCATAAACTAGTGCAACGCGGTTAGACCGGTTCTCAGCTTTCATTGCCTGTAAAAGTTGCTGGAGGAGCAGAGGTGTCGAGAATTCTACGTTCTATGTTAGCAGACGGCTCAACCGCAGTGATAGTCCATCATACCACACATCATTTGCACGATAGATATCGTGCTGATAATCAGGATATCGATGCCATTGGCCTTGAGAAGACGGCCAATGACACTACCCCGGAGCTGTCGGAACTTCTCGTGGAGCCTCTTGTGCTGAAACTCAAAACCGAGAAACCAGACATCGCCCTCGTCTAATTGCCGCATTTTGCCCACGGCCATTAGAGGTGCCATCCAGGACACGGTGAGAAACTGCCATAGCCGCAGGTTGTCCTCTGGGCTTCGAAACTCGCTGGATGGTTTCTGGCCCACCCCACTGATATCAATGCAGGGAAGTGAAGCAGGTCGAAGAGGCATTGCAAGCGTAACAACGCAGCCCAGCAAGGCAGCCGCTGCCGCCAATTGAAAGGCGAACAGGTTCGATAATACGTAAGCATTGCGGTTAACAATAAAAACAAACTCTAGAATCCCTGCAACTAAGAAAAAAGCAAATAGTAGCTTCGGGCTTGTCCTTGGGCGCTCTATGGCCGTCAGTAGTACAGTCCCCGCCTGCAGGACTGGGTTAACCATCGTTCGTTCCACCAGTAATTAACTTACCCAAGACGCAAGAAGTATCCAGTTGGACAGATCGGGTCCATTGAGCACGAGCTTGAGGATCTCAGCAGCGAATCCGACGACTGAGATAGCCAGGAGAGTTATGACCCAGCCCAAGCGATGCTTCGTACGCTCCAATGGCAGGTCAGAACATGGAGGTAACTCTTGCACAAAAGGCGTCGCCCATTTCGGTCGGCAGACAAGAGGCTGATTCTGAAACACATAGCTTAGCCAGGCACATAAGACGATAGCTCCTGGGACCAAGGTAAAATAAGCGATTGCACATGGCGATGGCCGAGCATTGGGCGAGTCCTATCATCACGAAAATTAGTAAGTTTCTCGACAATGAGTATGTGTGACTTGCCCAAATGACTCGACACGAGCCCAATATGCTGTAATTCATCCCTGGCGGCATCAATCTAATGATCGAAGATGGGAATATGGAAACATCCTCTCCTTGAAGGATAAGAGGACGTTGAAACGAACCCCCTCCAGCGACACTCTGGGCCGATTGGCTAGTGGACGGTATCCCTGCCTGCGTTCCCAGGCATCAGCCTTCTACTGCCTACTGCCTACTGCCTATGTCTACTGTCTACTCTTAGACCGTCATCCATTATTCTCAATTTCCCGGTTATGTTCCACTATCTATTTGGTTTCTAAGTCGCAGGTGCCAGCTTTCGGCGAGATTCAATATATGTCGCTGAGTTCTGAGATTCGCCTTGGAGTTGAGCAAAATTATACTTCTGCGGACGATGTATCTTGTTTTTCTTACTGAAACCCATGAATTTGTGACAATGAGATGCCAAAGTCTTTTTCAAGTCAGATGTTAGATGTTAGATGTTTTGATGTTTGAATAATAATATAATGAAATTGTGCTACTTTAATGCAGCTGAAATTTTCGCCGCGAAGGCGAGAAGTAGGGCTTGGTTAAGGATACCCTCATCAACTATGGATAGCCATCAAGTTCCACCATCACGGGCCTTGCCCTTCTCAGCTGCCAGGCCAACTCGATGGACGATCCGAACCCAGCGTCTTCGCCTCCACTCACCCATGACATTCGAACCAAGACTTCCCTTCTCCTCGTAGTCTTGAACAGCCCTCTCCTTGCCCTTCTTTTTCCCTTTCCTCCTCTCTCCAGGAGCTTGACTGAAGTTACCGTATCCAAGTGCAGATGCCACATCATCGTCGCCCCGAGGCGACGACATGGAAGGCAAATCCCAGACCCATCCACCAATCTCATCTGAGCCGGCTCCGCTTTCGGAATGGCCACCAGGAACTTCAAAGCCAACACCAGTGATCATACGCTCAACAACCCATTCTCGGCAGTCGAGATCGAGCTCCCATTTCTTACTTTTCCACGCCCACCCAACTGGGGGCTGAACGTCTTCAAAGAAACGGCATCCCTTGGGCCGATCGCCTGCGATGCGGGAGGGTGATAATGGGTCGTATGGTACCGCACTGAAGAGGAATGTTTCCCAATCTTGTTCGGCGTAGGGGGCTAGTGAGCGGTATTGAATCTCGAATACCTCCACTTCACGCTCCTCCGGGAATGAGTCTAGCGATATGTCCCCTAGTAGCTTCATGAAGGACATATCCGGGTTTGGTGGTTTCACAGGCAATTCTGGATTCACGTCTTCGCTGCCCAGTTCAGCAGCAATGCTTTGAATGAATTCTTGTATGTTGGGGTGCTTCGATAGAAGTGCGGCATTACCGCCAATGAGCATTAGGTATCTCCAGGGGATAAGATGTGAGGTCAAAAACAGTACGGCGGTTAGAATTGTGCATAATAGAAAGACAGCGGAAGACAGCTTTTCGTTGGAAAAGTTCGTCATTGGCGCAAGAGCGGAAACCGCCGAGTCGTGCAGGTCAGAGAAATCAGCCATGCAATTCTGCAAGTCGCGCATGTTGCGAAAGAAGTCCTTGGACGTCTCCGGTGCGGGCTTGATAGTTTTCGCCGGGGCCAGTGCGGGACCCTGATACGAATAGTAAGGAGTTATGCTCGAGGTTGACGTCGAGGGCGGCGGAGGATGGCGCGCAAGGAACGTCGGGACCATGACGAACAAAAGTACCGTCGCAATAGGAAGTACGACTAGTAGGTGAGGATCAATGCATATGAAGGAGTAGACGAACAAGAAAGATAAGGTATGCGACGGTTGCTTCCAAGCAAAAAGTTCCTCGACCTGTTCCTGAAAGTGGAAAACGATGCCAATCCTGCAAGGTCTCAGCGGCGGCCACTTCTTGCCATTCACGGTGTAGGTTTACCTTGCATTGAATCGCCGAAAATTGTTACCCATCACAGGAAGACTGAAAGCCGGTCGTTGGGCATCTGGAGGGACGGGCTTTGCGCCCACTGAGATCGACTCGTCGTGCACATCTTCCACGGGAACAACCTGTTGTAGGATTCTAGTTTCTAGGTCAGTAACATGCAGTGAGATAAACTTGAAATGCAGAAAGACTATTATGAGGCATACTTGGTGAGAAGTCTATCTTGCATGGACCGACGAACGCTCGATACAGATCTGCCATGGCGGCTCGAGTTCAGATCGTCGGTCGATGCATCCAGCCTGCCTCGTGTATCATCGCGGTCGGCGAAGGCACCGGGAGTGTATTCCTCCATGATAGCTTGAGCAAGGTGCTGCCGCAAAGGCAAGGCAATTCCGCATCTCTGAAGGGTAAGCAGCCGTAGGGAATGACGATTGAGAGTTTCGGCTGCTGTTGCGGAAGCACATGCTCATGACAAGCACAACGCCGAGAAGGTCGGGGTAAGGCGCCAAGACCAAGTCAGCTGCGCTATCAGCCTCTACACTAGAGCATTCCCTACCATACACCTGTTGGAGGCAAGATGCCTTGTCAGTTTTTACAAAAGAATAGCCTTAGCCTTCTAATCTATTTCGGTCTTACACAACAGACAGAAACGGTTCACAGCCGAATTCGACATGCTGCCTCTGCAGCGATCGGCGGGTAATTTCTCGAGTTTGTGCTGTTTGCAGAAGCTCCCGGGCCCAGCACAAAAAAAGGAGCAGGGGGCACTAGTTTTGTCCTGCGGTGGTTCAAGAGATTATTATTGTTATGGTCGGTTTGCTTGTTTAGACTACTGCTGTTCTTTTCTTTTGGACAATCACCTCCTCGTGTCTGCTTGCAGGACAGCCCCGGAGATAACCAGTACCAGTGCTTGTTTTCGCCTCCATTTATTGCAGCCTGTTGTTCCTTCCTTCGGTGCTATAGCTACGGAGTTTACGCTTTGTACCCTGACAACGCCAAGTCCAGCAAAGAACTGCTGCCCCGGCCAAACTTCTCAGTCGACTGCTCGATCCTGGTCTATAACCCCCGACCCGGTTCTTGAAGAACCGGTCAGCAACTCTATCTCTTCATTTGTATTCGGCATCGCGCCCCCATATCCCCGATTCCCGGAACAGAGCCCGCTGTTCTTGACCCCCGCGATGGACCGCTAAACGGCCATTGATGGTCGCGCGACGGTGCTGGTCAAGGCTTTCTCTCGTTAGGCATTGATGCAATTTCGCTTCTGAATGTCTTTGCGATTGGGCCCTCACACCGAATTTTTCCTGTATTCCGCCATCGATATCTTCCCCTGGACGTATTCCCCGCGTCCAGAACTACCCCGACCGAAGTGTGACCATGCCGGAAAAGCTGTCGGACCAGCAGACTGCAGGAAAGGGGCAGTTGCGTCAGTTGCAGTCCAGACCGTCCAGTCCGTTGGGAAATGAGAACACCGCTTTGGCAGGTAAGGGATTTCGAACCTGTCCTCTGGAGTCTATTGAGGTTTCGGATCGCTAACAAGATTTATTGTCAATATTAGACCCTACTACTCCCGGCCGCAGGCGACTACAGAAGCACTCTTCGACGACTTTCCTCTCCGATGCCTCCTCCCACATCTCGAACAATCTTGTTGGATCTCGACTGAGTAATCTGAGCAAGCGGAGGCTCTCGATTCGTGATCAGAAGGTGCCCCAGGGACCGCGGCCACAAGAGCAACCACGCAGGTTTGAATCCCCTCATCTGTCCGTTCAACTGCTTTGCACCACCGGCCATTGCTCGTCATATCAAATATCTAACATGCGCGTGTATTGCAGCTCGGGCGCGGTTCACCACCACTCTGGCAATTCCTCCATTGACTCGACGAACGGCTCTCTGAAGAACAGCACATCCCGTGTTAGCCTGCGGTCCACTAGCATGAGTAATTTTGCTCACCAGAATCCTACCGAGAGCATGGAATTCCTTACTCCTGTCAACTTCGATGATTTTCACAATAGCATAATGACAGAACCGAATCTAAGCCACTTCCCCATGCCGACGGCCCCAGGGACTGGGAACGATCGACAACCCACCTCTTTTCATCCAACTAATCCATGGGCTAGCAATAATGCTGATAATACCACGTCCGGACAAGCGCGAGGCTATCCGTCACGAAGAAAGAGCCTTATTGGGCAGAATATTTCCGCAGACACGTCCTCTCGCCCGCCAGCATCGACTGTCGCCAGCCGAAACCGCCGTCAAAGCCTTGTTCAAGGCCAGGCGCCGACGAACCCTACACCCCGGGCACCTCGAAAATCAATCGGCCCTGCATCTCTACCTACTGCTGCCTCTGCGAGGCGGCAGAGTCTGTCAGCAAGAAAAGCCAGTGCAGACACAACGCGGCCTGAGCAGACAACCCACCTTCGACCACGGAGCCAGCACCATGAAATGAATGGGATTAATGGTCCCAAGCTTCCGTCCAATGTTCGAAGTGCAAAGGCCAAGTCCTTCCAACCTCCTCCAACCGAGGTTGGCGACAATTTCCTTACGGCCACTGGGTTTGGAGATCACTCTCGATCATCATCAACCAATGCCGTTCGCACTCCAGTGAAGAATACAGTCGGAAGGCCTCCGTCGCCAACATCTTCTGCAAAACGAGGATCGGTGATGCCTCCCCATGCGACGGGCCTCGGTGCTCGCACAATTAGTCCGACTGATGCACGACGGTTGAAGCGTCTCTCAACGGCTCCTCAAGCCCATCCATTGCCCTATACGCCGCCGAGTCAAACCGACCCTCTCCCGCATCGTCCTCGCTCCACAACCCATTCCCCTTCGAACATTCCGCGAAAGAGTGCGACACCATCCTCTAATCGCACCACCCCCGATCCGAATCGGAAGTCCTACAGTTCGGGCTTGTCTTTATCATCGAACACTAGTTATAACTCTGTGAGGAATTCTGGCGGTTCATTGCAAACAAGGTTGTCTCAAAACTTCTCGTCATCTCGGCTCCCGACACCAAAGCCTCGTGTGGAGCATTCCATGAATAGCACTGAAGAGGTCCCTCCAGTTCCTGCTATTCCCAAAGCATACGAGTCGCCAAAGAGCGAACTGGACCAACCGCAATTCCCGGCGCCCCGCAAGTCTAGCCTACCTGTGGAAATCGAACTTCTTAAATCTACTCATAGCTCCGCGCCGACCGCGACTACTGAGCAGCGGAACCCTGAGCTCTTGGACGAACACGGAATGAAGACCCCCGAAGCCAAACCGAAACCCAGTGTTTCCTTTGGAAAAAAGAACATGAAGCTGCCACCGCTAAATTTACTTCCCTTGGGAACACCAATGGCTTCTAAAATCGAGGCACTGGTTGAGAAAGACGATCATTCGGACCCATCCACCCCCTCTGCCCAAATCACATCCAAGACTCCAAGTACACCTTTGACTGCTTCAAAAGCGAACTACTTTACTTTTCGCGACGACGAAGATGCCAACCCTCTTCCCCAGGCACGAAGCAGCACGTCTCATTTTGCGTTGAGTACATCCTCCAGCATTGCTTTGAGGACCGCTAGCAGTTCTAGTGCGCTTGCTTCTAATGACGGTCATACTCCCGGTGGTGCTAGAACTGTGTCTCCGTACGTCTCTTACGCACTGCCGAAGAGCAACAGCGATTTCAACCACCTCCGCCAAAAGCCGAGCGCAGACTACTCCTCCAGAGTATCCCAGTCGTACAAGTTAACTGGACCTCGTCCTCAAACCCAGTCTTCCGGTCTATCCAACACAGAGACAGTTTCCGTTCCTCCTGATCCTGATAACAATGCCACGCCAACCACTTCTTTGCGCAACAAGCTCACCCTGTCACGCAAGCGGAGCAATTCTAAACCCCAAGGGCTCAACGCGAATACTGACCCCAAGAAATCTGACTTGATGCCTCCTCCTAAGCTTCCCGCTTCCGCCACATGGAACAACCTTTCCACAGCGAAGGATTCGAGCCCGACCCTGAAGCCGTCGTATTTGAAATCTAGGCGCCAGTCTTCATTAACCAACGTGGCAAACCCGGCGCTCAGAAAACCAAGCTTCAGCAGCGAGCAGAATTTGTCTCTGTCGCCGACAATCTCTCGCGAATCTCATGAGAGCGACAACTCCCAGCACCGGTCCGCTACGTCAATCCTTTCTCCGGTTCACAAAATCATCAGCTCGGCCAAGTCCAACATGGCATCTACGTCGCACTCCGCTGAAAGCCGTGCTGATACAGAGGTTGCGATTGCGGATGAGGAGATGCGAAGACTTGGCACTAAACGGAAGGACTTTGAGAAAGCCGCAAGGGAATTGGATGACCTGCGCAACAGGGCCGGACCTAAAGACCATGTCAACCCGGCCCAGGCGCTGAGAGTGGCGCATCTCAACATCTTTGAGCGTGGGGAAATTATTGACTTCAAAGACATCTACTTCTGCGGCACCCAAGATGCAAAGAAGCATGTCGGGGATTTGAACCAACAGTCTACCAACTTCGGCTACGATGATGACCGTGGGGATTACAACATTGTCCTGGGTGATCATTTGGCTTACCGATATGAAGTGATTGACGTTTTGGGCAAGGGTAGCTTCGGTCAAGTTGTCCGATGTATCGACCACAAAACGGGCAACTTGGTTGCAGTCAAGATTATCCGCAACAAGAAGCGATTCCATCAGCAGGCTCTAATTGAGGTCAACCTTCTTCAGAAACTCAAAGAATGGGATCCGCATCGTCGTCACAGCGTGGTAAACTTCACGCAGAGCTTCTACTTCCGAGGACACTTGTGTATTTCAACTGAACTGCTAGGTATCAACCTTTACGAGTTCATCAAGGCGCATGATTTCAGAGGCTTCGGTATCAAGTTGATTCGGCGGTTCACGAGGCAAATCCTCAACACCCTCACACTTCTGCAGGCAAAAAAGGTCATCCACTGTGACCTCAAACCAGAGAACATTCTTCTTGTTCATCCTCTTAGCTCTGAGATTCGAGTCATAGATTTTGGGTCCAGCTGCTTTGAGAACGAAAAGGTGTACACCTACATCCAAAGTCGTTTCTACCGATCTCCGGAGGTGATTCTTGGAATGTCTTATGGCATGCCAATTGACATGTGGAGTCTGGGATGTATCTTGGCGGAGCTCTACACTGGTTATCCTATTTTCCCCGGTGAGAACGAACAAGAGCAGCTTGCCTGCATCATGGAAGTTTTTGGGCCACCGGAAAAACACTTGATTGAGAAGAGCACCCGAAAAAAGCTATTCTTTGATTCTCTTGGAAAGCCAAGGATCACAGTTTCCTCCAAAGGGCGGAGACGTCGCCCTAGCTCCAAAGAGCTGAGACAGGTACTGAAGTGCGATGACGAGCCCTTCTTGGATTTCATTGCGCGCTGCCTTCGATGGGATCCTCAACGCCGTCTAAGCCCTAGCGAAGCTCTTAGACATGAATTCATGACAGGTCACAGAATGGTGCCCAAGGCCAGGCCATTCGGCAGCCACTCTCCTGGCAAACGGGTGAATACTTTATCAACACCGACCGCGAGTCGCCCTCTTCCAGAACCGCCCGGAACGAGTTTCAAGAACGGCACCGTTGTGCGCAGTCGCGACCCTTCAAATTCGTCGCCTATAAAGGCGACTTCTGGCAAGCGTCACTCAACCGTCAGCGGACTGCCACCATCAACACCCGCCAAGCGAGCGACGAATACCACCGCCACGCCTGGCTCCGCCTTGCCTCGCGCTTCCGCGAGAAGCATTAGCGGAAAGCCCGACCTTGCGACAGCGGCGGCCGCGACAAGCTTGGTAGGTAGACCGGCTGATGCACAAGTCCGAACCTGACGGGTCCGAGCAACATGGCTAACTCAAGACAGAAGCCGAAATGATTGGAGGGTCTTTTTCTTTTGCGTTTTCTTCTTCCACTTCTTGCATATCTGTAATAATACTTTGCTTGATTATTCAGTTGCATAGCAGGCCGGGGACGCTTGTGGTTTTGATTCGATTCTTACGACTTACATTGACTGCTGGCTGAACAACCCAGTGGATGAGGCAGGACATTTCTTCTTATACCCTCACTTGAGCTTTTGCATGTCTGCCATGATTTGATTTGAGTTGAGTTGTTATTGTTCCTTTCTTTTGTGACCTCGTCTGAATGCCATGTTTATTGTTATGGCCGAGAGACCCCAGTTTATACATGCGCATGTCCGCCACCTACACGTTGCATGCACTTTCACGCTGTCTTTACCTTGCATTGTTAACTCCTTCTGCGATGGGGGAACGCACTCATATTCGAACCGGAGGAAGGACATGTCCTTTGGGTCGTCTGTATATGTCCTCTGTTTGATCGCCGCAGTGCTGTATTTGCGGGTGGTACGGGCATGTTATGATTAGAAAGAAGTATGGATATACATAAGAACAACGAATAGATACGATTAATACTCATACTGTCCTGGCTGGTGGTGTTGAATAAGGGGTATCCAGAAATCCACGTACTCCGTAGATTGATGCGGAGTTCTGGTGTTTCGGGATACTTGGCCTCATTTCTCACGTTAACTCCTCGCGGTTCCTCCTCATCCTCGACCCACCAGTCATTCCTTTATTCCTGAGCTGTTCTTAGCATCTGTCCGTTTCAATTCCATGTCCCATGCATTGAGCGACTGATTAACTGCACTCCCGACGCCGATCGTCATGAACGGGTTCGCATCCCACGGCCTCGATGAGGACGCATTCGCGGAGAAGTCCAACCTGAAGGGCGGCCTCCAGACATTCGATGCCTTCCGTGAGTCTTTTCTCGCTCAATTGATTGGGAGATTCAAATTTAAGCAAAATAAAATACTAATGAGCCATGCCCAACAGCAAAAACAAAACCCTCCTACACCACCCCCTCCCGCCGCGGCGGGCAATGGACCGTCCTAATCCTCACAATCTGCACCATCTTCTCGCTCACCGAATTCCTTACCTGGCTCAAGGGCCATGAGACGCACCACTTCACAGTCGAGAAGGGCGTCTCGCACGACCTGCAGTTGAACCTCGACGCCGTGATCCACATGCCCTGCGACACTCTACACATCAACATCCAAGATGCGGCCGGCGACCGCGTCCTCGCCTCGGAAAAACTCAAGAAGGAGCCGACGAGTTGGAAACTCTGGATGGATAAGCGCAACTACCATAGTTCCGAGTACCAGACGCTGAGCGATACCCGCGGAGACGAGGGGCGCGTTGCGGCCATGGAGGAAGATGTCCATGCGGGACATGTCCTTAGTGAGGCGCGCCGCGGGGGGAAGAAGAAGTTTGCCAAGGGGCCGCGCATTCGGCGCGGTGATAAGGTGGACTCTTGTCGTATCTATGGGAGTCTCGAGGGGAATAAGGTCCAGGGGGACTTTCATATCACGGCGCGGGGGCATGGGTACCGCGATGGGAAGGAGCATTTGGATCATTCGGGTGCGTATAGACGTCTCCTTTCTCCAAGGTGTTATGGGGGATACGGACGAGAGCTAACGAGATGAATGGCGCAGCATTCAACTTCTCCCACATCATCACGGAACTCTCCTTTGGGCCTCATTACCCGACCATTCTCAACCCGCTCGACAAAACCATCGCAACGACCGAAGCCCACTACTACAAATACCAGTACTTCCTGTCCGTCGTGCCCACCATCTACGCGCGCAACCAGAACCTCCGCCTCGACGCCCTCCCCTCCTCATCCTCCGCCCGCAACAACAAGAATCTCATCTTCACAAACCAGTACGCCGCGACCTCGCAATCCGATGCGCTCCCGGAATCCCCGTACCTTATCCCGGGGATCTTCTTCAAGTACAACATCGAGCCGATCCTGTTGCTGATTAGCGAGGAGCGCACGGGGTTCTTGAGCCTGCTCATCCGCATTGTGAATACGGTTTCTGGCGTGCTTGTTACGGGGGGTTGGATTTACCAGATTACGATTTGGCTTGGGGAGTTGAGGAGACGGAGACGGGGTGGGGAGAAGAGCGAGGGGTATCTGCATGGGAAGTTGAGCGAGGAGTAGAGTGGGCTTTTCTATATGCATTGGGTTTTGGGTGCGTTGTTTGCTTGCTTGTATTGATTATATATTGGAGCTGGTCTTAGAATTCATTTCTCTCTTACTTTCGTCCTACTTAGACTTAGGGTTTAATCTGTGCTTGTTTGTAGGTGGAAGTATGAGCATGTATGTATTGCTCGAATCTATGTAGAACACCGGTATGCCATACAAGTCATGCGCCGAGAGTCATAATAATCCTGAATCATCTCCGAAAAAAAAAAGAAACCTGCAATCAACACAAAGAGAGAAATGAAACAAGGCAGGTCTAAATCTGGAAGATCTCGCCCATTCCAACACCAGCACCCTCCGCCCCAGCCCGACTATCAACAAGGTCGAGCCTCCACCCCTTCCAATCCCTCAACTGCTTCTTGATCTCCCTTACCCATTCCACCCGCTTCCGTGCCTCCTCTTCAGCCTGCGCGCGCGCAAACTCCGCCTCGTCAAATTCATCTTCGAGATTCTCTTCGGAAAGGAGTTCGAGGGATCCACGCGCAGCTGGTGCATGGTGGCCGTGTGTTTGCGAGGGAGACTGGGAGTGAGATTGGGAGTAGAAGGGAGAATTTGAGCCCGTGAGCGCAGCGATGCCGCTTGAGAGGACAGCGGAGAAGGAGGAGTGTTGCTGTCTCTGGGCCATGCTGCGGCGCCGCGAGTGCTCGGGGCTGCCGCCGATGAGGTCGACATCGTCAAAGGCGTTTGCAGCCGCGGCGTCGGGGTTGTAGTTGTCGTAGTCATTGCCAGAGTCGGGAGCATATGCGTCTGGCCCGGGCTGTAGTTCCTGGCGCTTCTCTTGCCAGGCGCCGCGGCGAAGATCGAAGACTTCACCTTCGAGCTCGCGGATTCGGCGTTGGAGCCGGGAGCGCTCTTCGTCTTCGAGTTCGTCCAGGGCGTCGTCGTCTGCGCCTCCGCTCGCTGTAGCTTCGCGCTTACGGAGCGTCTCCTGTTCTTCTTTGAGGCGGAGGTTCTCGTTCTCTGTGCTAGCTAACTTCTTGCGCAGGGAGGCGGCTTCCTTTTCGGCCTTCTCGCTCTCCCGGAGGCGAGTCTGATGCCGGGCTTCGGATTCCTTGTGCAGGTTGCTCATGGCCTGAAGTTTCTTTTCCAGGGTGTCGATCTTCTTTTCCGCTTCTGTCTTCTCCTGTTTCAGTTCCTCGATCTCGCGCTGTAGGGTCTTGATCAGAGTCTCGGTGGAGGTTTTGTCGGCACCCTCTTTAACAGCCTTCTCAGAGGCGTGGGTGAGCGCGGTTTTGGCGTCTGTGAGTTCGCGCTGGGATTGTTCAAGGGAGGACTCGCATTGCGAGAGCTTCTGCTCTAGTGCGGTTATCTGAGTTTCGAGCGTGGATTTCTCGGTGACTTGAACGCGGAGATTGGAGATCTCTAGTTCCATAGCTTCCACTGCCGCGGACTTGGACTCGAGTTGCTGCATGAGGTCTGTTGGTGGTGATTCCGTCGGCGGGGAGACAGATATGCTGGCGTTACTGCGGTGTGCGCGTGTTTGAAGTTGTCTCTGGAGAGACGCGATTTCCGCTTTCTAGAACGCGCCTCTTGTCAGCATATAGCTCCCATCAGAGCGAATTGGAAATAAAATAATCAACATACCAACTCCTCAACTCCCTCAACCTTTTCCTCGGCAACCCGCAGCTTCTCCTTCAACTCCGGGACATCCACATTCGCCTCGCGCAATTCCTCCAATTGATCCTCCGTCTTCTTAAACCTCGCACTGAATTCCTCCACCTCCCTCTCCAATCGCTTGTTCTCCTTCTCCAGCTCTTCAATCCGCCCGGACTGCTTCCTGTATACCTCCTGCACCGCTTCTCCATCCGCACTCAGCGGCGGCAATGACGGCGACTTCAGCATTGCGGACGGAGATACAGACTGGCCGCCGGCACCACTACCCTGCGACACGGACTTCCGGAAAGACGACGAGCGCATCTTCGATTGGATGGAGAGGGAGGGTTGGCGGGTGTGTCCGGCGCGCGGTGTTGGCGTATCAAGTTTCCCGGATTCAGCTGTGCTTGTTTCTTCTGTAGACGTCGGAAGGTCGGGCATTGGTTCTGATGGCTCCTCCTCGTTCCTCTCTTCCGTGCTCGGCGACTGCGCTGCTTGCTCTTCCGCTGGTACCGCTAACTCTCCTCCATCTGTTTCGAACGACGTCTCTGTTATTTTCGCGGCTTCATCACCCGGTTGTTCTGGTTTCACGGCCGGTTCTGACTGTTCTGGTTCCGGTGTCTCTGCTTGTGCAGCCGGGGTTTCTGTCTCCGTTGTTTCTGCCTCCTTTGCTGTAGATGCTGAATCTGATGCGGTGCCCTTTTTGCCTGCCTTCTTCTTCTTTTGGAGTGCGGCGACCTAAACCATCATCAGAAATGACAGATAGCGAGCTATCCAATTCAATGGTAGCGGATTACATTTCGCGGGGATGAAAACAAGGCCGGGGTTGTGCGGGTGGAAACATACCCTTTTCTTAGCCGCTGCGAGCTTCTCGGCCTTTAGGCGCTCTTCTTCGTCGGCCATAGTTTTGACAGTGACAGTAGGCAATTCGTGAGGGGAGGAGTGTGGGTTGGTGATGTGGGCTGGTTGATATGCGATACCAGGGAGGACAGCTTTCCCCGTCCCGCACGGGCCACCCGGTTCCTACAGCGTGTCAGCCACAACTACAAAGGTGATCCATCTACATCATATATCCTAATGTTCGCGCCCTTTGACCTCCCAAATTAGACTCGGAGGACATCCTCGACAGCGGTCAGAACATTCGATTTGATTAAGGTACAATAACGAAGTGAATCGGTTAGCAGAACAAGTCAACGCCGCTGTAAACATCACCAAGCTAACTAGCTGTAACCCGGCCTGTCGGCGACCTTGCCAAACGCCTCGCGCCACCGAGCCCTAAAAATGCAGGTTGAATGCGAGAAGAAACAAACAGAAACGCCTCAAGAACAACCCGATAAATAGCGTTTAATCAAAGGGGTAATAGAACTAGACTATGATCAAAGTCAACGAATCGAATGGAACAAGAGAAAGCATCAATCATTAGTCATCAACTCAAACTTCCATCGATTCCGCAATTTCCTCGCTCATTGCACGGACCGTGCCCTTGCTGCCGGATCGGGAACGGAAGTCCTCGTCGCTCATAAGATAGTTGTCGAACTCATCGCCGCCGGGGCGCATCGCTTGAGGCTTGTTCTCCACGTCACTATCACTTTCAACCTCCACATCATCACCAAACCAATACTTGGCACGCTTGCTCGTACTAAGGTTGGGCGTAAGAAGACCATCATCGAAGGTTCTCTTCGACATGGGCGTAGCGAAACCGTCGCTGGGAGTGTGACTGAGAATCGGAATCGCTTTGACGTACAGGTAGCAGACGCGCTTCCGCGTATGGCTGACGAAAAAGTAGTGGAGGCTCCATATCGCTCCATCGTCCGCATCCGATGGGTCCTCATCCGGTGAGTACGAGTAGATGCTGCACTCCCTAAGAGATAACTGTTCGTCCAAGATCTTCCACATCCTCCGACCCCATGTGGCGGAGGCTTCCGAGTTGTATGATCCTGAGACTGCGGTCGGCGACGGGGGTGTAAGACCAAGGGTTTCGCGTGGACGGAGATTAAACAGCGTCGAGTCGATCGTGTTCATCACCCTCTTCAGATGTTTCTCGTGATGGAAATCCGTAGGGCGCAAAACATGTGAGAAGTCGTAGTCTGGGTGGCTGGCGTTCAGAGTTGCTATCAGGTACGCGAAAGTTCGTCGACTCGAATGATCGCTCAGGGGTCCAAATGGGCTCGATCGGGATAGGTTCAGGGATGCGGCCGCATCAGACGCGGCAGGAGGAGACAGCGATGCTGATAAACGAAGGACAGACTCATATTGAGCCTCTAGCGATTGTTCGATATTCTTGTAAAGCTTTCGATCCGATCGCGGTGCTTTGGTTATGTACAGCTCACAGCCCCCAACAATGTGGCAGTCGGCCGTGTCGAAATTCAGCGAGCTCGTCACGTCTTCAAATTCGGGAAGAGGTAGGAACTATTGGAGATCGGATCAGTTCGGGCCATTACCGAAGTTTAAACCTATTCTCGCGCATTCGATCTCACCTTCATCTTGGTAAGCTTCACCGCTCAAAACAACAGATCCGGGTAGTAAGAAGGAAAGGGTGAGTGTGTCGCAAAACTACGAGTCTTGCACGACGCTCCAAATTGTTCCAAATAGGGAAGTAACAAAGGGGTTCACGAAAGAGTGTGAGCGGTCTTTGTCGTCAGCTGGGTTGACCGTGGTCCGGCGGAGATAAGACAGGGCGAACAGCTGGCGATAGTCGATAGATAAGGAAATGGGCAGTAATTAAGTGATATTCACCGCGACAGCCGCCATTCAAGGCACTGAGAGGATGAAGAAAGTGAAAGAGGATCGGAGAGGGGGAATGGTATGATGATGTTAAACCGATCGCTGGGGAGGTTCGATGCGCGTTGCGACCGAGGGGGCAGTCACGTGGAAGCCGCAAGCAGCCAGTGATATCACTCACCCACTTCACGGGTGCGGACGGCAACCAGAGAACTGCAGACAAACGAGAGCCGAAATTCGGTATCACAAGAGGCCCTGTTGAGAGAGGTTCTCCATGACTTGCTCGGAATCCTGATTGGTGTCAATGTAGTATTATTAGCCACTGGGTGGTAGTAGTGAAGATCAACGCCTATATACGTCCGAACGCCAATAAACAGTCCTTGCAAGCCCACGAAGCAAACCAATAATAGAAACAGAAGCTCATCGCTGATGACGCTCCTACATGATCTTCGTAACCACATCTTCCTCAACCTGAGGTCAAGAGACGTTAGCGCCATGCGCAGACAACACGTGGTGACCGTAACGGCATATCAATCGAGCGCGATGCAAGTGGATAGGGGGTATCTGATAAAGATTCGCATAGGACAATGCTGCCACGGGGTTCGGGGTACGGGCGGGCTATAGGAGAGGTATGGACATGACGATGTGACGACTTGAAGACTGGTGAAGAAGATCGAAGCGCAACGACATATAGCATCCAATCCCAATATCCTCGCTGGTATATGCACGGGTGTAACAACGACATCTGAAACTCACCTCCATATCCTCCAGACTGTCCTGCTGGCTGATACACCTCAGCACGTTCTTCTTGCTGCTCTCCTGCATCTCGCCTGCCAGCAATAATTCGTCCAAGATGAAGTACGCCTTCTGGAAATTGAAGATGATATCCAACTCGCACACGTTTCCGTAGTACTTGTCCATCTGCTCGACGTATCGGTGCACGACCTCGAGGGTGATCAGCTCGTTATCGGTCGAGGCGCAGCCGGCGATGAAAAAGAGGGAGGCATATCGGCGGTAGACGACTTTGGTATCTGCAGAAGTCAGGAAGGTTAGAGTTGACTCTCGAGTCACATTGGCCGGCTCAGGGAGACCTAGTCCCCGACTCCGATCGCGACCTTTACCTACCTTTGTATTCAAGGAAATTGCACATCCGCGTCCGGCGCGATAGCACAAGTTGAGTCACATCCTTGATGATCTTGGCCTTCTCTTTGGGCGAGAGGGTGGTAAACCACTTTGCAAGGCGCTGGACAGGGGGAATGCGAGTTAGCAGAGCTTCTTCAAGCTTCCGGCCAGATCGCAGCCGGGTGGGTGACGACGAACCACTTTCCCCTGGCGAGAGAGTAGGATCAGGTAGCTGGGTGTGATCAGCACATGTCGGGGGACTTGCAGCATTCAAGTCTTACTGAATTGCCATTTTGCAGTTTGTGGGAAAAGTCGAGGAGGGGGTCAAAAAAAGGTGGTGGACTGGTAGTGGAGCAGAAAGCAAATGCTTTTACGTAGGGGCGGCTCCGTGGGTTTATTCATCTCTGCCCCGCGGGCCGCCGCCGACCTTCCTTTGATTATTGACACTCAAGAGACAAGACCAACGCAGTACGTATTCGGCTTCATTATGCTGCTGGCTATACGACAGGAGCTCCGACGCTCCTAGTATCTGTTACTTTTTTTGACAGCCAGCGACGTATATTAAGAATAACCTGACATCTCAAGTCCAGCTCCCCACAATATACAATTGAACACTCGACTCAAGGGCAGATGAGCAATAGCCCGACAATGGCAAAAAATACCCAAGTCGAAGCCTTTCACTAACTATAGATTTCGAATCTACGGCTGATGAAGGTGGTCTCAGCCCCGGGTGTATCCTTGCGAGGACAATGTTTACATCCTTATTCCTCAAGGAAGCCTCGGAAGGACCAAGCAGGTCAGCGCCTCAGAACATGATGGGACAGTCACGGCCTTTGCACTAAATGCAGACTCATCGCTATGCTGTTCGCACACGGATAAGCAACGACCAAGAAGCTGGCGAAGCTTGCGAGCTTACTGGTCGGGCCCATCCACTATATATATTTGCACCTTTCGTGATGCTGCTGTCTCAGCTCTCGAGAGCAAGGGTGCTGAGCCTTCAACCTAGGAACTTGAGGGCTCCTTAAAGGCTCGCTCCGATCTGTTTCTTCAATGGCCCGTTCCTTGAGCATGCAACATGAAGCTTTACCCGCTTAGCGCTCTACTCGCATTATCCCTCTCTGTCTGGGTCAGTTCCTCGAATCGTTGCCCACCAAGATGACAATCTCCTATTCCTCTCTCCCGAATACTTTACTACATCTAGACCAGTCAGTAAGTCCGCACGGTCTTCATCACTGCCGGCGACTCAGGGCAAGAAGCGAGCTACTGGCAAGACCCCTAGCAGGCGCACGAACCGCATACGCGTTCATGAGTGAATCCTCAAATGCCTGGACAGAAAAAGATGCGGGTATCCCCGGACACCAAGCACCGCTATGCAGGCCAGAACAGGACCCAAACATCTCACTCGTGTCCTTGCGCCTTCCGGATGAAACCTCCAGCGACAGGGCTTTGAAGCCACAGGGGGGGCGAGTCTACAGAAGCTTTGGGAAGGGAGAATACCTAGTATCCAGAGAATCAGCGGATCCGGAACGTATACGAGAGATGAGCTGGTCAGCGGGCCTGGGTTTCTGATTGCCGACTTTCATCCGGCACGCATCAATACACTGGACTATGTCCATCAGTATGGAGACAGTGATCACAGCGACTATCGTTCGGCTGCTTATTTGTTACCGAGGCGTTGGAGTTGCATGAGAGCAATGTGACCATGTAGGGTATACGGGCTAACCGGTTGTCAACGAGATCGCTAAAGCAGCTGGACGAGATCTCCAGACCAAACAGTCCGCATTTTACGCGTATAGACGAAATGACCCAGTTACTTGTGGAGGTGATCTAGCTTGTGCGAACGATGCGCACGATCCTCGATGCTACAGCGCCAGCTTACGGTTGATAAGGCTCCGATTGCGAATGCTGGTGCCGCGCAAGTCGCAGGGCTGAGTGCTGTCATTACCCTAGACGGGTCAGCCAGCTCAGATCCAAGCGGTAAATCCTTGACGTACGAATGGAGACAAGTTAGCGGGCCAAAGATGGACTTGACTGACACCAAGGCGAGTCATCCTTCCTTTACCAACTCGGCAACTCAGAGACTAGTCTTTGAGCTAGTGGTGAGGAATGAAGAGACAAGTAGCAGCCCGACAGTTGTGACGGTTGCTTTATTGCAATACGCGGAGAACATAACCTTCCATGCAAAAGTGCGGCATCTTCATCGAATGCTGGCTTCACTCAGACGCCCAACAAAGCGATTGAAGGAACCGTCAGCGGTTTTCCAGGAGAGCATACACTAGAGTGGGCGACTGAGGGGGTTGGATCTGGGAGTCGGATAAGTCCGAGCTGGGGGGTCCGCAGACGATGTCCAGATCGTCCTGTATGACTGTCCATATCTTGACGACGAGATTACGGGAGCTATTGTCGAGTTTGACACTGGGGATAGAATGAGTTGGGAAGTGAGCAATTACCTACGGGACAATCACACGAAAACACATTTTTCAAAGGCGACTGGAACGCCTGATGCCTTAAATTGTTCTTCAGCATTAGCATGCTAGCGGATTTATAGTCACGGGCAGACTAGTTCAAGCCACCATGAGCTTAATCTCAAGCTCGCTCGTGAGTCGTAAGACTCGAATAATGGTCCCACCATCGTGATCGACTGGTGAGATCACGATTCTGGACCTCAATGACGTCATCCCGACTATTCCGCCCTTAAAAGTATCACACCCTTCCTTCCTTTTCATTATCTCGTCCCCCTTCCATCACTTTGGCGCCTTCATCAAGCTATCATATCAGAAGCAAATAACCGCGGCAAAATGGCAATGAGAGGAATCCAGCTTGGCCTTCGGGTCTGGCAGGTAAGACGCGTCTACAAGCACGCGCCTGTCTAGTATACAAACTAACGCTCGGTCTTAGTTCATCTGGACACTGCTCGTCATGGCCCTCATCGGTAACATGATTGCTCAGGCCTTTTCTGGCAACCCCGCGACGGTCAACTACGCCATGTTCGTTGCGGCCTTCTCCATGTTCACGCTCTTCTATCTCTTCCCGGCATCTTGGAACCCCGACTGGGCCATCCACCCTATCATCCTGATCGGCCTCGACACTTTGAACACGATCTTCTTCCTGACCGCTGCGATTGCTCTCGCGGCCAAGCTCGAGTGCCACAGCTGCAACAACCGGGTACGCCCTCCATATCTACGGCATAGGCAGGCCTGTGCTAATAATAACTACTAGGAATACATCCTCAACAACGAAATTACCAACGGCTCGCTTGACCCTGAGAAGCGCTGCCGTGAGGCTCAGGCGTCGACTGCCTTCCTGTGGTTCGCGTGGGCTGGGTACACCGCTTCATGGGTTCTCTCTATCCTCCAGTCGCGCCGTGCTGGTGCAAACCTGCGCCCTCGTGTTGGCCCTGCCCGCGGAAGCGGCCGTCCCACCATGGCCCAGGTTTAAACGGTTAATGTCTAAGCCTAAGCTATCGCACAGCAAGTTACGATGGATGGTACTAACTAACTGACAACGACTAACAACGACAACGACATACACGGCGATGTATAATCTGGCTGGATCCGGTTGCCAAGAATAATACGTTACTACGGGATATGATATAAAACCTAATACTACTAATCGGACGGGATGGAATTGGAGTTGGGGTTGGTGGTGTGGAAAAATGAGTCTGCTTTCCTTGGATTTCTCTGCATCTTGGCTTACGTCTGCTGGCTGAATACGTACGCATACTGTACAGTATCTCATCTTCGGATTCGTTTTTATATTGGCAAACTATACTTAATACGCATTGTTGGAGCTTTCAAGCCCTACTACGTAGCACGGTCCAACAACCCTACCTCCCCATACGGCCCACTCACCTCCACCAGCAGCGACACTGCCCTATACGTAATACGTACTTTCAAGGACGGCCTGTCTCGTCCGACTGGTGGAAGCAGGATTTACTACTTGACACCCTTATTCACAGTTCTCATGCATCAAGCTCTTGAGTAGTGGTGTCGTAGGGGTGGAAAGACCGTCCCTACTCTGTAGATTAGGGCTAAATCATGACCTGACCCACTCGGCATCTCCAGCCCCAGCTTGGATCGATCTTGGATGTCGGGTGTAGCCACATATCCTGTCTGTATACATACGCAGGGCGAGACGCGTTCCTCCTACTGTTCTTGCGTAGCCAACTGCAGGAACTAGGTACACACGCGCCTAGTTCCCAATGACAAGGACCTCGTCGAAGACGTCTCTCCTCACGCTGTAGATCACTGCCTGGCGTACTCCGTACTTGCCCTAGAAGGGACAGAGAGAGGCATGGAGAGTACGAGAACGGCAGGCACGACCGGACGCTCCTTCCTTGTCTACGACAGAACACGATTCAAGGAAGGAGCGACCCTCAGCCCGGGCCCTTGGTCGTACCTGCCGTATTTGCTCAGTCCGGGTCGTTCCTTCCTTCTTGGTCCAGCATTCCGCTGGCGGAGGAAGGAGCGACCCTGTAATGACGCTGACTGTAGCTTGTCTTCGTATATTCCCGTTATCCCGGGGAGCTCTTTCTTGGTGGCGGCCCACATAGGGCTAGGTCTGTCGGCCGAGAGGGTTTCCTTGTCCGATGAGGATATCAGGAGCAGCGAGAGGGTATTCAATGTGTAAGATTATGTGCTCTCCAGGCTTCTCGCAAATGTATTTCTGAAGTACCTTTGTCGTCTTAGCATTGATAGCGGATCAGTCTGCCATGCATACGCAATGACCACCAGCACACCGCAAGGCCCACCTCTCAAGTCTCGACGCAGATCCCTGCGAGCTGGGTAATTTCACCCATTCCAGGCATTTCCTTCGGCTTGTGCCGTTCCCCAGACCCCGGCCGTTCGCCACCAATGGCTGGCTACCCCGGGTATCTCGTGCCCTGGACAATCCGACCCGGATATTCCGAGCTGACATTCAGCTGCACAAGGCTATAACTTCTCTTTCGTTCACCTTACCTGCTCTCTAACACAAGATTCAACCAGACATACCGCCATGACATCCCTCAACATCCTCGTCGTCGGCGCCGGCCTCTCCGGCCTTGCAACAGCCATTTCCTGCGCGCAGTCCGGCCACACCGTCACCGTCCTTGAGCAAGCCGTCGAGCTCGCTGAGGTCGGTGCCGGGCTGCAAGTCACCCCCAATGCCTCGCGGCTCTTCAAACACTGGAATCTCCGAGAGTCTCTCTGGCGCGAGGCGCCTGAGCCCAAGACCCTCACTGTCCATCGGTATACAGGCGACGTCCTCGCCCATGACGCCTCGTTCGACAAGCACATCCGGGCGCACTATGATGCGCCGTTTGTGGATGTCCACCGAGTCGATCTCCAGCAGGCGCTGTACGCGCGAGCTAAGGAGCTCGGCGTGACCGTTGTTCTGGCGGAGCGGGTGAAGAGCATCGTCGATGCGCGGGAAGCCGAGAAGAACACTGCGACGGTGGTCACGGAGTCGGGGAAGACGTACACAGCAGACCTCGTTGTCGCAGCGGATGGGCTGTGGTCGAGATGTCGTGAGTGCCTGCATAACCGCAAAGATGAGCCTCTGCCTACCGGTGATCTGGCGTACCGAATCGTGTTGCACGTTGACCAGATCTCTGATCCGAAACTGCGGGCATTCGTGCAAAATCCCCAGGTGCATTTCTGGATTGGACCGGGGGCTCACGTTGTTTCGTACTCTATGCGTGGCGGCGATATGATCAACATTGTGCTCCTTGTGCCGGATAATCTGCCTCCTGGGGTGTCGAGAGAAGCGGGCTCGGTAGAGGAGATGAGAGGCTTGTTCAAGGGGTGGGATCCTGTGTATGTTCCTTCGCCAATTGAGAATTCTGTAACACTGACGAAAGGCAGCCTGACACAATTCCTCTCATACGTCGATAAAGTCGACAAGTGGAAACTCATGCACAGTACTGCGCCCTCCCCTTAACCCTCCATCAACCTAGCTAACAGGAATCATCAGACGCCGAAATGGCTACCTGGATTAACCCCTCCTCAACCCTCGTCTTCGTGTACGCTCCCCCGTCCAACCCCCCCCCATATAACCACTTCATCAGACTAACATTCAACCCTAGCGGCGACGCCTGCCACCCCATGCTCCCGTACCTAGCGCAAGGCGCAAACTCCTCACTGGAAGACGGTGCCGTCCTTGGCGGTCTGTTAGGCCATCTAACGAGCAAGTCGCAGCTCCCTCGGATCCTAAAGCTGTACGAGTCCCTGCGCAAGAACAGAGGTGAGGCCATTGTGCGCGAGACATTCAAGCAGCGCCACGACTTCCATCTCCCAGATGGCGAAGAGCAGCAGAAGCGAGACGAGCTTTTCAAATCCCAGCTGGGGAAGGAGGAAATTGTGCTTGCGGAATTGGGAGAGCGCGGGTTCCCTAGTCGATGGTATGTTATATCTCCCCACTCTACTTACCTGAATGGGTTTGCTCGGGGATAGTGAGCTGACTGTGATGAGCAGGACATGCCCGAAAGTTCAACCATGGCTCTATGGGTATGACGCCGTCAAGGAAGTGCAGAACGCTGTTGCGGCGAATCCAGACATCTTCGGGTCTGGTTCAAGGAAGGGGCTAAGATCAGGTCAGCCGCTACTCTCTTGGGCCAGGCTGTCTTCATATCTACCGCTTTGTTTGCCAATTTTGTTGTTTGGGGTGGGCAAGTTTGTTCTCTAGACTGACTTGATTTAAATGAAAGGAAGCTGCGCCTGATTTAGTTTATGGTTTTGAATTTGCGGGGATGGCGTTATGTACACTTATTTATTGATTTATATATAAGTACGTGCTGTGGAAACAGATATATACATGAAGTCAACCAAACAACGCTAAACGCCAGTAAACCTAAAGAGTAAACTTAGCCTCCCAAAGCAAGTACGAAAATCGGTACGCGAAATCACTCCTCCAAAATCGGCAACGGCCCTAAATCATCAAAGAACCGCGCTATGCCCTCAAATGAACAGTCGGGGAAGCCGAATCCATAGGCCCATTCCTAGTGGTTATCGTTAGTTTAAGAGATAGAGTAGGGAGAGTAGGGTTGTAGATAACGAACCGGGCCGTCAAATTCCCCTGCTCCTCCTCCTTCACTACCGCCGGGATATCCGTAGCCGTTCCCAGCGCCATTAGCGTAGCCATCGGTGTGAGGTGGTGCATGTCCAGTAGTAGTGTCGAGCTGTGCACCGTTCCCAAACCACCCGGCTCCAGATGCCGTTCCCATTCCTGCTCCTGTCGCCATACCTGTGCCTGTGCCTGTACCCATCTCCTCTCCTTGAACTATCCCATTTCCATTTCCATTCCCACTCCCATGTCCATGTTTCTCCCGTAGACTATGGGTATGACTCTGAGCCTGATACTGGCTGTGGCTGTGGCTGTGGCCGTGCTCGGCATTCCCATTCCCATTCCGGACCTGAAACTCCCGCAGATAGTACCTGATGATCTCAGCGCATTTGCGCGTAACGACGCTCTCGTCCGTCGCTTCCAGGATCTCGATTGCTTTTTCGACGGAGCGGGTTAGGGACTTTATGGTCTGTGGATCTGTTGATAGCGGGGGTGAGGTATGTTTTGATCTTGAGGATGTGGGTGGGTTTGAGACGGAGTGCGAGAGCGGGAGGAGGAGAGTCGAGGTTGCGAATGTGACGTAGGTTGTGTTGTACCACCAGCATCGGAAGAACGTGTGCACGCGGTAGATGTCGTGGATGACGGAGATGGTGTTTTGCGCGGCATCGAGGCACTTGGATATCGTTGTTGAGAGGAGGGATTCGGTATCGGGTTCGGGCTCTGTTGGCGTGTCTGTCTTCATTGTCATCGTTATGTTTGTGCTTGCTGTTGTTGCTGTGTCTGAGCGGTTTCGGGCTCCGTTGGCTGGCTTGGATCGAGAGCGAGGTCTGGATGTGGCCTTGGATTTGGATGTAGCGTGGCGGAGGAAGGGGCGGAAGAGGAGGGTTTTGACGTTGTAGTAGCCTGACGCCGTTGTTAGTTCATCGTGCTTGTATGCTCGGAGTAAGGTAAGCTGGGAGGACATACGAATTCCCAGCACAAGCCTCTGTCTCCTTGCCCACTTCGGATCCTTCAGATCATTTCTTCCCGCACCAATACCCATACCTCCGATGCCAACATTGATTCCATCCTCAGTAGCGATTGCACCCCCAATTCCATCGCCCCCCTCGCCTCTATCAACCGCCGCACTCTCATTTTCAGCTTCACCAGCTTTGATAAACCCGGGCCTAATCCACTCCGGTAGATTCCGAATCCAGCAATCTAACTCATTCTCGATCGCTAGTGCCATAGCCAATTTATCCTCCAATGTGAGCCGTCGATGGTATATCTGCACGGAGACCTTGCGGGTGATGCGCGCAAAATCCACCATCCACGGGATTATGGCGTACTGGGTGTGGTTGCGTGGCGGGAGAGGGCGGTTGTGGTAGTCGTCAAGGCCGAGTGTGTCGGGGCGGCCGAGGGAGAAGGACATTTCTATCTCGAGAGAAAACAGGCCCCACCATGTCCTAGAGATCCATTCTGCGCGGGGGTCGCTGGTCGGCCGGACGTTGCGGTTGAAGCCTGCTGCGAGACAGGTGCGGACGGCGACACCGAGGTACATGTATGCCACTGCAAGCGGATTAGCTAGTCAATCATCATGCGGATGTAAGGAGACGTACAGTTAGGGTTCAGCTCGTTCTGACATATCTTAGCCTATTACCTTTGAATTAGCGCTTCCTCCTATTGGCAAGAATGGGGTACAAACCATAAGATACAAGCACTGCACCGCATCAAGGTTATTCGGAAAATGCAAGTAGTTAAGGTAGAGCTGAGCCTCGCCAAACAGTTTCCGGCTCCATTCAAACCTCGTCAGCCCACCTAGCTGCGTCTCATCCCAAACCCGCAACAACGCGCCAAATGACAGAACACTCAAGTAGAGCGCGATAAAACTCGGATCAGGAGTTGGAGTCCGCCTCAACCAGAGATCGTGCGCGCGCACATAGAAGTCTTCCTTGTCGATGAAGGGATGAATGAAGTGGACGTTCTCAAAGTAGCCGCTCATAAAGACATGCGCCTGCTCGAAGTAGTAATTGCTTTCGTGCACTGTCGCCAATGATTGCGAGGCTGACGCGGCAGTCGTTGCTGTGGGCGAGAAACTGGCATTGTGGAGTGTCGAGACAATCGAGTACTCTGGAGGACGGGGGCGACTCGGCCATTGCGCAGAGGTTTCTGATTGCGGATCTCGCGCTTTCTGGAGATGCCCAAGGAATGCAACGGAGGAGGTGCTCCCGTGAAACTCGATGCCGTTGGTGTGATGGTTTAGCTCGGTGATTTCGTCATCGACGGGGTCGCTGGCTTCGGCCTCGGCTTCGTCGTCTTGCTCATTGGCGTGCTTATTGGGATTTGTGTAGGGCTCCGGCTCTTCCGGACGTCGCGCATTTGTAGTTGATGCCGGCGGTGTTGTTTTGTCGGGCATTGACATTGAGCACGGCGTTGCATTGATGGCTGGAATTGAGGGAGCGGATTCATGATCGCGGGGTGAGAGCTTTGCTTCAGCGACTTGGAGCTTTAGAGCAAGTTCTTCGACTTTCTTCTCCAAGTCAATGACATAGCTACCGAATATTAGCTAGTGTACAATATACAAATTCAGGGGTCGCACCTGGCCGACCGGCTATTCTCCAGCTGGCGATAGTTACCCTGATAGACGCAGCTCAGGTTGCTTTCTAAACTCGTCAACCTCGTCTCTATAATGACTACTGCGCGGACATACTCTTACAGTGCGAGCACGGATAGAGCTCATCGCACTTGTACTTTTTCGTGCGGCATCGGTCGCAAGCCTGCGCGGCGCGAGGTCGCTTTGAGCGAGGGGGATCGTCGGGGGGTGGCATGATCCATCGAAGCAGACAGATTCAGCTCAACAGAACCTGGAGAATGGGACAGTTGGAGATGAACTTCTGGGGCGAGGGTCTGGGGAAGAAAACTCGGAAATGCCGACCCCCGTACTCTCCACGCCCATCCCCGCAGGACGTATGTTGCATAACTGCTTGCATTACTTATGCCACTTATGCATTTCTACTGCAGAGTCAGGCTCAGCTCCCCCGCGACCTCCTTCACCTTCGCCTCGTCCACTTCCAGCCCCTCCACCGTCTCGGGCAAGACCACCCCGCTAAACGCCTGTCCAGCACTCTGAATCAACGACTCGATCCCGTCCCCGTCCGTAAACGACCAGATTCGCACATACTTGCTCCGGAACTCCAGCGCGAACGCCTGCCCTGCAGGGATAACCACCGTCTCACCCTCGCGGAAAACCTCCTCGCTCTGGCCCTTCAGCTTCACCACCAACGTCCCCTCCATGACAGCCAAACAATGATCCACCTTCTCAAATGTCATAGACCGCGATAACACCGACGACGCCGCACCATAAACATTCGAAGACTCGATGCTCGAAATCGCACACACCCCACACTGCTTCATCGTGATAAAAGGCCTGCTCATCACGCCACCGAGCATCCACCGCGGCCCCGTGTTCGCCTTTAGGTAGAATGGCACGGGCTCCTGGGCGTCCGGCAATTTCTCATCGTCCGCGTCCCACTCGCCCACCTCGGGCGGAACATAATTCGGCTGGAAGACAACGTCGAATTGCCCCTTTGCCGCCATGACCTTGGGGATTAAAAGCGCCTTCAAATCGCGGTCGTCGGCTTCGGGAACAAGGATACCGGAGTACGGCTCGGAGATGTACCGGAAGAAATCGATCCAGTCGCCTGGTGTCACGACGCCGAAGGTCTCGGTGTGCGGGCCCAGGAGTTCGGGATTATGAACGACGCCCTGTCGGTTGGTATTAGCGTACCGCAAATCTGTCAAGACCGTAGCAAAAGGTAGGGATATACCGGCGGCACATAAGCGAAATCGCCTGGCCCCATTATGCGGCACTTATCCCCGTTCCATAGCTTCAGATAGCCCTTCGTGACGAGAAATACGTCGTGCGCGTGATTGTGGTAGTGGAAGCCTGGTGCGTCGGAGAGCGTCGCGCCGCTCTGGAATACGGCCATTAAGCCATTGGTCTGTTTTGATGATGCGAGGATCCGGAATGTGCCTTTGCTGCCGGGAATTGTGAGCCGTTCGCCTTCGAGTTGCGGGATTGCGTAGGGTGTTCGGCTGGCTGGGGGAGTAGCGGTCCAAAGTGAGGAAGACATATTGGTTACCGTAGAGCTAATCTGGCGGAGCAGACCCAAGTAGAATCGAATGTTGAGGTAAGGAAGGTAGGCAGCGGACCAAAAATTGGAGGTTGCGATTGCGACGGCGTGAGGATGTCATATTTAAGAGTTGTGGAGCACTCGATATGGATCCAGGAACTCGACTCTCCACCTCCACCTCGGATAATCCAATAATTGCATGGTGTCGGGATATCCGGTTCCGACTGTTGAACTTGAAGCAGTCCAGTCGACGCCGAAGAGATTGATAGCAGGGTTCATGGATGGAGTTGAAACGCACATCTCTGGACTTCAGCAGAGCCAAGCAGACCCTTGATATGAATGCTGACCCAGTGGCTCGTGAAAAGAGCGGTCAGTGGAGTTGCTGCTGTACGACCACCGCACTTAGCCACGCTGCATGAGATATGTTACTATATGCGACTAGGAAGGCAGTAGTAACCGGGCGAGTTATATGCCCCGCCGGTAAGCAAGGCTGATAAAGCAATTGTCAGGACAATGAGATTGACTATGTACGTTGCGACATCATCCCTAACCAGGCCCGGCGTATGAGAAAACAAAATCAAATCATGTCAGTCGAAGTGCAAGTGCAAGTGAAAGACGACATAGGTAAATATAGCCAGAGAAAAGAAGCCCCATCCCGGTCCCGGTCCCGTCGGGTACCAGCACCAAGTCCAACACCACGCAGCCATCTACAAACTATTTGTGGCTGCGCGGCGGGTTATTCTCAACCCGCCCGCTTCCTGAGCCACTGTTCCGTGCGTTGGACGTGAGCCGGTCATCATATGAGGAGACTGAGGTGGGAGAGCTCCGGCTCAGGGATGCTGGCGTGAAGGTTGCTGATGTAGCATTTGAGATGTGATGATTGGCGGCGGCTGCTGGGTTGCAGCGTGCGCAGACGAAGATATTGAACCCGGCGCCGCTGCAGGTGCTGCAGACGGTTGTTCTAGGACGGTTAGTGCTTGCTGCAATAGAAGCGGAGGAGAAGCGAACCTAGGGGCGTTGCCGGCGCAGCTTCGGCATGTCACGACTGTTCGTCCACCGATGCAGGCGGTATGGGTTGGGTCGAGGTCGAGAGAGGAGGTTGGCTTGGCCATCTTGACTGAGGGCTGTGTAGAGTGTAGATGGTTGTGATTGAGAATGTTCGGATATGATTGAGGTGGTTGAGGTGGTTGATGTGGACTGAAGTATAGAAGATTCGCGGAGTTGATGGGCGGATGGCGAGGTTATATGCTGGGGTCTATTTAAGATTTATCAATCAGTGCAGGGCCCGTCCATGGCTGAATCACCCAAATATCGCATGGCAGGATTCGAGCTCAACCGAATCATTCCAAGGGTAAGAAAGCGAGACAGGTGAGAGATGCTGCAGCTACAAGCCAACCAGGCCGCTCCCTGCCGGTGCAATGGCATCTGACCGTGAGACATACCGTACAGACACAGGGTTCCTGATCCCGGTGGATTCGAGTCAAGGCCCTTGCCGTCCAATTCCATCTCGGCAGTGCCGATGAAGAGCCCGCACCAGCGAATCCACGGCGACGAATATTCGGTCAGATCGAGAATGCCTCTAGTAAGCCGCAGCAATGGCACAACGTCGGACGGCACAGGCAACGATCAGGGATCCCAAGCATGACGGCATAATCAGCCCCAGGGTTGGCCGGGTCAGGCGAGCCAGCGACATGGGAGTCGCTCTGAACTTGGTGGTTGAGGTCCCGTAGAGCCGGGACGGAGACTGGCTGATATCCTGAGCCTGATTGTTGACAACTGGACCATGTACATCACCCTGCACGGCAAGCACAGCTCCTCCAGGATTATTGACCATCCACAGCGAATAGGAGACATCATCATAAACTAAACTAATCAAGGGGCTGCAGAAAGTGGGGATTATATTCTGGGTCCTTCATCGAGAGAAGGAATAAGTCAGCACGTATGCCGATCACGGAAGATAAGGCCGAAGCATGGCAGCCACGGAGAGCTGAGCGATTCGACTCGCAAACAATCGGCATCACTAGTAGGCATTGAGTTCGGTACTCGCTATTTTAACCTTCAGAGCCGTCCATTGAACCCGCCGACGGGTAGATGCAGTGGAATGTACGGAGGAAGAGTAAGATCTTAAGCCCCAATGCCAGATACGAGCGCTCGACAGCCGCGTCCGCAGAGAAAACGGGGACGATCCGGTGACATCGAATAACAAAGCATCTTCAATTATCGGCTGGCAATTCCACCGAGTCAGCTGCGATTAGGTGCTCCAAGTCGTGGAATTGCAGCATGCACCGACACCTCGAGAGTTCACCGTAGTATTGTGTTGTAGTAACACACCTCCGCTTGGGTTTGGATGCATCCATCAAGCAACGGCCACTTCCCCAGTCCCAAGAGCTCGTTCTAACTTCCCGGGGCAGATAGCCTGGAGATATCCCCTCCTGGGACCTGCACAGATGCACACAATGCTGACGACAAGCACCGTTTTGTTCGGCCGAAGCCTGAAGGATTGAGACTACTGCAGTGGCAGGGACGATACATCAACTCGATGAGGGAACAGTGAGGCGTGGGTGGAGTGACTCGGGGGACCAGAAAAAGCAAAGAAACAACCCATTGTCGCAACGCGAACTATATCCGCATTGTTCAATCAGTCCCATAGAGGGCGGTGGATGAAAAAGCCAGGAAGTTGAATGTCCAAGCATAGATGAAAGGCAAAACATAGACAGTGTGATCTTGAGGCGCTTCAGGCTGTCAACCCTGGGCCTGTATCCTCGATGAGACGCAGAGGCTGCATGCAGGTAACCGTCCCTCGATGAGTCCACCGCCAGGCCGCGCAGTGATTGCTCCACGTGAGCCCGGAGAAAATAAACAACATTTGCCGCTATTCGCACAAGAGCTCAATATTGTGAGGGATATCAGACCAATTACCGGTGTCTGTACTGGATGTCTGCTGTGCAAGTCATCCACTTTGATATATCAAAGTTCATGCGCGAAGAAAACGCAGAGACAAGAGGCAGGGATTTTGCCAAGGTTCTCGGAGCGTAAAGAAGTCTAACTTGAGCAAGGGGCGAAGGCTCTCCCGGAAAGACCAACGTCCCAAGCTAGTGTATACGAGAGCGATTCGTCGAAAGAGAATACCTATGGTTGGCCATCCATCTGTCAGCTCATCAGAACAGACAACAGATACGAGCGTTGATGAGTACTCCTGCCCAAGAAAAACGCTAGGAGTAAGCGAGCTGCAGGTGTCCGTCAGGAATCACGCACCGGGCCGGGACCTGGATGAGGTCAGTGGTTGGCATTGTTCGCTTGAATCAGGCAGAGCCAGGGGAGAGCAGTGAGACACGCCTAGCAATCCTTCGATGCCTGAAAGGGACAAAGGGGAGACAGAAGCTGACTGAGGGAACACAGAAGAATGTTGCACAAGGCTCAGTGAGACAACTCGAGAGGAAAAAGGAAATTCATGACGGAAGCTGCCGATCAGCTGACAACGAACTGCCACCACCCCATACGGTGGGATAGGCCAGGAGAAGAGAGGCATTGGGCAGACTACAGCCGGATAGATGGATGGATCATTATCAAGTGCCAATTTCTAGCATTCCTACTATGGATTACGGAGTAGCGCCAACAAATAAAACTTGGAAAAGGAAATGACGCAAGGGAAAAGAGTGGAAAGAACCGTTATCGAAGAGAACTAACCCATAGAACCGTAGCCCCAGAACAAACCCACTATAACGCCTTGACTACCTGCTGCTCAAAGCCTCAAATTCAATCACGCAAAGCGGCAAAGTAGTCCGGGGGAAGCGAAGCCAATGCCGCAATAGTTCCTACTGCCCCCACAACTGCCCCAAAAATAGCCGTCGCCGCGTGGCTTCTAATACTAACCCGATGGGAACTCTTGATCATCTTGGACGGCCGCTCGCTTTGTTTGGTCTCCTTGGAGTTCTCGGGGATACTCACAGTTGTGAGCTGTGAGTCAGGTCCATTAAGCATAAAGGAGTCGCCGTTGAGAATAGCGGCAATGGTCTGTGGTTGCGCGTCGGGGAGCTCGGCATTGGGTAGGTCAGCATCCTTGTTGGATGACTCCTGGGTTTCCGGTAGGGAAGAGACGTCAGGCATCAGGTGATCGTCTTCTGATGGATCTATTTCGATCTCTGCCGCCTTCCTCTTTCTAGGGGAATTGGGCTTCGCACTAGACGTTCCGTACATGCTCGATTGTGACGACTGAGCAGTACTAATCATGTTGTGTGCTGTATCACAAGACGGACGGGGCATCATTGGTGCGAGTGGATCCATGAAAGACACGATATCAGGCTTAGAGCTTCTGTTAGCTGACGGTGATGATGCGCCGCGCATTGGCTGACTAGTCGCAAATGGTCCGTCGTTGTATGTTGCATTCAACGGATAAGAGCCCTGGAGTGGCATAGCATCAAGTGAGTATCTGATGGAAGGCGGCTGTTTCTGCACGATTGGTGGAAGCAGGGTGGAATTGGAAAGGCAGGAGAATTGTCCCGGCAGTTGCCTACTCGGCTGGTAACGCAGACGCTGCGCCTCATAGTTCGCAAGAGACTGCAGGGGATCGACTGGAACATAGCTTGAGGTTCCCTGGACGGTTCGCTCTTGTGACTGAGGGATGGTGCTAGGGGCCTTGTTCTCTGGCAAGGCGCTTGCGGCAGTTTGAATGCTGGATGGTCGATTAGGGTGATTGGAAAAAATGTTGACCATCCGCGGACCATCCCATTTGCCAATGGAACAGGTTGGCTTCGAGGTATCTCCCGCCTCGACGAAGTTTGAAATATGGTTGGTCGATTCTTTCGGGGCCTGGGTGTCGAGCTGGAAAGACACACGCCTTGGGCCAGGCAAAGGCTCTTCCTCTTGATGCCGCTCTTCTGGCTTCTGATTCTCCTGATCCTCTTGCTCCTTCTGCTCCTTCTGCTCCTCCTCTTCGTCCTCTTCTTCCTCAGCGTCGACGTCCCAGTCCTCAGGCTCAGCGTTGGAATCTTCATCCGAGCCATGTGCAAAATATTCATCGTAGTACTGGTTGTCACCATCAATGTCCTCCGAATCATAACCGACTGAAGGTGGTGTCGTTCTTGGGGTCGCTAAAGGCTGCTCGGTATTTGCGACTTTCTCATCGATCGACTTCTCCTTCTGCGGCATGTCTTGTCCGATCGATGACGAATCATCATTAGGCTGAACGTCTTTCGACTCTGCATCCTTAGCGGGGGATGTCAGTGGGGATAAAACTTCAGCCACAGATTGACTGTCTTCCGAATCCGATTCAGCACTTGAACCGTTTGAATCAGACGTTTCATCAGTGGTAAGGTCAATAGCAGGTGGTAGATCACCAAGGTACTCGACGTCGTCGTCATCATCGTCGTCGTCGTCGTCGTCGTCGTCTTCAGGGACGCAGTAAGTATTGGTTGAAGGCTGCTGTTGAGCTTTCTGTACAGTCTCCTTTCTTTTCTGCGAATTAGCAAGTATTCTGTAAGCCAGCCTACCAAGGACGTACGGAGTTTCCGACCACCGACATTCACAACGAACTTTGAGAGGCGGAAAGCTATCTGTTGCTCGGACAACCTCAACACCAAAGGTCAATTCATCACCATCAGATAAGGTGACATCCTTATCGACAGGAATTTTTTCCTTGTTCAGCCAGGTCCCGTGCATAGATCCAGGATCTCGAATGTAAACAAGCTACAAATCTCACGTTAGTGAATAACACTTTTAACGTCGGGGTCTTTTAACTTGCCTTCTTTTCCAATGACGCACGAAGGATCGCGTGAGTTCGGGACATAACACGAGAATCGAAAAGTGCATTACGAGGAGTCGGAGCGAGGTTTTTGTTTTCGCGTTTCGATGCTCTACCGATTTCAACCCGATCTGAAGCAGTATCGAAGGTGAGGGTGCGAGAAACAATGGGGTCCTCGAGGGACAAAGAGTGGAGAACCACAGTAGCTATAGAGTAGTACAAGTTAGTTTAGGTACTTCATGAACCGCTGACTTGAGAGGAGATGTACGTACCTTTTCTATCAGCCATGGTGGTGGGCCTCCGGGGCTGATGTTGAATACGTCGTTTAGTTCCTGCAGTGAAGTAGCTCGAGGATGATCAAGAGGATGCTTATTGAGTTGAGGAATCGAAGAGATGCCTCGATGGGGATGAAAGAGACGATGAATGAAAGGCGGAGGTTGCAGAGGTTACGAGGCTGGAGGGGTAGAGGGGTCAGCCTAAGACACCGGGCGGTGTTTGTCAGGCAGACAGCAGACAGGCAGGCAGACGTCCACTCCGGAGTAGCCTGCGGCTTAGATGAGCAACCAGGTATCTGCGATGGATCAAATGGCAAGGCTTTGATGATCGAGCAACCTGGATTACTCTAAAAGGACGGAACAGGCGCCCGGTGTCGTGACGTGACCGGGAAAACTCGCAGGAAGGAGCCTGAGCTTATGTAACCCAGAGAGCACCTGCAAAACGGCGAGCAGCCGAGATCGTTAGACGAAGAATAGCAGTTGTAGGCTTCAAGGTGAACACGACAAGCTGAACAAGAGGAACACCGTGAATAGATAGGCATAGAATGAGGGGGATAAGGCGCCGGTGGATGCCGGGGACTGATAAGTAGACGGACTAAGTGGGGTGGTTGCTATCATGTGGACACGGACTGTGGGCTCTCCCGAGCGATCGAGCCATCGGCTTACGGAGTACAGATTCGCTGGTACCAAGGCTCAGCCGGCACAGTGAATCCTCACCACATATTGTCCAACTCTATCCATTATTACCTACCACTATGGTACATACATGAGTTTGTCATCCAGTAACCCGGCACTGAGAACGGATCCAGCCTCCGGACGATCCGTTTCAAAAGCAGCAGAACAATCGTCAAGGTGGAGACAGGTCAAACCGCACGCGTATCAATGTCCAAGAGAATGAGATCAACAAGCGAAACCATATAATAAATACACTCACAGCGGAGAAACCGTTAATTAGTCAAGTATTGCCAGAGAAACTGATCTCTGGCAATCTAAGCACGAAAACTGGAGAGGCGACCTTTACATGGGGGGAGGGCCGCCGAAGCCGGCGCCCATGCTCTGCAGGCGCGCGGCAAGCTGTGGGTATTTCTCCTGGACCTCCAGTTGGGTTCGGGTTGCCTCCGCATACGAAATGGCATTGACGATCTCTGGCTCGGTGCGCGCTAGCTCAGCAGCACGCTCGAAGTACTTGAGCGCTTGGGAGACCTTGCCCTGCTGCAGGAGCAGTTGAGCCATGGTTCCGACGGCAATGTCGCACTCGGGATCGACTACTATGGTTAGCATTGGATGTTAAGAGACATACGCAATAGACTCACTGATCAGAGCCTTCTGGCACAGCTGTTCGGCCTCGGCGAAATCGTGCTTCCACTGGAACAAAGCGAGAGCCTTGTTAATCAAAGGAAGGACGTTGATGCCCATGGGCTTGCTCTGAGTCTCCATCTCGACGGCCTTGTCGAACTTCTCAATAGCTTCGGCGAAGTTCTGCTGGTCCAGGAGCAGTTCACCGTAGTAATTGTAGACATCGGGCACGTCCTCGAAGTTCTTTACGGACCTTCGGAAAGTGGCCATCGCAGACGCAACGGAGCCCATCTTGTACTGTGTGACACCGAGTTGGATGTGGGAGTAGATGAACGTTCGGTCGAGGTCGATCGACTTTTGGTAGTCCTTGGCAGCCTCGGCGAATTCACCTAGGATGAAATGAAGCTGAGCACGGTGGTAGTAGATGTCAGGGTCGTCCTTGTTGTGGGTAATCGCAAGCTCGAAGTCGTCCTGGGCAGCGTCCTTTTCACCTTTGCAAAGTCAGATGGATACAGTACATAATATGAATGAAATTTACCTAGCTCGAGGTGCAGGCTGGCACGCTTGATGTAGCTCTGAACGAGCGAGGGGTCGAGCTCAACACTCTTGTTAAGATCGGCCAGCGCGTCCTGCGCATTACCTTGCAAGTATGTAAAGGTTGCTCGCTGGTTGAGAGCCAGACCCTCGAACTCACCCAGATCGCCAAGATCGAGTGCCTTGACAAAGGCCGCGGAGGCCTCCTCGTAGCCATCGCCAGTCTTCTTGGCCATTGCTAACAGACCCTTGCGGAGCTGACCCTTTCCAGATTCTTCGGGGAAGTCGGCCGACTCGTCAAGGCCTTCGGGAAGGGCCTTGGGTCGGAAGCTTTGCAGGTAGTTGGAAACGAAGGTTGGGCTGGGAAGCTTCTTGCCCTTGGCTTCGAGGATTTCCTTGCCCTTCCGCTCTGCAACCTTTTTCAAGAGTCGCTCGAGCGCGACACGGCTGACATCATTTGAGAAGCCGTCGATGATGCAGCTGGCGGTGAAGTCGAGAAGAGCTTCGCTATACTTCTCGAGATGTTCGTACGCGATGGCACGCCTGTTCAGGGCCTTGACGTATTCGCTGTCCATTGCAAGCGCAGCACTAGTGTCTTCAACAACGTTTTCCCACTTAGACTGAACATTGTAGCAGGCCGCGCGGTTCGAGTAGAAGACCGGGTCGGGCTTGCAGAGGATAGCCTTTCCGTAAAGCTCAATGGCTTTAGGGTAGTCCTTGGAACCGTACGCCTTGTTTCCAGCGGCTTTTAACTTGGCAGCATATGCTTTTCGAGTCTGTGTCTGCATCAGCAAGCTGGCGCCGTAAATGGCTGAAAGAAACGCACCTCCTCATCTAACTGTCCAACAGTGGCCTCGTCAACCTCGGGAATCTCTTCTGAAGGCTCTTCAGCCTTCTTTTCTGTTTTCTCTGAGACCAATCAGCGATTATGCGTGCGGATTGGTGCGGATCCAGAGCACGCACCGTCCTGGACAGAGGCAGCTTTCTTCTTTTCTTCCTCGGCCTTCTTCTCCTTTCGTCGCTGACTGCCGCTCTTCTTCTTCTTCTTCTCTGCGGGAGTAGTCGGGGTGGTAGAGGTTTTGCCGGACCGGCTTGAGTCGTTGAGGTAGTAGACGACACCGGCGCTGGTCACCACGACCGCAACTCCGGCAACGGTATAGACGAGCGCCTTGTTCTCAGACACCCATTTCGAGATGCGGTCCCAAACGGACGCTGTGGAAGAGGCGGGAAGAGAAGCGGTGTCAACAACCACGTTCTTTGATGATTCGGGCAGAGGTACGCCGCTTGACATGATGACCGAGGAAAGGACCCTTGTGCTTCGTGTCGAGTATAGCCCTGTTTTAGAGTGTTTTCTGTCCCCCTTTTCGTCGGAATATCCTAAGCATATCAACGAGTCAATTATGATGGACAGCCAAGTGCAGCAAAGGGAAACAAACCGGCAGGTGGTTGGCAAACGGCCGCGTTTCAGTCTGGTATGAGGAGTTGGAAGAGTTGCGGCCTTGAAAAAGTTATGCGTTCCGGCGACGCAACAGCGGTCCCGAGCTCTGTGCTGGTCGGCCCAATCACGTCCATCCAAAATCGATGGCCAGCTGCTTGCTCCACATCCGCCATGGCACCAGATGGATGCCGGAGCGCGAACTTCGTCATCGGGACACTGTCGGACTGGCGGGTCGTCAATGGTGATAGCTGATGGCCTGGTCGCCCTTCTCTCGCTCGCCTGGACTACACCATGCCTGCTAACTGCCCAATGCGTCTCGGCGCGAACCGGTTCTGCTGCACGTGGATAGGTCCAAAAAATCCAAAATGATCGCAACTTCAGCTCCAGAGTTTTACAACTCCTGTGAACGATGTCTTCGCAACCCCTCCAGATCATATCCACGCTGCGCTACGATCCGTCTCTACCAACGGTAGTTCGACAACGACTTGGCAATGCCCATACCTACCCTGACCCGCTGCTCACCCCATACTACCTCCTCCCATACCACCAAGACCGTCTCCGCAGCGCCGCGCGCTATTTCAACTGGGACAATGCGTCGAGGTTTCTCGAGCAAGACCTCACCCAATTCGCCCAATACCTTGACAGCTTCATACCTCAGAAGGGGAAGTGCTGGCGTGTTCGGATAGTCGTGGACCAGAGCGGAGGCTGCAAGGTCGAGTCCGTTGCTGAGCCACGCATCGAATTGGAGAACTTCCTCGTCCCCTTCATTATCAGCCCAGCCTCTACACCATGGCGGGTGTTCGTCGACATCGCCTACACGACGCCGTCGGGACTCACTACCCACAAAACAACCGCAAGGGAGGATTACACAGCTGCACGAGGTCGGGCCGGAATCGCGACACCCCAGGATAACGCCGAGGTCCTACTAGTCAATCCGCGAGGCGAGATCATGGAGGGCAGCATCACCACCCCGTATTTCCGGCGGCGAGACCATGCAAGACGAGACGGCCCTGCATGGATTACACCGCCGCTATCAAGTGGTGGTAATGCAGGCACGACCAGGCGTTATGCCCTAGTCCAAGGCTTTTGCACCGAGGAAGTCATTACTATTCGAGATCTCATCGATGGCGAGTTTTGCTTGTTAAGCAATGGGGTCCGAGGGTTCCTTCTTGGGAAGATCATCCTCAAACCAGAGGTTTAACAGCCTGATAATAGCTAGAGTCTCATTCACACCTTAAGGCGTACGAATTCCTGACTAAAATTTAATGACAACAAGTTGATTCCTTCCGAACTATGGTAAAATCAAGAGCCAATGGTCTCTTAGCTGGATGGTCGTTAAGTTTTAGACTACATAAATTGTGTAGGACGGGTATACCTGTACACAGGGTTCTAGACTACACTTTTCGCGAACAGCTCTCGGAGTACAAAGAACGACCTTCAAACTCCCAGATCAGCCAACCCGCTTACTGTCTCTACCCGCGAGCACGCGATAATGATGTCAAGCTACCCCGATCTATCTCATGACTCTGAAAGTGTGGCACCATGGCACGTGACACAGCGTACTTTCTAGCCCGCTCACCCCGCGTTTTACTAATCGGGCTAGCATCATAAGGTAAGTTAGCTGGCAGAATTTCTGAGGCTCGAGCCAAGCGGAAGCCCGAAGAAAAGGTGGTCGAGCAGACGACCTCAGCACCTCCAGCTCGCCACCTCCACTTCCAGCGTCACCCCATCATCCATCCTCAAAGCTCAAAGCAGAATCAATTGTGTGCAGTGTACATGCGACGGCAACGATGAAGTTCTTCGAGAACCTCTATACCTACGACTACTCCTTTCCCGCCGTCTCTCTCGCCTACTTCCTCCGCTATCCGAACCCATACTCAAAACATGTCCTAACGACAGATGTCATTGATCGCTACGTCGACCCGAAGACCAACCGCCTTCATACAACACGCATCCACCTCAAAAAGTCAAAAGTCCCGTCTGGGATCTTGAAGCTCCTCCCAAAGGGCATCGGTGGATCCGACAGTTCCGGACAGAGCTACATCCTAGAGACGACCGTTGTTGACGCCAGAGAAGGATGGATGGAGTCGGAATCCCGCAACATGGAGTGGACTGGGATTCTCAGCGTGGTGGAAAAACAAGTCTACCGACGCCAGGCATTGGAGGGGGGTCAGGAGAAGCTCGAAGGTCTGTCGCTGTCGCTTGACAAGCAGCGAACCGAACAAACCACAGTGAACACGACCGTTACGTTTCGCTCCCGATTTGGGCAGGGGAAGCTTCTCGGCCGGAGGAAGACAGAGGCCGCTGGAGAAGAGTATGAGGAGGAGGCTCCCAAACGGGGGTTCTTCACCTCGTTGTCCACTGCTGGTATCCAGCGGACCATTGAGCTGATTGGGCTCAACCGTACACGCGACGCTATTGTCAAGAGCAAGCAGGGAATGAATGTTGTTCTTGAGCGCCTGCGCAGCGGCGGCATAGTTGGCGTTCTTGATGGCATGCGCCAGGACCGGGAGGCCATTGGTCTTGGAGCAGAAGGCCCTTGGAAGCGTGTGTGGATCAGCGGGAACTCTCACAACGACGACTGATTGTCATTATTCGGCGGATAAGCAAACATTGGCAAACTTGATGCGGCATTCAAGCGTGGAGCATTGGTTGGAGCATTGGCGTTTATATGGACACTCTCCTACTATCTTGTCTTTATTACTTCTTATACTTTCTTTCTGGACCTTGTTTGTTTCCAGGAGCGTGTTTGCATTGCATGTGTTCGATGAAACTGTCACGAAACTGTATACTAAGAGCCATAGGCCAAATTCCGGTCGCTTCATTTGTCTGGGCGCCTACTGTACAATATACTGACTCGGATTCTGCTTCAGAAATCTTGTCTTCTATTATTCTTTCTAGATTTGTTCCACTCTCACCCTAGTTTACTTCCAATAATCGAGGGCCCATACCCTCAGTCAAACCTTGTCGGATTGGATTACTGCTGTTTGTAAGATTATTAAATAAATACTTTGCCAAGTGCCACTTTCTAGCGCTGTTGAAACCCTTCTCCATTCTATAAAATCTAGTCCAAAGCCTGAGCCTCACACATCTTGCTATACAATCCACCCGCCGCAATCAAATCAGAATGCGACCCCATCTCCTGAATCTGACCTTCATGGAATACACAGATCATATCTGCATCCTTGACAGTACTAAGACGATGCGCAACGGCTACCGTGATGCGATCTCCATCCTTCGCCGCAGCAAGGGCAGCATGCACAGCCCGTTCACTCTCAGTATCCAGTGCGCTAGTGGCCTCATCCAGAAGAAGAATCTTTGGATCTCGGACCAGTGCCCTCGCAATCGCAATGCGCTGCCTCTGGCCGCCGGAAAGCTGTGATCCACCGAACCCAACTGATGTAGCCAGCCCGTTGGGGAGAGATGAGACGAAATCCCACGCGTTGGCTGCTCGGAGCGCAGACTCGATCTGAGAATCGTTCACCTCGAGGTCAGTGGAACTGTCATGGCTTAGACCGAAAGCGACGTTTTCACGTATAGAAACTGGGAATAGATCTGGCTCTTGCTGTACCAGGGCGACGATCTTGCGGTAGAGGCGTGGGTTGAAGCTTGGTAGGGGTGAGGAATCGAGTTTGATCGAGCCGGCTGATGGATCGTAGAATCTTTCCAGAAGAGCTATAACTGTTGATTTGCCGCATCCTGATGAGCCAACGAGGGCTATGAATTGGCCCTTTTTGAACTGTGTAATTGAGATTTAGTGTCGATTCGTGAAGACAAGAGTGGTAACATACCCTAAGATCAAGGCCTTTAAGAATAGGGATTCCGGGTCGAAGAGGATAGGAGAACTTGACATTGTCCAGATCAATGGTGTCTGCTGGGCCAGGGCCAACTTCGCGGGTTTGATTTGTCTCCCGCACTGTTTGCTGGAGGTCATTGAGCCAGAAGAGGTAGTTGGCGGCGTTGACACCTTTTGTGATGCTAGTGGAATATTGAAATAGCTGCGATGCGCTTTGGCCGGAGAAGAAGACCCCCAGAAACGCGACAAAGAAGGCGTAAAGGGTAACCTGATCAAGCGACAGCAGGCGACATCCATACCAGAATCCAAGGGCCATGAACCAGTATTCTGCGGATTGTGTGAAGGCAAAGCTCACAATCACCGTAAATAACGGACGCTTCGAGTCAGCCATCGCTTCATCCAACTCTCTGGTGTATCTCTCCAAAACAGTATGCTCAATAGCAAGCGACGCAATCGTGCGAATAGAAGTGACAGCCTCTGATGCAATGGACGCGCTAATCATATAGCGCTTTGAAGTATCACGATCAAACTTCGCGTCCAGCCTGATCTTCAGATAACCTGAGCCAACCAACGGAGTCAGACCAGCACATATAACAACAAGGCCAAGTTTCCACGAATAAACGAGTGCCAAAACAGAGCATGCAACAAGATTCAGGGCGGCAATCAATACAAGACCGATATTATAGCCCATCAGTTCGAGTATAGCCTGTGGATTCGAATCCACGCGCGCAACAAGTGCGCCAGTACTATTCTCTTCGCGATTGAAGAATTGCAGATCTTGTTGGAGTATGTCATGAAGGCTTTGTTTCCGCAGTTTGTGGCCGAAATGTTGGGCGACAGTATTGGTTGCATAGCCGAGAACGAAATAAGATACTAGACAGCCCCCGGCAAGCACGATGAACATGGCTGCAAGGAAGTTTCCCTTGTGTTCTAGTTCCGTTGATGGCAGGGTGAGAATATCAACCACACTAGATAGTAGAATCGCTTGGCTAGGGAAGGTCGCTCCTATTTTTGTTATTAGAAAGGTAACGGCATAATGGCAAACGAGTGCTTTTACTTACCACCAACTATACATCCAGTCAATACCAGACAGTACACGAGCCTAAGCTCGGGGGTCTCCCGGAGAAGACGATAGATAACGAACATGATGTTTCGCTGCTTGTAGTCATCGTAGTTGGCGTACTCTTTCTGCGGCATGTTTCTATCGTGATTGTCAACTGAGGCGTATGGAGTCGGGGCTGAGACTTTAGTCACAGTGTCTGCTTTTGAGGCATTGACAGATTCCAACTCTGCTTTCGGTTGCGATCCGTGACTTGAAACAGCTAAGTCTTGTACTCGCACAAGTTGAGCATATGTGCCGTCATGGGCAAGCAAAGAATCGTGAGTTCCATGCTCGACTATGCATCCCTTTCTCATAACAATAATGTTGTCAGCCTTTCGGATGGTCGCAAGCTTGTGAGCAATGACGATGGTAGTACGGCCGTCCGAGGCCCTATCCAAGGCCTTTTGAACCACATTTTCGGCATGCGGATCCAGGGCACTGGTGGCCTCATCCAGGATAAGAACTTTAGGCTGAGAAACAATACTTCGAGCAATTGCGATTCTTTGCTTTTGTCCGCCAGACAAAAGGCCACCACGGTGGCCGATCTCGGTATCATAACCATTCGGGAGGTTGGTGATAAAATCGTGTGCGAAGGCCGTGGTGGCTGCTTCTTGTATTCGTTCCATTTGTTCATCTTTAGGGGCATGTTCCCACTTTGTACCAACAAGTCCTTGTTTGATATTTTCGAAAACAGTGCCCTGAAATAGGACTGGCTCTTGCTGGACGAGACGGACATTTTTTCGGAGCCAGCTGAGATTCAATTGGTCGATTGGGTGGCCATCTAGTTTGATGATTCCTGACTGAGGGTTATACCAACGCTCCAGAAGGCCGACAATCGTACTCTTTCCAGAACCAGATTGACCCTAGGCAAGTTTAGCTTCAAACACTGACAAGTCTTCATGATCAACTCACCACCAGGGCAGTGACTTTGCCAGCATGCGCTCTCATGGAGAACCTGTCAAGAACCTTCACTCCAGGCCGAGTAGGGTATGCAAAAGTAACATCGTCGAACTCAATTTCCCCTACAACCTCAGATGGTTGATGCCCGGTATTGTCATAAGGATCGATTTCGGATTTGCGATCAATCAATTCGAATAGCTTAGATGCGGCCGTAGCGGATCTGGTGAAATCGACCATGTAAGGCGCGAGCATGGTTAGCTGTGTAGCGGCAATGATTACCGACATGATGACACTTGATTGTTAGCGGAAATCCCTAGCCGTTGAGACAGCAGAACTCACGTAAATATGCCTCCAGGTTCCACAATCTCTCCTCCAGACAACATGCGGATACCCTGCCAGAAGGCTAGACCGTAGCCCAAATAGACGATACAGTACTCCGCGGAGAAAAACACTCCAAAAATGATCGAAAGCTTGCTTCCAATCCTATGAGCAGAAGATAGGTACTCGTCAAATTTGTCAACCAGCCTGTCTCGAATCTCAAAGGCATGAGCAGTCCGCACACTGGAGAGAACGCTCTCAGAAAAAGCGTTAGCCTTCGAGTTGATCTCGAGGATCTGATTCTCATAGACACCCATGAAGCCTCCCGCAACGCCATTGACAACAAGAGTTGCCGGGGCAATGCAGAGACATATAAGTGTAAGCTTCCACTGAACCACAAAAGCAATGATGAAAGCAGTGATGAAAGCAGAGATGCCTTGGAAGACGAGACCGAGTTTTTCACTAATTCCACCCTGGATCATGCGACCGTTGGAGGTAGCTTGGGCTGCAATTGAGCCACCAGTTCCATGATCAAAGAAAGCCACTTCCTGCCTAAGAGCTGATTTGAAATATTCATGCCGGATATTGCGAGTAATGATGTGAGCAGTGTAGGTGAAAAGCGTGTTGTAGATATAAGACAGGACGAAGCGGGCAATTCCGAGGTAGACGAAGTAAATAGCTAGCTTTGAAGCTTCTGAGCGAAGTTGGGATTGCGAGGATTGCGAGGATTGCGAGGACGTGAAATTGGTGACAGTGCTGATGAACTGGCCGATGATGAGGGGCTGGAAGGCTATGCCGGCACCAGAACCAACAGCTGCGAAGGATGCGACTGCCTGCAATGGGAGCTCAAAATGGCCGGCATACCTGAAGATTCGCTTGTAGGCGGCCAAAGAGCCGTCGGGCTCGTCTGGGGGAGTGCTGCAGCGGGCCTCTTTTCGCTTTCGATCGCTTTGGCATCCATTTCAACTTGACCAAGGGGATCCAGACGCTGGGTACGTTGTTTGAACTTGAATCATCTTGAATCAGCTTCATCTTATAGCTTATATACTTATGCCTCGAAGGAGGAGCTTTCGGGGCGGACTCCATGGTGTCCGTGTTTCTGGCAAATGTTGATCCAGTCAGTATAGAAAGACTCGGGCGACGGCGGCCACGGGCTCCGTCCCCACCACAACCATCAATCAGTCTGGGTCCACTGGTCCAGGGGCAATCATGGAAAGGAATCAATAATCACTGCCTGAGTCATCATTTAAGCCTTCCAGACGGGCACTCCTTTGGGATTAGGCCATTCAGGCGGGCTCTACTTTCAGAATAGGCTGGACCTGATCTATACTGGAGCTCAGTCTCGACGTTCAACCCCTTGACCGTCAACCTCCAAGTCCTATTTTGCGTTATCGTCATGGAAGATGCTCATACTCTAGGTGGTTCTGATGTTCCCAAGGACGTATCCTCGACAACCCCGAATACTCTCATGATGCGAGCTGTTTGTGATCCGTTGGACTTTGAACTCTTCATCGCCATAGTTAACTTATGACCAGTGCGATGCTTGTCGAACTCGCAAGGTATGCCTTAGCACGACATCACGACTGACATCGAAGCCTAATGTGCCCCAGATACGGTGTGACCGACAGTATCCCTGTTCGCATTGTGAGCAGAAGAACATTGACTGTACCTATGCCGAAATCCAGGCCAAGGAGAAACGCACTCGCATCCACTTTACTCCTATTTAGTATGTGCTGCGCCTCCTCGTAGCTCTTTCTGACCATGGTCTTATCCTATAGTGAAAGAAAAATTGACCTCATCGAACGCCGACTCGACGGCATCATCGAAATGTTGCACGATCTCAAAGTAAGTCGGCCCAGCACCGAACGGTCTTGGGCAAGGAGTACACAAACCCCATCCACCGAGTCTCAATCCACGCCAGCGGTGTCCAGCCATGAACCCCAGGCCGACTCGGCCGGTGGGCCACTCGTGGCAGGGGACTCTTTATTAACTGCCCACTCTGCTTTTGCAAACGAATTCCTGCAAAGCTTCCTGAGCACGGATTCTGTGCAGAATTGCAGTCTAGAATTGCGTCAGACTCTGGATGCACTTGCCCATACTGTTGCTACACTCAAAAAGCAGACTACATCGAGCGACATAATTGACCCTCACTTAACACCTGCTCCCCGTCTCCGACTCCAAGGTTTCGAGCTTCCTCCCATTGAGAAGGCTGTTGCCCTGATACCTCTAGCGAAATGTGAGTACCAATTTGACTGTAATGAGCACGTATAATATCTAGTAACCGGGCTATAATGGGGTTACTTCAGGAGTCGGATTTGAATATTCTGGATGAGGGTTGGATATGATAAGCAGTACGGGAATAAACAGAGAGCATATTATATCTCAACTGCAAGGGCCTTCCTCCGATGGATTCTGCCGATCTGCGGCCACTAAATGCCGATTATTGTGTTAACCGTTGACAGAAAAGTGAGGGCAACGACGTTTGACTTAGGGTTGTTAAGGTTAGCCTTTCGGTTATGGTTAGGTTAGGCTAGGCTGTCAAAGAACTAACTCTTTCTGATCAGTCACATGATACCCGTCCTTGCCACTTAGTAAGCGACAATATCGCCCCCGGAGCTGTGTCGGGCCCGTGGACAGCATCAGAGCTCAACTTTTCAAATTCCTACACTACGATTCACCGAGTTCCCCGCCTAACCGGCCGAACAACCCGATGGATATGTGCATGCACACGCGTAGCTGATCGACGCTATGCTGGCTAAAACTCTGCGGCCATTATGCGGAACGTCAGGACTCAAGGCCCCGAGCCTCGCCGCTCGTGCCAATGACTGTACTATCGCCATTCCTGTCCCTCGACACCATGCGCGCCTCAAATCCTCCTCTTCGGAGTCTCGTGAGAAGCGGGAATCCACCGAAAGCGCTGAGCCGAAACAAGATACGGAGGTCGAGATGACACCAGCCCAAATGAAAATCTTCGAATACTTCCGCCACTTGACGGCGGACGCACAGGAACGTGAAATAGAAAATGTCGCGCCGCCGATATCTTTCGCCCGGTTTCGTGGGGGCACGGGAGATGGAGGGAAGGTCAGCCATCGACGGCGTCCATGGCAGCTCCGCCGTGCGCTGGATGCGGCGGGACCACCGGTGCCCAGGCCGGATTGTCGCTTCGGCATCACTGTGACAGAGGATGTGACGGAGGACGTGAAAGAGGACGTTGTTGGAAAGTCCATTGATAATCTTGAGCGGATATCGGCCAAACCACCTAACAGGACCAAACTGGAGCGGAAGATCCGTGCCTCAAACCCTGCTTTGCCAAAATCGCCAGTGCCGAGGCCGATTATCCCTACAGAGTCAGCCTCGATGAGTCCCGATTCGACGAGCTGAGCCGAGACATCCCCGCCAGAAAATGTGACGCCGCGCAAGCCCGAGCTACTGGACGATACCAGGTTCTCGCAGCGGACGGGCCGCGGCTGCCCGTGGTACTAGTCAATAAACGCGGAAGCTCTAAGGACGGCGATTAAGAAACTATCTGACGAGGACAGGAGGCTTTACTTGGCATGGAAACGGCAGGTGTACGATTCTACGCACGGCATTGCGCATAATCATAATCCCCAGCCTGTCCACAGTGAACGGATTACAATTGTTCTTCCCAGGTTCAACTGGGATAGATGTGTGCTCCCTTTCAAGAAAACACCTGTTAATATATGCAGACATCAGTATGGCGCAGAGGCTATGAAAGTCATATTTCAGCACAACGAAGCCATCCCAGAGAATGCGAGATGGCTTTACAAAAATATGCCACACATGACCCCTCTTGTTCGGATGATGATTTGAGTCATGCTCTTGGAGAGAACAATTCGAGACAAAATTGAACTTGGGCAGCGGCCTTGGGGAGAAGATCTATTGGGGCCGAGGGCTAGGATTCGTGCTCAGCTACGCAGGGCTAAGCTTCGTGCTGAGGTCCGCGGAATCGAGCCCAGCCATAGGATGCATGCTGAGTTCCGCTGACTCGCGCAGGAACCACTGGCAGAGGAGTCGGTAGCAATTTAACATGTATTGGAACTGTATATACCAGGGTTGACACACCCACATCATGACAAGTTGCACGCTTCACTTGGTTGTCTGTCAAGTACTTTGAGATAAAAGGCATCAGAGACGTTCTTGAAGTCCATCATCTCCAATCATCTACTCTGGAGATAATGTTGATCCTCGTCTGCTGATCCAGGGACCAGCACACATTCAAGGCAGCAGATCGCACTGACTCATTGCGTCATCGACAGGCACGAATTCCTGGCCGAATGAGATGAGGTCAGCGAGAATGTTTTTTTCCGCAAAGACCCTGAAGGGACCAATGAGCAGCTAAAGGGGCACCAAGTGGGGTAGGCGAGCCGCCAAGAGCGCCACCCTGATTCAGGGCATTTCCAGCCTTACTGCGCAATGAGTAAGATGAAGCTCAACTTCGTCTATGATTTTAGAGCATCATTTGATGACAGTCCGTTGTAGAATTTATTGTCCAATGTATGCGTGTCTCAGGCCTTGAGTCAGGTCTGAAGCAGCGCTCCCCACCCAAGGCCAGCGAGTGGTTGGCTGGGACGACCCTGGAAGCGATCCCCACCGGCAACTTCCAAAATTGGAGCGACGATGCGGAGGCCGCCATTCAGCATCGCCGCCAAGGCCACCAGGGAGGCCGCTAGCTGTTTACTGTGACCACCACCCTACGGGCCCTTCTGAGCGCAGTCTGACCGTGACTTGAGTCTGCCAACTTCCATCTCCGTTGGCCTTTGCTGTGTCGCTCTTTCACGCCGGCTTTTTCCCTGTTGATCTTGCTGTCTGTTGATTGTTCTGCCTGCTGCTTGATTGCATCGCCTTGAATTCTCGTCGTTCCGGCTCTTTCCTGCTTGCCGCCCTTGATACTGGCATCCCCATCCCCTTTTACTTCCGGATTCCACCACTGGCTCTCCAGTCTCCAGGCTCCCGCGCGACCTTCGACTCCTGCCTTTTCGCCGGCCAAAACAGCGATTTGGGTCGGTTGTTACTCTTCTCATTTTTAGCGACCGTTGGAAGAGCGGGCTTGTCGAACTTATCTGAAACGCCGAGGCGCTTATTAGACGATAATTGTCTTCAACGCCCACGACCTCGAACTTCGTCGCCTTGTGCGACGATACCGATCGGTTAATTTCTGTCAACCGTGGATTGTCTTGATTTTCGACCAGCCGACATCTGCAGTAGGATGCCCTCTGCATAATCGAGCCTCAAGGCAGTTGCTAGACGACTGCTGATCAAATGGCTGCCCTTTGTACACCATGGTCGATGGCCCGGCCGTATTTGTTTCTCCTCGCAATCATAGCGACCATTTTCTCTCCTGCCACAGCCGGTTTATGCAACTTTTGGGACACCGAGTGCGTCGACCCGCTCGCTCAAACCGCCATCTCCATCACATTCCCTCCGCTCTTCCTGGAATCGATCAACTTCTACTATGCCTTTGATGCCGACGCTCGAGGCAAGGGCCAGGAGCCGATGACAAAGGCCGGTTTCTGGATTGGATATGAAGCGTATGTCAACAACTCAGCAATTGACATCAACCGCACGTCTGAAATCGCGGTCCGCGTCGGCAATCTTACCGGCACGCCGTCGGGAAATAACAACGGATGTGATGGAGTATGGGGCTCGGATTGTTCCATGAACCTCAAGAACTATCTGCGACAGACTCTTTTTGATCTTGTCACCAGTGGAAAGTCTTACCAAGACCCTCTTCGCACAGTCATCGGCTCATTCCGCGACAATCCGCCGCCAGTCAAAAACTGCCCGCCGCCATTGTTTGATGTCCAACGGTTTCCCGTCGAGGGTGAGTACACTTAATGACTATCAGGACACTCTAACATGTATCTAGAATTCGCTGTCGAGAATGAAGAGGACATGACGGCGGTTATAAAGAAAACTGGGAATAGCGACAGTCCGTGGTCGACTTTCCTGATCGATAACATGACCGCCGCCGAGCAGGCCGAACAAGTGGCCGTTGGGATAATTACTCGGACTCCGATGTATGGAAGCGCCATGCCGCGGACTCAGGAGGAAATCCAGCTCGAGCTTGTTTGCGCCCAAGCACCGTCTCCGGGGACTTCTTCTTCGAGCGACGATTGATCCTGCGGGCATGGATGCGATTTACACCGCTTACTTTTGCACATAATCAGAACACGAACCAAGTCTGGTCTCGTCGGGCAACTGCCCAACAGACGGAGTACCGAGGCGCGAACACGGTCTACGTCTCAAAGACACTCGACGCCGCCGACTGATGCCGGCTTTGAAAGCATCACTAGCATACAATGCTCCGCTCGCTCAAAACCCACTAGGTTTCTTTCAGAGCAAAGGCAGCCGCAAGTCACTGCAAAGTCACCAGGACTGCAGACTGACGCGACCTGCCAAAGAGGCTATCGCTAGTCGAAGCCCTATTTGTAAATAATTGCATATTAATGACATACAACAAGTCTACTTACAGTGGCCTACCTTGCATTGTCCCCCACTCGCCTTGCTCTCAATTCCTGGAACTTCCATGTCTACGTTCTCTTCTGCTTTTATCGTGCTTTTCCTGTTTGCCCCAGTTTTCTGTGACCTTTTATACTGCGGCTGGCATCCTATCCAATTCGAACCTAATACCCTGCACAGATCTGCAGACGCCTGCACCTCGGACCATCTTACCGAAGCTGCAGTGGGGGATCCATCTGTCGCTATTCCGACCTCGGGATTTCGGCCCAGTTCAGAGTCTAGACAAGTAGACATCCGGTCGGGTTGCGCTGTCCTTATTGTACTGCGATGGAGACGAGGGCCGACTACTGTGTCTGCGGCTCTGGTCACTGTACCGATAGTCGGATGTCTCGTTTGGAGGAACTGAGGTGGATTTTCGTTTTTTCTCTGGATCTGCCTGACCAGTCCTTCCGTGGGAGGACGCTCGACTACCACGGTTCGACGCCGCCTCTGGTGCCGGTTCCTGGTCAACCGTTGACACTCCAGGGACGTCATTGTTCCGGTCCGAAGTTTACTCCGTACCTGGTCTTCTTGTTGTATTTTGTTAGCGAAGGGGCCTGCAATTGATTCCATCTACCATGCACCGGCATCTAAGCAGAATACTTACACCGTTCGATCTCTTTGTTTACCTGCGTAACCTCGAGTCCTCGAGTGCGTCTCCAACTCCCGGATCCCGATCCCATCGATCAAACCAATAAGCGAACTCCAATTAGCAGACTCGATCGCCTCCGCCAATGGATCAGCTGCACATCCGCACGCCCTGAGCGATCATCAGCCGGCCCCTCGGTACCCTCCACCAAGCCGGCATTTACTTGCTTGTCATTGCTTGACGTTTACCTTGCTCGTCCCACAGTCCCACCTTCGAGTACATACCGATTCCTAGTTCCGACTCCAATGTACACCCCGCAAGCCAGTGCAACATGACTGCGCCGCGTGCGTTTGCAGATCCGTCCCATTGGCGATGTGCATGTATCTGCCCATGTCGCCAGCCGTGTTGACGGTCTTGATCAGCGCCGGCATTGCCTCGACAGGCATGGACTGTGCGAGCGCGATGCGTTACAGGTTCAACATCCTGCACGTGGTTGGGGTAGGTAGACAGCTAGGGCACCGGAGGCAAGGAGATCGGGGTCTAGGTCTGTCCAGCTGAGCAGGGCAGTCACTGCAGGACGGGATCAGGATGAGCTATAAAGCCACCACCCCAGCACCATTGAGGGGACACAGAAGCAGCAGCAGCCGCAGTCTTAGGAACAGCAACAATGCATCCCAGCGCACTCCTCGGCCTCCTCTCCTTCGCGGCCGCGGCCCTCGCCGTCCCAACGGCCCAAACCCCACACAGCACGCGCTCCATCTCAAACCTCAAGTCCCACATCAAGAACGTCGTGATCCTGGTCATGGAAAACCGCTCCTTCGACAACATCCTCGGCGGGCAGACAACGCCGGGCCTCGAGAACCCCCTGCAAACAGGCCCCTTCTGCAACCCATTCAACCTGACCGACCCATCTGAAGGCGAGGCGTGCACAGCGCCCAAGAGCTTCGACTCCGTGATCAATGACCCCGACCACGCGATCTACGGCAACAACATCCAGTTCTACGGCGAGTTCGTGCCGAGCAATGAGGATATCGCGCGTGGGAGCCTAAAGGCTACGAATAAGGGTTTCGCGCACGAGCAGATGCGTCTTTACGAGGATGAAGCCAATAAGACGGATCTCGTCACGCAGGTTATGCATTATTATACAGAAGACCAAGTCCCTGTTCTTACCTCGCTTGTGAAAAATTACCTCACCTTCAACCACTGGCACTCTGATATCCCCGGCGTACGTCCCCCAACTCTCCCAAACAAACAATCCTAACAAGAGAGCCGCAGAACACAAACCCCAACCGCGCCGCCCTGGTAGCAGGAACATCCCACGGCCACGGCCTCAACGACAACGGCTTCAACAACCACGAGCTCCCCAACCTCTCCATCTTCCAACAACTCACGCAAACAAACCACACCTGGCTCAACTACGTCGATCCCGCCGGCGGCACAGGCCCAGACGCAGGGTTCTACAACTGGACCTACGCATCCAACAACGACGACAAGATCGTGCCGCTCGCGCAATTCTACACCGACGCGGCCGCAGGGAATCTCGCCGAACTCACCTACATCAACCCGAGTTGCTGCGGCGTCGGCACAACGAGCATGCACCCGTCCGGCCTGATCAGCGACGGCGAGAGCTTCATTAAATCCGTGTACGATGCATTACGCGGAAGCCCGCAGTGGGATGACACGCTGTTCATCCTGACCTTCGACGAGAGCGGGGGGTTCCACGACCACGTCCCTGCGCCGCTTGCACCGCGGCCCGACAACCTCACGTTTACGCTGGAGACGCCCAATGGACAGGACTACACGTTCCCGTTTGACCGGCTGGGCGGTCGGATTCCGACGCTGCTGATCTCGCCGTGGGTGGGCAAGGGGGTTGTCGAGCAGAAGGGGGTCAATGCGGGTGGGGAGACGGTGAGTTACAGTGCGACGAGTATTCTGCGGACGCTGGGGTATCTGTGGGACTTTGAGCCGTTTACGCCGAGGGTTGAGTGGGCTGCTAGCTTTGAGCATTTGATAAGGGGGGTCAAGAGGGAGGATACGATTGAGGTGCTGCCTGAGGCGGAGGCGTTTAAGAGTGTGAGGGTTTAGCTTTGGTAATGTTTGGATCATGGATGGTAACATGATGGATTTGTATCAAGAATAGGATAAATAATGGTGTGGAGTAAGCTCTGAGGACCATCCTGTTGTCAATAGAAATCTTTGGAGCTCAAGCTATACCACCACAACATATAATTGTTGAATGTGGTCCAGTTACTCGATGATTTCAATCAGAATCTCGTTGGGAAATACGCGCGACTTTGTGCCTGCCAGTTTCTGATTTATCGCTGGGCCGAAGAATTGTGTCAACATGGTGCCAGTATAGAGAGGAGTTGATATCATGGCCATAATCATCACTGTTTACTGATACAGAACTAATACAGAACACACCCTACAGCAACCATGTCATCTCAAGACGCTCAGCATCTGCGCCAGATTCCGCAAGTAGTCTTCCTTTGCCCTCAGAATGTCCACTGCGTCTTGTCGGTCGTGGATCCTCTCGAGTGTGTCCACCAACTGCTCGTAGCTAGGCTTGCGAGTTATGATAACTTGGCCATCGACTGTGGTCCGAATAAACACGTCATAGGCGCAGCCCTCCCATAGTCGGAGTTGCCATTCGAAGCCGATGTTGGGGAAGATCTGAGGACGCGAGGCTTGAGCCAGGCTCAGGGCCCTTTGGTAGGGAACGAGTAGGGCTTGCATTACTAACGGCCATGGTCAGTTCGAGACCCTTCAAGTAGGTTGGTAATCAAGACGATTGATAATCAGGAGAGGTAATCAAGGACGAAGAACTTACTAAAGGCAACAACAACAGCGCCAGACCTCGAGATTCCTTTCTCACAGTGCACCAGGACCCGGCCTCCCTTGTGCCAGTCCTCGTTTCCCATACTAACCCCAGTACTAACCCCAGCTCCAGTTCCAGATCCAGCTTCAGATTCAGCTTCAGATGCAGTCATAGGTAAGTTCGCTTTTCTCCGTGGATGCGTTCTGCCCAACGCACTCCGTATCCAGTTGATCATCGAATTCAAACAACCAAGCATGTCTTCCGTCGGATCATCATCCAGCTCGACTTGTTTCCTTGTGATATTATCCGATTCGTCTGGTGCTTGTGGCTGGTAGGTGAGATCTCGTTCATCTGTTGGCTGTGAATTGTAGGCGAGATCTTCCCATCGCATGATGCAAAGGACGTGGGAGATCCGGTGTCGTGCGAGTAGTGACTTGTCGTTGGCGGCGGTGTAGCTGACTTGGTTAGTAATGGTAGGATTGGTAAGGAAGATGGACTTGCTCTGAGATGTAGAGGCCTGGGATTGGGTGGATTCGGTCGATGGAGGAGAGAGATTGTGGGTTGGTGGGTGTTGGCGTTGGGCTGGCCATGGCCCCGTCGGTAAGTGAGAAGGTCGAGTAAGGATGGTATGGTATGCATGTGTGTGTTGATGTGAATGAGTGATAGTGCTTATTGTATGCTGTGGTAGTAGTAGCGAGCTGTTGATTAGTAGTGAATGAGATGTAGATGAAGATGGGAATGTTAGTATCGAACGGCCTTTTCTTGAATAAGGCCATGCTACGGTGAGTTGCAGTTTCCTACTTGGGCTTTGAGATATCATGGCCAGTCGTCCTTCCCTAGAAGGCAACAGCCAGTGCTTACTCCCTGCCATCTGCTTCTATGGATTGATAATGGATTGATCAGCCCTTAGATTCGAGCACCTTCGACCACCGAGTGACGGGTGCTTACCGGGCTGATGCTCCGCCAGTAGCTTGTTTGTTTACTTTCTGGCGTAAATAAACCATCGGGCTACCTACCTTCCTATCCAGAGGCATGGATTAGCAGACGTTACTAATCTGGTCGGGATGGTCAATGGTCAGCTAGGGCTGGCTTCCGCATTCGGAAGTCGACCACGACCAGTTAAAGTCCCACAGCTCGACCAGCGAACCGTTTGCGGGGATAGACTGTGGATCTACATTCCAGTGATTTCGGAAAGTCGCATTGCAGTATCTCGTCTTTTCGCTGGTGTAGGTATACCATCCCATCCTCACGACTTTTCGATCAACCATCGAAGTCGAACAAAATGCTTTCCGACACAGCGACCTCCAAAGCAAGCCGCCTGGTCTCACACACCCTCCGCCGAAAACCGCTCCTGTTCGTGTTGCTGGGGGTAGCCCTAATCTCGCTCTACCCACTCGGCTTTCGCTCGCGGTTCCTCCTCCCAGCCAGCACCCCGATCAGCCCATCTACCACCGAGCCATTGACAATCCTGCCAGCGTCGCCATCTGTCTCTGCGCAGGACCTCCTCTCCCGTCCCATATCAACCGACAGAACGTCCATCCCCAAGATCATCCACCAAACATGGTTCCCGGCGGGCAGCAACATGTCGGAATCAGCGCAGACCTGGGTTGCGACCATGCGGGCGCAGAACCCAGCGTGGGAGTACGTCCTCTGGGACGACGAGACGGACGAGCTGCTGGTCGAAAAGTACTTGCCCTGGTTTCTGGAGACATATCGCTCTCTGCCGAAGGAGATCAACCGGGCGGATATGGCACGGAACTTTTATATGTATTTGTTCGGGGGGTGAGACACTTCTTTCTTTTCTTCTCCGTCGGCTTTGTGAGCAGTGTACTGATAAGGTCGATGGAAGAATGTACGCCGACGTCGATACCGAAGCGCTCCGCCCCGTTGACGCTCTGTTCGCGGCGCATGAAGTCCCTTTACGGTCTCACCTCGACATAACCTCTACATCAGGAACAACAAGAGTACAGCGAGCCTTCATGGGCCGCATGGCACATACTCTAGACCCCGAAGGACTCGGTGCAATCCCGAACGGCTGGATGGCTTCACCCCCAGGCCATCCCTTCTGGCTCTTGCCGGTGCTCTACGTGCTCGAGAACCCCAAAGGCGACGGGAGCGTCGAGGGGATGACGGGACCGGGAATCTTAGGACCATTGATCAAGCAGTACTATAGTACGACTATCGGAGTAGGAGGCGACTCGCTGCGGCGACAGCTCTGCACGCGCATCCAGAGTATCCAGCCGGGTTGGGACCTGTTTTGTCCGAGTGCCGGGTATGTTGAAGAGGAAGAAAGCGAGAATTTAAGCCACTCACTGGTTCTCCTTCCCAGAGAACAAGTCTACCCATTCAGCTGGGCGGACGATGGCGATATCAAGGTCTGTCTCGGGCAAAAGCACAACGAGGCGTTTGATGCAGAGAAGTGCAAGCAGCGGATGGGGGTGGACCTGTGGCCGAGTTATTTCATTACGTACTGTACGCATACATGGTAGAGTCACTGTGAATCATGATAAGATGTTCAATTGTTACGTTGGATGCCGCATTTGGACGTACATGGAGTCAACCACATTAGGGTTGCATCGACCAATGTGGGTAGACTCTTGTTGCATCAGAGGTCCAGATGACATGGAAGTACGGTCCATGGCTGGAGACGTTTAAAGAGGACGTTTAAAGAGGACTGTAGTAGCAATTCCCTTCGAAGTTTGACCGACAAGCATGTCTGCCAACGCTGCTCCACGGCCATGGGGGATCGCTCTCTGCACTCTGTACGCTCCCCAACTCACAAGAGAATCAAACTAATACCAGCAGCAACTGGATCTTCTGGTCCAACCTGACCATCCTCTTCAACAAATGGATCCTTGAATCGACTCCGTTCCGTGCGTTCTCTCACCTCCACTAGCCCTAACTCCACCACATGCACATACTAACAACGACCAGGCTACCGTACGCTCTCCCCCAGCCTTATATCACCCACTAAACTAACAGAAATAAAGCAATCCTCCTAACAACATGGCACCTCACCTTCGCAACCCTCGCAACCCAACTCCTCTTCCGCACGCCCTTCCTCTCCCGCCCCCTGCACCTCCCATCCCGCAAGTCCATCAACATGACACCACCCCTCTACATGGCCAAAATCGCCCCGATCGGCCTCCTCTACTCCGGAAGCCTAGTGACAAGCAACATGGCCTACCTGTACCTCAACGTCGGGTTTATCCAGATGCTCAAGGTACCCCTTTCTCCCCCTCCCCTTCCTCCCCCAAACCAAGTCCTCAGCTAGCTAATTGGACGTGCAGGCCTCCGGCCCAGTGATCACACTCCTCACGAGCGCCGCGTACGGCGTCACGAGCCTCACCGCGTCGAAGCTGGCCAATGTCGCGCTGATCACGGGGAGCGTGGGACTCACGGTCGTCAGCGAGATCCGGTTTAGCTGGGTGGGCGTGGGCGTGCAGGGGGTTAGTCTGGTTTGCGATGCGGCGAGGCTGGTGCTGATGCAGGTTCTTACGTCTTCGCCTACTACTTCTACGTCTATATCTGGTGATAGAGGGAAGGGTGAAGGGGATGGGGAGAATGGACCTGCTCATCACGAGGCGTTCCTTGACGACGGGGAGGACTCAGCATCAGCATCTACAACACAAGACGCAGCCGCAGCGCAGAAGCAAAGTCTCCGCCTCAGCAAGATGGACCCCCTCCTGAGCCTCTACTACACAGCCCCAATCTGCGCCCTCATGAACGGCATCCTGGCGTGGCGCGCGGAGATCCTCCCTCTCCTGCAGAGTCAAGCCCAGCCCGATCCAACCTCGCCATCTCCATCGCCTGAATCAGGCCTATTAGCCATCATCCTCTCCACAGGCCCAACAACCCTCCTCCTGAACGCGGTGGTGGGCTTCATGCTGAACGTTGCGGTCTTCACACTGGTAGGTACACTCCCTCCATCTTCCCTTCCTAACCAAGTATACCAAATATCCCATACCACACGCTTTACCAGCGCTAACTGTCTCGTGCAGATCGGCAAGACCTCAGGCCTCACAATGACGCTGGTCAGCATCCCGAAGAACATCCTGCTGATTCTGGCGTCGGTCGTGTTCTGGGGCACGCGGGTGTCGGTTCTGCAGATGGTCGGGTATGCGGGGGCTTTGGGCGGGCTGGTTGTTTACGCCGGGGGTGGGGGGTATGTCAAGCGGTGTTTACGGGGTACGGTTGAGGGAGTTGGGCTGGGGAGGAGGATGGGGAAGAGGAGTGGCGGGTGGAATGGGCATGAAGGGGTAGATGCGGATGCGGATGGGGAGGAGAAGGAGGGCTGAGCCCTGGTGGTAGGGTAAGAGAGATCTAGGCTGATGGGGTCATGTGCTGATAGATTTGTTGGCTGAGATTTAGATTATACTGCGAGTGGACTTTGAGGTTCGCTTTGCAGCTTACAGTTCCAGCATGGCATTACTACGAGTTGGCTTCAACATATGTGCAGCATAGCCCTGCTGAGCTGGTCGGGTATCACTTACAGCAGAACTGCATACAATCTCACATCCAGGAACCCACCCCCAGCGTTCAGTTTTGTATGTCATTTACCATAAAATCTCGATCAGCTCAATTACACGGGCACGTGCGTCACAAAAATTCGATTTGACGCTAAAACCGTCGGCAGTATACGCGCTCCCCCTACAATGTACGGAATACGGACCTGACGAAGATCCTACAATGGCTTTACTAGGGCACGACATCGTCCATTACTCTTTACCTCATACAGCTGCTCACTAACCGTCCATGCAAACAGTAGATTGTGCAATATTCATACCCGACGCCAACAACCACCCCCAAGGCTAGTTCGCCCCGGCTAGCTCGCCACGGCCAGCTGGGCCACGAGATCTGATGCCACGTCCAGGAACGGATAAGGACTGCTCACCTCTTTCTCCTTGTTCCGGAACCGCTTGCTGATCGGGTGCCAATCCGTCTCCCCCTCCGCGCGGATCACATTCTGGTAGCCGTCGCACTTGAAGTCAACCATGTAGTTGTTCTCCTCCAGCTGGTAGAGCTGGATGTCGATAAAGACCCACACCCCGTAGGAGATGCGCGAGATAGACAGGTCTCGCGTGGCAGACGACGGCCCCGATGTGGTGGTGGTCTCTCCGGGGCTCGTCCTATCCTCCGGTACATTGGGTACAGGATTGTTGAACCGGCGTCGCGTCTCTTCAAGGTCGCTCCTGCTGCTGTGAATGCTGGAGGCCAAGCCTGGTGCATGGACGCCCGCTTTCAATAGCCGTGCGCGAATGAACCAGAGGTCTTTAGGAATGTAGTGGTCGGACGGCAGATCCGGGTATTTGCTCTGCAAGGGGCGCTCTTCAGACTCTGAATCAGGTACCGCAGTTCCTTCCAAGGTTAGCTTTGTCTAGTGCAGAGGAAAGAAGGCTTACCTGATTCGGCGGGCTGCATCTCCCAGATCCCTCCCTGCGCTTTGATCGCTCTGTAAAGATAGAGAATTGCCTCGTACGGCTGGTTGCGCGAGCGGATTCCAAATTGCCACCTCCTCCTCTTGGTAGTCTCCTTCTGCTCTCTATCCTTCACTGGCGGCTCAAGCCGCAGCTTATCGAGATCGATGATACTCCGCGAATGAGGCTTCAACGCTCTGGCTGTTGCCTCCTGCTCTTCCGGCGAGCGGGCAGTTCGACCAGGGTCCTCCTCATCTAAGCTAGCTTGAGCTTGAGCCTGCTCTTCTAGGTCCTCTCGCACCCGTTCACGCTCTTTCTGCCGCTGTTCCATAAGCTGTTCGTGGACATACGGTAGGCTGGTCGGAAGAATTCGGACGTGGCTGATCCTCGGCGCCTCTGTGTCATCAGACTCTGTAGGTTGCGGCATTGGGACCGACTGCCGGCGGGAGCCGGATCGGGTTCGTGTTGGTTGGGCCTGTGCTGAATGGAGCGCCGGTCGACCAGGCGCTATGGCGGTACGGTTTGGAGATGGTGGTGGAGGCACGGTTGAAGCACTCATCATGGCAATATCCGTGGGTGCTGTCAACATTAGCCACTATCTTAGCAAAGGCCGTTAATACTCACAGTTTGTTTGCATCATCTCATTCTCCACGACAATGAAGAAGGCATCCTTGATAGCACTAGGCTCAGGGTGTTTGAGCGCATCTTCGATATCCTCACGCCCATAACCCATGCTCCTCTCCAGCTTGGATATGGCTACCTGGCTGATCTTGTTCTGAATTGCATGCGGCTTACCCGCAGCAATCTTGCGCGGATCGATTGCTTTGTCCGTTGCGATAAACTCCTCCGGGGGAGGTTGCAGATATGTAGGAAGATCCTGCAAGAACCAAGGGTCGTTGCGAATGTCTTCAATGGTGATCCGGTGCACCGGATGCACCTGTAGCATTGCCCGAATTAACCGGGCAGCCCCGGAGGATATGTAGGTGGGCATGTGGAAGTTGCCCGCGGCAATCTTCTTAAAAAGCGCCGGGATATAATCGTCATCGAATGGGAGTCGTCCCACCAGCAGCACGTACAGGATGACTCCGCAGCTCCAGACGTCGACTTCCGGGCCGGCATACAGCTTGCCGGAGATGACCTCGGGAGCCGCATAGTTGGGGCTGCCGCAGCTGGTCTTGAGGAAGTTGCCGTCCGTCATGATATTACTCAGACCAAAGTCCGCAATCTTCACATTCTTGTCGCGGTCAATGAGGAGGTTTTCCGGCTTGAGATCGCGGTGGACGATTTTATGACGGTGGCAGTATTCGACGGCGCAGATGATCTGTTGGAAGAACTTGCGCGCTTCCGCGTCATTGCATCGACCCCGTTTTACAAGGTAATCGAAGAGCTCCCGCTCGGCGTACTCTAGCACCATGACGATATCCGTCTTGGTCGAAATAACGGTGTACCTGGGATGTTAGCACGGCTCAGGCCAGCAGAACATGTACATACAGCTTGATGATATGAGGATGCCGTAGCAATTGGAGGTATTGAATCTCGCGCTCGACTCGACCGATCATGTCCCGGGATAGCAATTTGCGGCGAGAGATGATTTTCAAGGCCACCTGGCGGCCACTGGGTTGATGGATAGCCAGCTTCACTTTTCCAAAAGATCCTTCGCCCAGAACCTTGACTGTCTGATACTGATCCAGGCGCTGCATATCCCTCATCGTAGCTGGGGACTGCCGCAAAGCGTCACCACCCTTTCCGATCGGTCGCGACGGCGGGGGCATGGCCATGGCGGATTGGTTGGCATCAGGCGATTTAATTTCATCGGAGCGCTCGCGAGGACGGTCGCGGCCGACAGCAGGGAGGGTGACCGAGAGGTCCTCGTCGTCAAAGGCCGCAGCCATTATGGCAACTGCACTTGTCGTTCAGTAGCGGAGGTGATGTGGAGGAGACAAGGTGACGTGACCACCTCCGCCGACTCCGTGGACTCGTAATCTCTTGTCTTAGAGTATTCGCAACCTTCAATCCGATAGAAATTAAATCTTCAAGAGTTATCGCTCAAGTCTCGAGAGAAGGGGGATACCCGATCGTGGGACTTCGGTGGGCGAGTCAGTTCATGTTCGTCTGAGGTGTCCGTAGGCGATCTCTGCGCGGCGGAGTGGGTTTAGAGACAGGCGGGTCGATTTGTTTAGTGAGGCGGATTGCGGAGACGACAGCGATGGAATCATGGAATTAACAGGGAAGTTTGATGGAAGATGAGAGAAGAGAAGTTTGACGGAGAAATGTAGAGAGGGATAAAGCAGACCGAGGCGGCAGTTCCCCGGCAGTCCCTCCATCACCACCTAAGCATTATCTCAGCACTCGTACAGAGCAAAGTGTCAGGAACGTCACACGAGGCACATTTTTACGGTGTGCTATTAGCTGCTAGGTAGATATTTACAGCGTAGAATATAGTCATCGTATGAAGAATCGGATGTGCCTCCTAACCATCCGTGTACACGTACCCCGCCCCAGTGACAGTTGTGCTTATACTGTACCTCCAGCAGTGCAATTAGATAAGGCTGGTAAGGACTGATTTGGCGATTCTGTGCCAACAATCAAGACTATACTCCGTCTTAATCTAATAAATCAAGTATTTTATAGCGTTCTGTAGATACTCCGGGGGCTTGGCGTCATGTGGCGGGGAAGCTCTTACGTCCTCCGCTGAATCCTCCCGAAGCTCACTGTCCGGAGTCTTCTCCAGTCTTTGCCCTTGTGAGGGAGCTTCGCTACTACCAGCAGCGCTGGAACACCTCCGAAATGACGTCCGAACCGTCGGAGGAAGCCATCTCCAACTTCACCAGCTTCACAAACACCACCCGAGAACAGGCCATCAGCTTTCTCAAGGTGCGTCGCGACTGTGACTGCCGAGCTTGGCTAACATCAAGCTCCTAGGCCAACGACCTCGACTCGAATAAAGCTATCAACGCCTACTTCGAAGACCCCACTGGCCCTCATGTACAGGCACCCCCGGCGACGAGTTCCGGTTGAACCAAGCTTACCAGACGGTTAGGTTTCAGCTTATCGCGATGACACGGGTGCGTCGGGTATGTACTCCGTCACTGTTAGACTTGGTGGAGGGCCTCAACTCACTGCTCTCAGCATACCAAATCGAACACTCCGACGCCGCGGCGCCTGCTCCCATTCCGCCTTCGCGCCCGCCATCCACATCGACCATGAGAGACGCGGCCCTCGCAGCCGATCTGCCGCCTCCGCCAGCGCCAGCACAAGATACCAAGGGTATGGACTTCCGAAGTGGACAGCACATACTGACGGGACCGCAACGTAGGAAATGGTCTATCGTTGGCAGAACAGGAGGAACGTCAACTGCAGCAGGCAGTGGCCATGTCATTAAACCAGAACCTCGGGCAGCAAGAGACCGGTGTCACCACTACGAATCAGAATTTCGGCCGTGCGACGCGAGACCACTATGAGCAGGACGACTGGGCGATGACGCTTTTCAACTCGAGCGCTCGTGAGATTGTCATCAGCCCGGACCCAGTAGACCGCAAGAAGCAACCAGCCGAGCCAGCTTTCATACGTCCGACGCGGGAGAGCTTACATTTAAGCGGGCTGATTACGATCCTCCATTCGATTCCGCTGGCCAGAGAGGCTCTCCTGCTGCGAAACAAGGTTCTTTCGGATTACGGTAAAAATGCGCAGTGGTGGGATGGTCAACCAATTTACCTTCCCAAGATCGTCACGATACACGAAGCACAGGACGGCGACACCGACTGGGATGATATACTCCATGAGAGCCAGAGACTCATCGCCTTTTTAGATTCCACAAATCGGGCTTTCGGCAGCATTGATACACTGGCCGGTTTGAAACAACTGGAGACGTATGACTCGGACAAAGTCATAGGCACATTTCTGGAGTCATGGCAGGGATCAGCTGTGACCGCTGACCCAGGGAACCCCTTGGCCACTGTCTTCTCATCAATGGCGTATAGACGGCCACCGAAGAGGGATGACAGTTCGGCTACAGGGCAGGACACATGGATCGACGAGGAGCCGACTGAAAAGGAATTTTTTACTCTCGAACCGTATCCAGCGCCTGCTCACGGACAGACACTTTACGATGTCTTGGATGAAATGATATGGGCGGACACGCCAGGGGCAGCAGAGCTTGACGACGTGTGGCTAGAGCACGTCGCGGATATCCTCACTGTTCAACTAAGCAGTGTAGACGCAGCAAAGGCGGTCGACGTAAAAATCCCGGCTACTTTCTATCCTGACCGATACCTCGCCAACTGCAGAGAAATTGCGCGTGAATACCGTCTCCAGAGGCTCCAGATCCGGGAGGACGTTGTCAGGCTCCAGGGGCTCATGGATCGTATTTCCGCTCCAGGCTCAGCCAAAGGCGTTACTTCTAGAGAGGTCCTAGAGAAAGCCGCCGACGCTGCGGTCTCACTTGCCCCTTCCGCCGAACCTAACGAGGAATCGACCAGTATACAGCAGCTGGCTGTTCAGCTAAAAGCTATTTCGCGGAAGATAGAAGATAAACTCAAAGGTGTGTGGCTAACTTGCTTAGGACGACCTGAATTGACTTGGACGACCACTAACTGCTTAGAACTCGAGAGCCGCCAACAACAAGCCCAGGAGAGTCTCAAGAGCTATTCCAAATATCTGACTGAGCCGTCAACATCACCCGGCGAGCCACCGGTGCACAAGTACACGCTGAGGGGCGTCTGCACCGAGCCGCATGTCACATACGTTCTCCGACGCAGCATACCGGAGGACAATACCGAGCCCAAGCCTGACGAATACGAATGGTGGCGCATCAGTTTCTCCGTTGACGATGCAAAGTCCCGGCAAGCACAGACTGGCCACCCAGCCCCAAAAGAGGCAGACGTGATTGGTTATACCGCGCGCAAAGTCCGAGAAATTGAAGTTCTCCGCGCAGCGCGGGAAGAATCTAAGAGCGTTTTGCTGGTCTATGCCAACAGCAATGCCATGAATTACAAGGAAGAACCAGCTCCCGCTCCACTTCAGGTATGCCTTCATTTTTAAGACTATGTTCTTCACTAACAAAGACAGCGCTTCGTACACGAGGACAACGCTGCCTTCGAAACCGAACTCCAAGAGTGGGAAAATACCGCAGCCACAAGACTAAACGCAGAGAACGATTGGGAGCAAACTGTTGGCTCCCGGCCAGCATATCCTTCGCCCTCAATTGGGCAGGAAGATGTACCCGCCAGCAAAGTCAATGTCTTTGATTACCAGGTCTCATCGTTTGATGACGATCCGGCGACGCCTGAAGGACAGGAAATGGAGGAGAGAGGAGGGAAGCCGTTGCTCAGTCAAGCTACGAGTCATACCCACCCAGGACAGGACACAGTGCCGGAATGGAGTAATTAATGCTAAGCCATTGTATATGATATATGACTTCACGAAGCTACGCACCGTCATCTTTATAGGTAGCATACTCTGATATACCCCATTCTATACTTCAAGACAGATTGCCAAGACCGAGCTATACTGACTAGCTCCACTCCGCCGCATCTGCAGCTCTCCGTCTCCGTCTTCCTCCCAAATTACCAACCACCAACCCCAATTGTACACCATAAGCGCACTACCTCTACTTCTCTCAAAAGCACCAAAGCACAAAATGTCCCCCGAATCAGACTCACAGCTCGAAACAACCACCGCCTCCACCCTCCACCTCCTAGAATCGCGCCTCCACCGCCTCACATACCTGCTAACGGGCGACACAACATGGACCGGCACGCCGAACCCCCCGCCCAAACCAGCGTCATATGACGAGACGGTGTCGAGGCGCCTACAGAGATTGGAGAGTGAGCTGGAGAACCTAGCAGGCAGGGTTGGCGTTGTCAGGGACGTGCTGGGGCTGTGTATGCCGGTGCCCTGAACCCGTCCTCAAGAAAACAATACTAATGAATGCAATTTGTGTAGACGAGCGCTTCCCAGACCTCTTCAAGCCAACCTCCCCCTCCGCCCTCGCATCAACAACAGAATCAGACCCGTCCACCCCCGACACACCACCCACAAGCACAAGCACAGAACTAGAAGAAACATCCCCCCCGCTCGACGTAATGCACAGCATAATCCTCTCCTACGCATCCCTGATCCCCGAAACCGCATCAAGACTGACAAGTCTCACCGATACGCCTGTTCCCGACGCCAATCTCTCCGCGGCCCTGATAGCACTTCGGCCGCGCATGAGTATGCTGAGCGCGAGGCAGGACGAGCAGAGTCAGGAAGTTGCGGAACTGCGCGTGCGCACGGCGAAGGTTCTGCAGCGATATTATGAGGTTGGGTTGCTGGGGGCGGGGGAGGTTTGGGGGGAGTGGGAGGGGAGGCTTGAGGGGGTTGAGAGGGGGGTTAGAAGGGTGGAGGTTGCGAGGGAGAGGGAGGGGGTTTGAAACGTCAGCAGGTTATGAATGTTTCGTTAAGAGGTGATGGTGGGCAGTACAATATGGTTTAGATAGGGGTTTCGCTTGAGTGGTTGTGTCCTGGCGTTATATGATACCACTGTTCTTCTTGTTCAGAGCTCCATTACAAGAAGGCCAATGAAGGCCAAGTCTGAAGTTAGAAATGGAGCCTTTTGTCACTCTACGGTAGTGCTGAACATTTCACATGCTGATTGGAACATCAATTTAAATTGTACATTGCAAGCCTCGCAGAGGCAGCAGAAACTCTATTGCAAGAAGTTGAAGTCTTGACATCGACCGACACGCACATACCGTGGTATACTAACTTTTCCAACGCTCATTAAAACATGTTCACAGCAGAAAAGAAACAACAGATAAAAATCAGAATGCAGATGGCCCGTAGTGGAACTACCAACCGCGCTTGGCCAGCTTATCGGCATCCTGCATCTGCGAGACATTGATGCCGACCATAGCTTCACCAAGTCCCTGGCTAACCTCAGCCAGGACCTTAGGGTCCTTGTAGTGCGTGACCGCCTGTACAATAGCCTTGGCGCGCTTCTTCGCATCGCCGGACTTGAAGATGCCGGAGCCGACAAAAACACCATCGCAACCAAGCTGCATCATCAGAGCAGCATCAGCAGGCGTCGCAACACCACCAGCAGCAAAGTTCACGACAGGGAGGCGGCCCTTCTCCGCGGCCTCGCGGAGGAGCTCGTAGGGGGCCTCGAGCTCACGGGCGAAGGCGCGGAGCTCGGGCTCAGGGTCAGACGAGGACTGGAGGATGGAGCGGGCACGGGCGATCTCTGCGTTGACGGTGCGCATGTGCTTGACTGCCTCGACAACGTCGCCAGTACCAGCCTCGCCCTTGGTGCGGATCATGGCGGCGCCTTCGGAGATGCGGCGCAGGGCTTCGCCAAGGTTGCGGCAGCCGCAGACGAAGGGGGCCTTGAAGTTGTGCTTTGTGACGTGGTAGAGGTTGTCGGCGGGTGTGAGGACTTCGGACTCGTCGATGTAGTCAACGCCGATGGCTTCAAGGATCTATGGTACGGTATTGGCATTTGGTGGGGTATGAGGGTGGAAAGGGTATTGTAACGAACCTGGCACTCAACAAAGTGGCCGATACGGGCCTTGGCCATGACGGGGATTGTGACGGCCTCCATGATCTCCTTGATCATTGAGGGATCGGACATGCGGGCAACGCCACCCTGGGCTCGAATATCGGCGGGGACACGCTCGAGGGCCATGACAGCGGCGGCACCGGCCTCTTCAGCAATGCGGGCCTTGAGACTCAAAAGTCAGTCATTATGCCAATGAATCAATGTAATAGCTTTGCATACCTGCTCCGCATTGACAACATCCATAATCACACCACCCTTCAGCATCTGGGCCAGACCGGCCTTGACGGTGAAGTCGTTGGAAGCTCCGTTGGTAGCGGCCATTGTGAGAGAGATAGACTGGAGAGAATGAAGAAAGTCTAGAAACACAAGAGAGCGAGAGAAGATGAGAAAGAGAGAGACAGAAGAAGAACTTCAGCAGCAGAAGAGATGCGTGGAGGAACCGGTGTCGATGGAAGGGCGCGTGAGTCACTGGTTATATACTCTCATAGTCTACTGTTAAGCTGTTCGCCTCTGGACCCAGAAAACGTCCCCCTCAATCTGACTTCCCCGCTGAAGGGTGCCATTCGCCAATCAACGCCTCTTTGCCCCTCCAAACTTTGGCGCATTGCAAATTCCGCAGCAGATCCTTTGCGTTTTCCGCGGAGTGGCAGCTGGCCAGGTCCCCAGGAAACATCATTCGCCTCGCCGAGCACTGTAGCACACTCGGACGGGTGCGGTCGGGTGCGGTTTCTAGAACTCTTGCTTATTCGATCCTTCATGGCTCACTCAGCAGACCATTGACCATCGCGCCTACCCTTGGAACCGCATTTGAGTCTATGAGATCCCGAGATTCCGAGATCGATCGATAGAGACTCGGAGGTTCAAGCGAATCGTTTGCCTTTCCGGCCTCTGCTCGGCGGCGAGTCGGCGCTACATCACAGAACAATGGCTTGTAGGGCCTAGGCAGCACTATCAAGGAAGCATATTTGAATCCCGGTGAATCTAGTGAGTAATAAGAACGACACGGGATCGACCTCACCGGAGTTGAACTCGCGTTCCGAGTAGTTTCCGATGCCATCCGCTTGGTATTAATATTTCCTTAGTATGGTAGTTTATGATCTGCGGAACAAAGTGGCTCCGACAACCGCGGCAACTGTGCTATACTGCCACTACTCACCGCCCACATTCAGGAGATGACGTAAAGCGAACATTGCTCCGAGAGTCCAAACACAAGCTGATGCGCCTTGCTAACATCTAACAACACTGGGTCCTTCATTTATCCAATCAATCTGAGACTACAGCCCGGATAACGTCCATACTTGCCAATTGACTCGACCTCACATCAAAAAATGGCATCCGGTCTCTTTATGTTCTCACGCGCGTCCGCAGTCGGCATTGGCCTCGGTCTCGGCGTGTCCTTCTCTCTCCTCCATTCCTCCCCCTTTCGCGCGGCGCCCATGAGATGTGATTATGCAGCCGGATCTACCAGCTCCGGGTGGTCCCTCCCCTCCCAGGATCCAACGAGAAAACACGGGATAGCCCAGGAAAGCGGCATCATGACAGCCTCGAACATGCGCCAAATCAGTATGGGAAGTGTGCTTGGTCTCGTGGTCGGAGTTGGCTTGAGGGCGTTCTCGCGGGTCCTGGTGGTCCTCTTAGGTATGGGGATTGTAGCGATTGAGGTGAGTTGCTCAACTTTTGGATGCAGAGACCGTTTGCTAAAGGCGTCTGTAGTGGGCTGCGTCCAAAGGATACCACATCTTTCCTACCAAGACGTTGCAGAAATACGTAAAATCTGTCGATCTTGACAGGTTTATGTCGCGGAATGTGCCTTTCAAGGTTACTTTCGGCACAACCATGGCTCTGGCTGCTTTTGCGCAGTTCTGATGTTCGAGTTTTGTAGTTAATGCGCTTCATGGGTGGTCGGAACCGGGGTGGGCTAGACAAGCAGTTATACAGGGTATCATAAATTTTCCCGCTTGCAGCACACATAATGTCAACCCAAAACAAGGTCTTCCAGAACTCCTTCCATCTCGTTGCGAGACAACGGAACGCTCAGTATCTCCATCCCACTCGCATCCATCCGCGAGGTGATCATCTGGTGGTCGTGGAACTCTTTGAGTAACGTGCGGAACATCATCTCAGAAGACGCGATGAATTCCTCGGAGGCTTTCTGATACAATGTTCGGAACTCAATGCCGGTCTCGTCCTTCGGATCGACTGGAGCATCAGCGTTGTCCATGTCATCATCTCCATTCTGATCTTCATCGACCATGGATAGCAACTCCGTAAGCAAGACTCGGTACAGGTTCTGTGCGTTCTCTGGAAGACTTTTCAACACGAACTCGACACCTTCTTTGCCTCCCACACGACGTCCCTTCCGGCCAAGAAGGTTATGGACTTCTTCAACCACATCAAACTCGGCATCGAATGGCGTAAACGTCGTACAGTCGTGAAACACAAAGTTGAATTGATCTCGAAGACTGATATCCCACATCAACAGGAAGTTCGGGGTATCCGCAGTTGCAAGGAGGTGTATCTTCGGGATGGCGGCCAGCCGGGCAAGGAGAGCTTGATTCGTGGCCCGACGAAGGGAGGGGGCATCGATGGAGTTGATGAAGACGGTGATCGGACCTTGGTCAGGTCGTATCTTCAGAGCGGACTGCAGTAGTTCCAAGACCTCTAACGGCTGGGCACCCATCTTCGAGGGAATGTCAGATTCAAGGACGGCGGCGACAATCGTAGCAAAGATGGAACGAATAGATATGTTGGGCGAGTGTCCGTTGACAATTACGACAGATGGAGGACTCGAGCTGTGCTTGTGATAGAGCCAATCCGCGAAGCTATGGGTGAGTCGACGTTTTGAACCATATCCATACAGACAAATGTTGAACCCTTGATCAAATTCGAAATCCCACTGCGGGAACGACCTGCGATGAAGATCGTTGAGAAAGGCCGTCTCACGCTTGCACGGGTCTTGGTAATGCGCATGCTTATCAAAATACTCTTCGTGGGTTAGCAGATTCACCTTGTTCAGATTGTTGTTCGACGTTCGAGGGGGCCCTGCACGGTTCTGGAAGAAATAACGCTCGTGCGGCGGCAAATCGCCTTCGGGCGTGGGAGACCGCTTGTTCTTCGCACCCTTTGGTCTCCCAGCACGACGCTTTGGGGTCGCCGTTGTCTTTTCCGTCTTCGACTCGAGAACTCCCGCCTCAATTGTCTCAACTACCCCATCGTTTTGCTCATCAGCTTCAGCCGGTGCGTCTTCGTCAGCGGAAAACTCCTCCGCTAGCCGTTCGCCTCCATGGCCGAGACCCTCCTCATCCTGGTCGAGAAGCAATTGGGCACTCTTCTTCTTCGCTGAACTGCCAGCGCGTGCCTTCGTAGGGGTAGAAGCGCCATTCTCTTTCGCAGGCGTTGAGAAAAGAGCCTTAGCTTTCGACCGGTTGGAAGGGGTCCTCAGTCCGGAGGCTTTGAGCGTTGCTGGCGTGTCGCCGGTCGGCTTCTGAGGCGTACTCTTTACTCGCTTTGAGGGTGGCGGTTCAGGCGATCCGTCTGTAATGACATGGCCATTGTTTCTTGAAGTCCGCTGCCTCTTCGGTGTCGAGGCAGGGAGCTCTTCGCCAACGTCTGGCTGCTTCCGTTTCATTTTATTTAGCTGATGCCGCGTGAATCCGTGAGAAGACAAAATACCATTGATGCAATTTCAGCGAGAAAAAATCTCGCGGGTTGAGAGGCACTGACGCAAGGAGCCTAGAAAGCTTGGGAGCTCCTTCTTGGAATGTTGACTGATGATCTCTTTTCGAGTTAGTCTCCGGGGCCTCGATTCCCGCGTAGAACGCGATAGTATGAAAGTACTTAGGGAAGGGCCGACTGTTTCTCCGGGTCCCGCGATATCGGAGCCGGAGCGGGATTTATCGTCCAAAGCTCGGGTGGATCATGGTTGATAGATAAATCGCTCAGACAGCATTGTTGAGGGCATATACCGGGAATTGGGCTATATCCTGTGGGAAGGCCCTTTTTTAGTCTGGCGGTGGTCTAATCGTCCGCATTGCCTCGAAGGGAGACGGAACCGAGTCATCGCCTTGACCTCCGAATTTTGAGTCATAGAGAGAGGTATTTAATTCTCCCGAAGCTCCTAGCTCTCTGGCATCGTTCTTGAGTTGAGCTGCTACTGACCTTTCGAACCAGCCAGCCCATGGCCTCCGCCGTTCAATCCACAGCCACAATGGCTACCTTCGCCCGCATGGTGAAGGGCCAGGTGCGCTGCTACTCAGCACCCGTCGACGTCGCCATCCCCGCCAGCAAGCGCAAGTACATTCCCACCTCAGGCACGTACCCAAAGGGCTTCTCCGTTTCCGGCACGCACGTCGGCGTGAAGGCATCCAACACCAAGTTTCCAGACCTTGCACTCATCAGCTCCGAGACGCCGTGCTCCGCGGCTGCCGTGTTCACGACCAACAAGTTCCAGGCTGCGCCGGTGCAAGTTAGCAAGAAGATTCTCAATGCGACACAGGGCCAGGGTATCAGGTCAATTGTGATCAACTCGGGTTGCGCGAATGCAGTCACCGGTAAGGGTGGTCTCGAGGATGCGACGAGCATGGCGACCAAGGTTGATGAGCACACGGGTGTCGCGGAGAACGGGACGCTCGTTATGAGTACTGGTGTCATTGGGCAACGGTACGTATTCGACCAGCTCTCCAGCCAGAACAGCAGCTAACATGGTTGCTGCTGTCTAGTCTCCCCATCTCCAAGATCCTCTCCAAGATCCCCGAAGCCACCTCCTCCCTCGCCTCGACTCACGATGCCTGGCTCACCACCGCCCGCGCCATCTGCACCACAGACACCTTCCCCAAGCTCCTCTCCCGCACATTCACGCTCCCCTCCTCTCCAGGCCGCACCTACAGCCTGGCCGGCATTACCAAAGGTGCCGGCATGATCCACCCGAACATGGCAACACTCCTCGGCGTCATCGCTACCGATGCGCCCATCGTCCCCTCAGCCCTGCAATCCCTCCTCAAGTCCTCCGTTGCGCGCTCCTTCAACGCCATCTCCATCGACGGCGACACCAGCACAAACGACACCGTCGCGATCCTGGCCAACGGAGCCGCCGGCGGCGCGCCCATCAACAGCACCCAGAACGACGACTACGCCGTTATGCAGGAGATCCTCACCTCGTTCTTGCAGTCGCTGTCACAGCTCGTCGTCCGCGATGGCGAGGGCGCGACCAAGTTCGTCACTGTCCGCATCCAGAACTCCCCTGACTATGCCTCCGCGCAGCTGATTGCGTCGACTATTGCCCGCTCGCCGCTTGTGAAGACGGCGCTGTACGGCCGTGATGCGAACTGGGGACGGATTCTATGCGCTATCGGTTACACCCAGGGTGTCGCCCCCGGAGTCGTTGTGCCTGAGCGGACGAGCGTCAGCTTCAAGCCTGCTGATGGCAGCCCTGTGCTGAAGCTCCTAGTGAACGGAGAGCCCGAGCAGGTGGATGAGGAGCGCGCCAGCGCTATCCTTCAGGACGAAGATCTGGAGATCATCGTTGACCTGGGTGGTGGTGAGAAGGGCGAACTTGGCGGCGAAGAAGGCGTGTACTGGTTCTGCGACTTCAGCCACGAGTACGTCACTATCAACGGTGACTACAGGACTTGATTATATATAAGCGATGAGATTGGATGTATAAAGCGATTGAACTTAAAGCAAAGTATTGTTGTTTCATATATAAAACTCGCGTTCATAATAATACAAGCCAGAGTCGCTTCTGAATATTTTCTCTAATAGGGTTACAGGCCAGGTCGACAGTATGTACAGTTGTGGCTTCCTTTTCCAAGCGAAGAGAAATCAACCCCTTGAGATGCGAATAACCTTCCCATACATTGAAGTCCGAGAAATAATACATCCAAATACTGCCTGAGCCACAACAAGCCACCGCCTGGAAACGCAAAAAAGATAAGGAGTAAAAAGATGAACCACAACTTGTCCTGCTCATGCAACTCATCAAGCTGAAGAAGATAAGAAAGTAACTAGAAGTCCTTGCTTAGTTACCGGGGACAAGGCCCTTGAGGCCTCCACCGATGTCGCCCTCACGAGCGGCGATTTCGAAGTAGCCGTAGATGATACTGCACAATCTGTCAGTGATCTAAAACAAGAAATATTTATGATCAAGTACTTACGTGACGGCAAGAAGAATACCGGTACCGCTGCCGAGAGCACCAAGGAGATCAGAAGCAACGGAGAGAGCACCAATGCAAGCACCACCGAAAGCGGCAGCAGTGGGGATGATGCGCTTGAGCTCCCTGTACATGCTCTGCTCACGGTGGCCAGCCATGACGAGACCCTGGTCCTTGAGCTGCTTAGCAACATCGCGAGGCGCAGAGCCGGAGACCTCGATCCAGGTCTTGGAGAACAGAGCGCAGGCGACGAGCATGAAGGTGATGTAGACGGCGGTGTGGATTGGGTCAAGGAGAGCCTCGCGGAAGTTCAGAGGAGGAGACATGTAGTAGGCGACACCGGAGGAAGCGTAGAGCTGGGCAGAACCCTCGCGGGGCTCCCAGACACCGAGGAGCTTGACAAGGATGTTGTCCGAGAAGCGGGAGTACAGCATCTGGCTGATCAGGAAGATGTTGGAGCATAGAGCAGACTGGAGCATGATGGGCATGTTGGAGGTGTAGAACAGGCGGACGGGGTAAGAACCACGCATGCCACGCTGGCGGGAAGACTTGACGGGGATCTCAACGCGGAAACCTTGGAGGTAGATAACGGCGGCGAAAACGAGGAGGGTAGCCAGAAGGTTCATGACGTTGGGCAGGTTCTGGCGGTAGAAAGCCTCGCGCAGAGCACGCTGCTTGTCGGACCAAGTGAACAGGAGGTGGAAGAGGGCGATGATGGCACCCTCGAATTCAGGGCCACGACCAGTGTTGATGGTGGTTGGGGAGAACGCCTTCCACACAATAGACTCGCAGATGTTGGTCGCAATGAATAGAGAAATACCGCTACCAAGACCGTATCCCTTCTGGAGCAGTTCGTCGAGGAGAATGACAACGAGACCAGCAACAACCAGCTGAACAATCAAGAGAACGCAGATACCAGCACCAAGGTCGCTGGGCTGGCCGTAGAGACCAGTCAGGACGTATACACAGGCCTGGCCGAAGGAGAGGATGATAGCGAAGAGCTTTTGAGCGGTCTGGTAGAGCTCGCGGTCGGTCTTGAGGTCAAGGTTGACGTCAATGAGGTGGGTACCAGCAAGGAGCTATACAAGGGAATTGAGTCAGTGCTGTCGACTGCCAGTCTGATTATTGAGCTTGAGACATACCTGGAAGACCATGCCAGAGGAGATGATGGGGGTGATACCCAGTTCCATCAGGGTTCCCCGGTTACTGGCCAGCATCATACGGAGCCAGTAGAGGGGATCCGAGGTGTCGGAGGAGACAATACCATACAGAGGCATTTGACTCATAACCAAGAAGATCAACAGAGTCAACTAGCGATATCAGTTAGCTCATTATCCTGCACTTCGACCACCTAACAACTTACCCCAGTCCACATCAACTTCTGGTTGAAGGGCACCTTGGTCTCAGGAGCTGCCACCTCCGGCAGGAGGGGCGTGAAGGGCTTGATCAGATCAAGAAATCGAACTATCCACCAGCGTCAGCATTAGTATTCAATTGAGGCAATTCAGAGAGCAGCGTCACAGAATTGCTTCTGCGATCGCGTGTGTACTCACGTCCGCTCATTGTGGTCACCACCCAGCTGGGTCGAGGGATTGGAGATCAAAAATGGGATGGGAAGAAAGAAGCTGGTATGATAGCCAGCTCAAGGAAGGGAAAGGAATATTCAAAGGGGGGAGAAAAGAACTGAAGGAAGAAGCAACGTGGAAGTGAAAGGGAGAGTGAAAGTTGGAGTTGTAGTCGCCTCGCTGGCCACTTTCGAGTTTCGCTGCCCCAGCCACGCTAAGCCGCTTAGAGGCCACTTGGTCGCTTCCCCCGAACGGAGCTCGACCCTGGTCCCTAGAAACCGCGCGATCTACGGAGAAGTAGAAATTGGATTGAGGAGCTGTTAGTCTGCTGCATAACCAATGCTAATGTTTCTATCGTAACTAATGTTGCTCGTTATGTTCATCTAAGTACAGTATTCCTGAAATGCAATATCCGGTATAGTGTCTGATATCAGAGCACAAAGTAATTGTACAATAACCATACGGCCAAAATGTAACCTAGCACTTTACTGAGTATATAATCCAAGTGGTTATACCTTTGGATCACGATCAAGGCCCAACGAGGCTCAGGCAGTCATCTATGACCATTTCCAACTCGCCAAGTCGTGTCTTTAGGCCTTTGTTTTCCTCTTTCAAAACGCCCATGACGCTCCAGGCTTCAGATGAAGGCACCCCGTAACATATCCTGCATTTGGCGGAATTACCCGTCCACGCGCTAGTAATACCACTGGATGCAAGTCCTTTGATGACTCTATTGTATGCGGACTCGCGAACGGGCGGCGCGGGTAAGGGTTTGGAATCTCTCTGATTGGCTTGTAGGGTGGCAGATGGCGGGGTGGGAAGTGTAGTTTGTGAGAGGTTTGGCGATGCTGTGATTGTTGAGGAGGGCGAATCGACGGCGTCCCGGCGAGAAAAGACGCTTTCCGCCAGACTCTCATCTCCAGATTCGAAACCAGAATCACTAGGAATCGTGCCGTTGCTTTGGCGTTTCGTGTTCCATTTAGGGGCCTGGAGTTCAACTGCAATGTCTGAGACGCTCTCATCGTCGGCGCTGGGCTTGACGAGCATGACGCTTCGTCGGGCTTCCTCTTCTTTACGGCGCAACTGCCTCTCTTGTTCAAGCTCTTCCGCCATGGCTTTCATGGCCTTGTCCTGACGCAGAACCTTCTCAGCCATCCCATCCAGCTGAATCTTCAGGTGTCCAATGCGCGTTTTTGTTTCCTCAAGCTCTTCTTGTTTCTCGGTCTTCTCGCCGAGGAGTTCGTGTAGCGCAAAGGTTCGCTGTTTGTAGGCTGCCTGCAGCCGTTGTATGACGTTCTCCGCATTGTCTCGCAGCGCATCAAGGGCTTCCTGATCACTCATATGGTTCGAGCCAGGAGGCAATAGTGCCGCGCCGATATCGAGGTTCAAGAGCTCATCCTCCGCAGGCTCTGGAAGCTCCAGCCTACCCTCGCCTTGACGCCTCCGACCGAAGAACGAAAGAGGATTTGTCGAGGTCACTTGCTTCAAGGGCGATGGCGCTGTCATGCGCTTCTGCGATCGGCTTGTAAAGCTAGGGGTGGTATATGAAGGGGTATAGACTTCTTCAACGCCTGAACCGTCCATGCTCGTCGAATCCGTTTCAGCTGATCGGTGCAGAAGTCCCACGTTGACTTGTTCGGATTTCCCCTGGAACAAGCCAGTCAAGAATTTCGCGCCTACCTCCAGCTTCTTCCGGGCGAGATTCTCGTTTGAGGCAACGGGGCGCGTTCGAGTGTAGTCGAGGTCTTCGAAACTGTGAGATTGGTCGCCGAATGATAGCCCAGACGTCGGCCGAGGGTTGCGCGATCGGATAATCTCAGTGTTCGCCCGACGGTGGGAAGACATGTGCGGAATATGTTTGTTCTCCGGACGTGGCGACGACGTATTCGAGCTCGGAGTTAGGGCAGCAGCGGGGGTTTCGATATGCGGTAAAGGTTGGTCACTGCAAGGCCGATGGCTGTCTTCTTCTATGGAAGGAGCAACTGGCGTTGAGGAAGGCATCGAACTAGGAATCGGTGGCGTGGCAGCCGCTGAAGGGCGCTGCGGTTCGGCGAGCATTATCTAGCTTGGCCTTGACTGGCGAGCCGTCGCCTGGAATGGAGAAGGAATGTTACCAATTGGTCCAGCTGGACGAGGACCGGAATGCCACGTCGATGAAGTGTCCAATCCGATACCGTCACGCACGTCAACCCTGCCTAGGGTAGGAAAGGAGAACAATTCAGCAACCCCTATTCAACGATGGGCTGTCGTGCAGCACTGCAGGGTGAATAAGGTCGCTTCAATATGACAGGGCCCTTTGAAACAGGACTGAGGGTCGAAGTGAGATTTCAGGTGTCAGTCCCCAGATCAGAACCTCAAGGGAGAAAGGAGTTGTGATCGAGGTCAATTATTGAAACCGCGCCAAGCGATAAGCTAGCGATGGCCGTTGATCTGCACGTGCCGTCGGCGAGTCCACAATCTTGTTGACGTTGAGGTTATTCGAGTCTCGACTCACGGTCTGATGTTGGATGGAATGTGACAAACTGAGGTTAGTTCGAAAGTAGTTGATACAGTTTTCAAGATTCGGATTCTAGAATATCGCGTGGCTGGTATATATCCATGAAAATGCGGTGGCTGAACGAATCTCGTCGTCGCAGTGCAGCTCCACTGAGTGCTGGGGGCAACACGCTAAACAAAAGCTCTGACAGTACGGAGACGTGCACCAAAAGTTTCTGTTATGGCTGTGTCTGCAAAGGGAGATGATGATCATATTCACGAAGGAACCTCCGTGGGCTAACTAGGTAACTAGTAACTATATTATATAATTATAAGTTATATAATAAATACCCCTTTTAAAAAAAGGCAGACCTCCTGGTTATTTATTAAATATAATATAACTAAAGTTTATTTAAATTAAAAAGGGGACGTAACTAAACTCCACTTAAGGTAAAAAAATAAAAAACATGTAAAAAAAACCGCAAATATATAAAATAACTAAAAGTAATATAAAAAATGTGTGTAAAAAACATTAATTATAAAAAATTATTAAATAGCTTAAATAACTAAGCTATTCTTCTTTTTTTTTTAAAAAACTTTGGGGGGGAGATTTTTTATTTAATATAATAATAATAAGGTTAATAGCTAACCCATTATTTACTTTATAAATTTATAAAAAATAAGAAGTAAATAGTAATTTTAAACATGGTAATATTTTACTTTTTAGTAAGAGTAATTTATGCTTTAGTAGTATATTTAAGTAAGTTATATATAAGATAGTTATAAAAGCTAAAAAAATTTTTTATAAATACTTTAAAAAGCCTGGTGCTTTAGTATTTATAATATTAGCTAAATATATATTAATAATAATTAAATTTAGTAAAAATAAGTATTTATTAAAGTACCTTATAGTTAATTATATTTTAGCTTATTATAGTATAATTAATAGCCTTATATTAATTACTTTATTAGTAATAAGCTAGGTTAATTATTTATTATACGCTAAAAATAATATATTTAATATATTTAAAGTTTATATATTTAATATAAAGCTAGTATTTAATACTAAAGCACCACGTATATTTAATAAAGTAATCCCTTAAATAATATATATATTTAATAATATAAATATAATAATAATAATATTTATTTAAGTAGTTACTTGCCCAACGCGCCTATTTAATAATATAAATATAGTAATAGTAGCCTTTAGCAAAGCAAAGCTAGTATTTAATATATTAGTTATAGTATTTAATAAAATAGTTGCTTAAGTAGTAGTAATAATAGTATTTAATAAAATAATTACTAGGTTTATAAATAAAGTAGTTGCTTTAGTACTACATGTTATATTTAATAATATAAATATAGTAATAGTAGCCTTTAGTAAAATAAAGCTAGTATTTAATATATTAGTTATAGCCTTTAATAAAGTAGTTAGTTAAGTAATAGTAATAGCAGTATTTAATAAAGTAATTACTAGGTTTATAAATAAAGTAGTTACTTAAGTACTGCCTGTATTTAATAATATAAATATAATAATAGTAGTGTTTAATAAAGTAGTTACTAGGTTTGCGTTTACTTTAGGAAAGTCTTATTAAATTAAGGTATTAAAAGTTTATATTATATTCTAGTAACCTGCACTTAGATTTTTTTAAATAATAATTTATTTTATTAATAATTCCTATAATACCTAGGTTGCGCCTTACGGGAATATATTACTTAATAAATCCTAAGTTATAAAAGTAAGTAAAGCCATAATAAAAAAAATTACAAGAGCGGGGGGAGCTACACCTAATAATTATTATAATACTTAAGCTATTTTTAGCAGGAATATCTTATTTAATAATTTTTATATTACTTAAGTTATAGCTAGAGTTTATATAATATTTATAAAAGCAGGTATAATAATTAATACTAATATTAATTTAATAACTTTGCCTAAAAAATATATTAAGAATCCACGGCCTTTTAGTTATGTTAATTTTTAATATATAATATACTTACTTAGTATATAAAGCTAAATAAATACTAAAGCCATGCCATATCCTAAAGTTAATAAGGCCCTTAATTTAGTAATTACTATAAAAATAAGGTTATAACTTAAAAAGTAGTGGTTTATTACCCTGGGCCATATAGGATTAATTATATTTAGTATAATTATCTTATAATATTTAAACTTTATATAAACCTAGCCCTTTTTAAATTTAATATATTATTTTTTTAGGTAATTATTAAAAATATTTCTTGCCTATTTAATATTTTCCCATGTTTTTAATAAACCTTTTTTAACTAGTTCTTTGGAAAACAATAAAATAGCATAGTTTTTATATAAAAGTAACATGCTTAACCTATGGTTACCGTGTTTAGTTATTATAAAAGGGATAATTTTATTTCCTGCAGCTGTATTAAAGGTGTAATAGTTAATTTAATTTATTTTTACTTTTTTAATAGTTATTCCTAATAAGTACGCGTTTTTCTTAGCATTTTAACCTTTACATAAAATATAGTAAAATTAGTACATAAAAAACTAGTATTAACTATATGCCTAAATTTAAAAGCAGGGCCTGTAAGGTATTCACGCTATTTAAATATTTTTATTTAAATTAAAATCTACTTTATATACTATAGCACGCCTTTTTTTTAATAAAAATTTAATTATTAAGTACACCCAAGTGTTATTTAAATACACTTTCTTTAAGGGCTATCCGTAAATATAAGAATTTTATATTTTTTTTATTACTAATAGTAATTAATATTTTTTTTAATAAGGTTTTAATTTACTAGCTAAACTAATAAAGGAGGGTTATTACACTCCTATTTTAAAAAATAAATTAAATAAGCAACGTGTGATTTCTTACTTTATTTAGCTAGATTAATAAATTACTTTATTTAAATTTAATTATTTATATTTATAAAGTTTACTATATACGCGGGGTCTAGCCTTTATTTATTTAATAAACCCTAAATTATTATATTAAAAAATAAAAAAGGTTTTAAAAAAGACTAGCTTAACAAGAGAGGTAAGAGTTTATTTATTAATAAGTGTGTTTTTAAGCTTAGTAAAGTTATACTTAAAGAGACTTAAGAAATACTTATTTATTAATAAGTATGTTTTTTAAGCTTATTAAAGTTTTACTTAAGAAATAAGCAAGGAGTTGTAATTAATAAGTAATATTTTTTTAACTTATTAATATAAAAAAGGCATAAAAGAGCTAATAAGTAAAGTAAAGTAAGAATACACCCGGCAAGGAACAAAGTGGGTAAGTTAGTAAGATAAGAAAGAGAAAAAAAAGTAAAAGGTAAAAAAAAAGGTAAAAAGGTAAAGTAGCTAAGCCAGGAAGATAAAAAATTAAAATTATTAAAAAAATATTAAGATTAAGTAATATATTTTTTTTTTAATAATAAGTTATGTATTTAAATTTTACTATACTAACTTAATATAATTTACCCTAAGTAATATTTACTTTTTATAATTTAATAGTCTTAATTATTTTAGTTCTCTTGCATTTACCTTAATTTAATAAATTTTTTTTTTATTAAGTTTATAGCTAGTAATAATAAAAGTTTCTTAGCAAGTAATAACATATTAAAAGTTACTTTAATTTACCTTTTAAGCTTAGGATTATACATGCCTGGGATGGTATTAATTTATCTTATTATAGCTTTTAAAATTATTTTTTTTTTATTTCCCTTATTTTTAAGGGCTGTTTTAAACGCCTTCACTAGTTTTAGGTATTAGGTAATAATTATAAAAGCTGGTTACTATATTAGTTAAAAAAGACCCTTTTAAGTTACTAAGTATTTTTATATCTTACGCTTTTTTAAATATTTAATTAAAAGTAACTTTTTTTTTTTAATAAATATAATACCTAGCAAAACCCGGAAGTTATAAACTTTTTTTAAAATTATAATAATAATTAAGTAATTTTATTTATTATATAGCACTTGCTTTAGGTAAACTATTAAAATAATTAAATAAATATTTAATTTAGGGGGTAACTCTAACTTATAAGCTAGACTCCTAACCTTTTTTTAAATAATAAAGGGTTTTATTTTTATTAAAAAAAGTATTATACTTTCTTTTATAAAATACCTAATATATCTAGGTTTTCTTATTAATTAAATATATATAAAGCTATTAATATTTAGTAAGACAGGTACATGTTTTTTATTAAAATAATAAGCTATATAATTTTATGTGTATTAAATCACGTTTACTGCTTTTTTTTTAATTACTAATTATTAAGTAATAAAGGATTTTACTAATTTAATTTAAGGATTTATATTCTTAAAAAATTTGTATTTATACTATATATTATATATAAGCTTAAATAGTATTTTTTTTATTATTAAGTTCCGTGAAGTGGCTAGTACTTATTATACTTTTAAAATAAGATTTTTTTATATATTTTTTATTAATAAGTGGTATAGCATTGCCTGGAGTACTACCTTTATTATTATATTATAATATTTAGTTTATTTATTTACCGCGGGGTAATATACTACTATTATATTAAGTTAAATATAAGCTTGTTTAAATAGGTAGGTCTAAAATTTAAATATAAATTTTAAATTTTTATTAT